ACTGATAGCTGTTTAGAAAGGAAATGATGAATGGACAGAATCTCATGAGAATTCAGACTGTTCAGTCTCCCAGAGTGCTAACAATGTAAAAAGCCACATTTGGACATCTATTTGTTAAGCAGTTTGGAACCACAGAATTCTTATATGTTTATGCAAGTTATGTATTTAAGTACATATGCTTGGGTGGAGTTCAGTGTGTGTGTGTGTTGAATTTTCGGACACCTGAGAATTCCAAAGTATGTGTAATAGATGATGTGGTATGACTCTTATTGGCCTGAGGTTCGAATGGCTTTATTTCTTGTGAGTGGTGAATCAATGAGTGAGTTACATGGGTCATCCCAATCAAACTTTTATACCATGCGATCAAGTAGTCTGCATAGACCATATATTTAACTGACACTATTTTAGAGAGTTTTAAGTAATATTATTGAGACTGTCTTGTATCTCACCACTTGTAAAGCCAGGTGCTTTTGTTGTGAGTCCAGTTGTACAGGTCTCAGAGGGAGAAAAATTAAAACTAGTAAAGTTTAAAACTCTTGATTTCTTTGATTGCTGCTATCTATTTGGCTGACTCTGGGCTTGTCTACAGGGAACATCTGGTCAGCCTAGATCTATTACAGGAGTGGGAGGGCGAGGTTTTGTGGCCTGTAACATGGAAGAGGTCAGACAATATGATCATAATGGTCCCTCCTGACCTTGAAGTCTATGAGGGTGAATCTACAGTGTACCAGCTTGCCTTGCAGTAAACATCCCATGTGGACACTGACACTGCACAGTGAAAGTCCCAGCCGTTACTGCGTGGCAAGCAGGTATATTATAGATTCACACCTTGGCTAGCAATACAGGAACTTGCCATGTAGACAAGGCCTCCGCCTATGAAATGTACACACAGCTAGTTTGTACTAAAACCTCCTCTTGTTATGTTTTCCTCCCTCCTTCCGGTCTGCTCATTTGTCTGATCCACTGATTATGTCCTGTCTTTTTAAAGTGTAAGCTGTTTGGGACAAAGACTGTCATTTACTCTGTATTTGTACAGTACTTAGCACAATGAGGCCCTGATACCCGTGGGCAACTCTAGGCAACTACTATAATGAAAATAAAAAAACCTCTTAGGTAATTTTTAGAAGTTAATTATTTATATAAAAATAATCTTTTTAAATTCCAAATTCTGAGGATCATCCAGAGGTAAAAGTGGATTGTGTGACCCATTGGCAGGGTAGATTAAAAAAAATTTTTTTTAAATCTGTTTGAAATGAAATCTGAATATAATATAAAATACATTAAGGCTAAACGTACTCTCTTGAAACATTTAAATTTTAAAAATGCTAAATCCATAAGGCTTTATCAAAAACTGAGTTAAAGGCTGTTTTTCTGTATAAAGAAAGAATCGGGGAAGGGATGCAACTAACTTTTGAGGTCAAGCTTTATAAATTTGGCACAGTAGGTCATGTTATGTATTAAGAGCTCGTTTTGTTTAATAAAAATAAATGTATGCTGTTGTGTGTTTAATTAAATTCTAGCTACCATCCTAATGCAGCTTGACACAAATCACGAGCAAAAATGATCTAGTAAATAAGCAATGTATCATTCACCATTTTCTAACATACTAAAATGTGCAATTAATAAGAATCTGAAAATATTAAGCTATAAAATTGCTCAAAAGTATATCTTTAATGTACCCTCCTAGCAGAAAGGTGTATCAATTCTCGAATAAAAGGAGTATTTGACTATAAATCAACATGTTTTAACGGTTATATTAACTAATGAGAATGCACCTTTTAAGGTAGCTGAAGTACAAATGGAAAAGTTGACTTAAATCATCAGTTTTAATCAAGGCTTTCCACTTGATAATTTTTAAATCAGTGATTTAAATCACCCTGATGTAACTCAATCCACTCTCCCCATTGGGAAGCTGTAAAGCACCCTTTTCCAGTGGTATAAAGTTCTCAGTTTTAGGTTAATTGCAAGAATTCAGACCTTGGACTGAGTATGGTCTCTCCTGGGCCACTGACCAGGGTAATTTTAGGGAGAAATCCCACTAGCTGGGGCGGGAAGGAGAGAGGGAAGGAAACATTTTTTGTGGCAGGTGAATTTAAACAAAAATTAAATGTGATGGTGGTTTGAAGCTGCTTAGAAGTTTGGAATGCTGTGGAGATGGATTAGTGGGCAGAGGACAGGTGAGACAAGTGCATGAGAGGTTCTGTTTGTCCCCTCAACATCACCACAGGTGTTTGTGTGTATACTCAGACATGCCCAAATTTATAATATGGGCAAGATTGAAATGTGGAATTTGACCCACAAGGAATCCCATATAGAGTTTCCAGGATAATAATATTGATGGGGTGGGAGTATCTTGTTAGATCAAGTTTCGCTTGCTGGAAGGAGGCTTAGCTAATGCATTCCCTTTTCAGCCTAGCTTTGAATATCGCTCCTTGAGGGGGAAGTGCTTTAACCTCAGCTGAGACTATCTATTTTAAAAACACAGATTGCATTTGCAGTTGGCAAAGAACCACATATAATTCCCTGTTCCCTTTTTTCTAATTACTTCAGGGGCAAAGTTAGCTCTCCATGGTGATCAGAATACAGCTACTCTTGGTACAAACTGTGTCCAGTTCAGAGCAGGGCAAATGGGACATAGATATTTACAAGGACAGAGTTAAGTTCTGCAGGACCCTGTGCATGCCTGGTTGGCTTGAGGAAGTCTGCTGGGTGACGTGTGTCTGAGCTCAGATTCCTCCTTCCTGTTGCACTTGTTTTGCTAGGCTACCGCACTAGAAGTGCGCTTTGTGTAATGAATGCCCCTTTTAGTTAACTGTTTTGAATTCTAAACTTGCATTTGGTGAAAGATGCTGGTTTGATGGTGTTAGAGTGAAGGCCCCCCTTGTTTCCAGAAATGGTGTGGGATTGACAGTAGCAAAGCGTATATGTTCCTAAGCCCTGACATGTTATCCTGATGTAAAATCCTAGTGTAGATGGGAACAGGTAGTTTTACCTCCGTGTAGTCAGTCAAAGTCAACCCTTGAGCAACAAAAATGATAAAAGGTATTAAAAAAAGACCTATTAAAAAAACAAAAACCCTGGGCATGTTTAGTCTTGAGAAAAGAAGACTGAGGCGGGGGGACCTGATGAGTCTTCAACTATGTTAAGGGATATCATAAAGACCCCAGGGATCAATAGTTTTCCATGTCTACTGAGGGCAGGACAAGAATTAATGGACTTAAAGCTTTCTTGCTTCAAATTGGTTAGATATTAGGAAAAACTTTGATTATAAAGGCAGGTAAGCTTTGGAACGTGCTTCCAAGGGAGGTTGTGGAATTGCTATTACTAGAGGTTTTTAAGAACAGGTTGGACACACACCTGACAGGGATGGTCTAGGTTTACTTGGTTCTACCTCAGCACAGGGGGCTGGATTTGATCACCTCTCAAGATCCCTTCTACCCCTATATTTACACACACACACACACACACACGCACACCCTGGGATTTACCTTTGTTAGCTGCATGCAGGTAAAACTACACTGCATTGTTTCCAGTAGGATTTTACAGTGAGATTGATGCAAACCCACTTTTCCTTTAGTGAAGGCATAGCCAGATATTCCCAAACTGACTTCATGTAGATGTTAAATGATAACTTCAGGCACTACCAATTTGGTTTGTATCTAAACCAGTGCCTGAGAAGTGAAATGGTTCCTATCCCATTGTAAAGAATACATTAGTGGGTAGAGGGCAATGGTGTCCAGGAGAGAACATCCTACTCCTTCCCCCCCCTCCCTTGTGCTGCTTGAGAGATTTCCTAGATAGTTACGTGGCAGTGAGTCTCAGAGCAGTTGTCTGAAGAATCCTGTATGAGGGTTAGGAATTATAGATTACATCCCTGTTAGACTGAGGCCCACACACCCACCTAGATGAATTCTTGTTAAAGAAATTGGATTTTCCATTCACCAGGAAATGTACATGTTTTTCTATAGTGTTCATCACGCATTGTATTGCAAAGACACTTTCCAGGGAGAGTGTAGCTGTGAATTGAAAACAGAGAAGATTTTATGGTGAGATTTAAAGAGGGGAAGTGACTCGGAGGCAGGAAATGGGGGAGAATTCCTGATAGGTGGACCAGAATATGCAAGAGCAGATCTGCCCCCCTTCACCCCAGAGTGATTGAGAGTTACAGAAGGATGGGCAGAGAAGAGCAGAAGACTGAGCAGACTTTGGAAGTAGTTCCAAAGTTAAGATTGCCCCCTCGTGTATACATTACAATTAAGTCTTGAATTACATGATCACCTCCTACTTCTCAAACACAATGTAATCAATTTTTGCTACAAGCAAATATGTGCGTCAGACTGATAGTGGTTTTCTCATTCTTTTCTATTCATGCTAATGTCATTGTAACAATCCTCTATACCTTTACTAAGTTAGACAGGATAAACTTCTTCCCTCTAAATTATGTATTCTGTTAATTTTTCAAGATCCATACGCTATGTTTTCTTCTCAACCAGCAGCACAGCCTGCCTTTGGCGCATTTCAGTAGAGAGAAAGTTAGCTGTGAAGCTAATTTACCTGCAAATTTGGGACCTACATGTGCAATCAACATTGTACTATTTCTTAATCTGTAGTCAGTTCTCAAACTTACTGCACACTTTTCATATAAATGACTTTCCTGGACTCTAGTCTACACAGTAGAACATACTACTCCAAAATGTTACATGTGTTTAAAGCTGTAGGGAAAAAAGGATTACAAAATGCAATTTGAAAAATAGTAGCTAATCATAAAAAGAAAAGGAGTACTTGTGGCACCTTAGAGACTAAGGTGCCACAAGTACTCCTTTTCTTTTTGCGAATACAGACTAACACGGCTGTTCCTCTGATAGCTAATCATAATTAGACTGTGCTGTAATGTATAATCACAAGGGGGCAGTATTAAGATTGCACATACAGCCTCAACTTGAGCATTTTCCTGACTTTTGAGTGCTTAACTATACAACCTTTATATTCTGTTATAATAGGAAATTTGAGGAAAACACTCCGTTCCCTCCCCCCTTACAGAAGGGCGGGCTGGGGGGCGGGGAAGAGAAATCAAAAGGAGAATTTTCACTTTCCAGGCCTTTGAACTTCTGTTGGCTTGCAAAAAATTGTAAGTAGTGTGTTGCAGATCACAGAATTTACAGTTTGGTAAGATAATAGAAACCCCTGCCCCCATTCCTGCATGCCTCAAGGTCCACAATGGAGAGCCAGTCCCATGCCCTTTAGGAGTGCTGTAGGTTGGAAGGATGCTTAGCATCTTCCTCATCTGCAGAGCCCATGAGGTGCATTGGAACAAGGATCCCTACTTCACAACTTATGAGGTCCACAGACCCTCCCTCAACACTTGCATGGCTTAAGTTCTGCAGGGGTGGCAGCAGTTCTTATTGTGGTCCTAGTTCATTTTGCAGTTGTCCTTTTACACTAGGTGAATGTCTGAACTTCCACACTGCTAATGCTGACACAGCTGAGCTTGTGTTAGCCGCAATGTTGGAATCCCTAGCATGGATGTGGTTAAGGCTGCCAATATGGTTTTTAGTACCATTATGGTTAAACTTGATCCCTGCAGGAGACATGGGGCTTTTAAAAGGCTGGGGGGGAGGGGGATTAAAACCTTATCTGTACTAGGATTCCCAGTGTTGCTAATGCAGCTGCATCAGTGTTAACTAGGGTAGGAGTTTTTTGGTACAAGTTTCCTAGCGTAGACTGCACTGGTGTGCAGGAGCCCTCGTTCAACCCCTTCACATCTGCAGAAGTACTTGCCCCTTCTGTCCCTCCAGATTTGCAATATCATGGCTGATGGGACTTTTCACAGAGTTAGCCATCTGCTGTGAACCCTTTCTAGATAGGCACCTTATGAGCTTTGTAGAAATATTTATTGCTTGTCTTCATATGGGCTTATCAAAGGCTTAGAACGCTGTCAAATCGAAACCAGTTTCCTCCAGAATCAGCAACGGCCCTGCTGCTTAATGAGGACAGCTTCCATTCAAGTTTGTGTTCAAACCTTTGGCCATTTTTTCCTGCAGGGTTGTTTGAACAAGTAATAAGAATTTCTTTTTTTAATAAATGGGAAAAGTATGTTCTCATGCTCAAAAATAGCTGAACTGTTTTCCCTTTAAAAAAAAAAAAAAAGACATCCTTGGGCAGAGACGAAGCATAGAAAATTTCAGCCCAGAAGGGGAATGTGTCAGAAAAAGTGCAGCAACCGGAAGAAGGGGGGGGGGAGAGAAATTCTAGCCCTTCTGCAGATCCATGTACTACATTTTCTTCTCAGCCAGTGGTCGGTGCATTTCATTAGAGAGATTAATAAATTAAAGTTCCTGCAAATGTTGGTGACCTATATTCATGAATAAACTAATTAAAAGTTCCCCCAACTTACCTTGTTTTCCTTCTCCTTGCAAAGTGGGAAGAAAGCAGGCAGAATTATTGCCATAGGTTACATCAGGAACATTATTGGTCCCACATGCAAGTCTCTGATTTGGAAGCAGTGTGGCCTTAGCAATGTGACCCTAGGAGTATGTGCATTTGGCATGTGTACACACACCCCAAGTGGTGTTGGTAATTAATAAAGGACACTTGCCTTTGGAGCTGGTGCTGAACAAGTTCCCCTCTGCATTACTACATATTGGGCTGCTTGTGGTGCTGTTTCAGATGTAAATCTAAGGCTCTGGCCGTTCCCTGTAAAAGGACTCAGACACCTCTCTAAAGGGTGGGTGTTAAACTGGGGTGTCCCGGCCACATTCCAACCTGGGTAATTTAAATTCTGCCTACCTGAATTCCTCTGTAGTGCCCGATGGATGCAGTATTCTTCACTTCCTGCCTAAGCTGCTTTGTAGGAGGAGGGTGGTGGTGTTTGTGCTGTTAAATAACTGCTGGGTTTCACCTTAGAGGTGGCAGTGTTTCACAGGTGGGTGAGAGTGATCCTTGTGTCCTTACCTAACCAGCTCACAGGGTGCTATGAATGCTTAATCGAGTTCTATTTGGACAGCATTCTAAAATCCCACGTGAAAGGCATGGTATAAATGCAGAATGTTCTTACCTTTGCATCCATTTGGTTGAGATTAATCTGCCTTTTTGTATCTCCCCTTTGGGTTTGACAGGGCTCAGCTTGGAGGCGGCTCTGTATTAACCCAGGTGGAACCGCTTCCCAAAAGGCACAATGATAGTGGTGACTGGAGTCATGTCAGCGCCCGAGCTGGGTTCCACTGCCACCACCCCAGTTGCAGCCCCAAACTTCTCCTGGATGTCTGATGATGGCAGCCCCACGGCTATGGAGCAGCCGATATTCCTAATGACCACTGCTGCTCAGGCCATCTCAGGTTTCTTTGTGTGGACAGCTTTGCTCATCACCTGCCATCAGGTAAGAATCTCTTGGTGTTTGATCCCTGTAACCGTCTACCCCCCTCCCCCAAACTGGGTGAATACACATGGTGTGAGGGGTGTCTCTGCCAGCTGTGCGGGTTTGTTAGAATCATTCCTGCTGTTGTCACTGGCTCAGCTTATGACTCTCACCCCTCCACTTTGAGGAGTTGCAATGTGAGCTAATTTTGCATCTTGGAGAGGGGTAGGGTGACCAGATGTCCCAATTCTGTAGGGACAGTCCTGATTTTTAGGGTCTTTTTCTTATATAGGCTCCTATTACCCTCCACCCCTAACTTTTCACACTTGTTGTCTGGTCACCCTAGCAAGTTATTCACCACCTATAACTCAATAAAGGGAGCTGTGCTCAGTACTGCACAAAACTGTACCAAGGGAATGGTTGAGGGGTTCTTTTGCTTCAGGTGGATCCAGGGGTTTGGTAGCAGGCAGTATGAGTTGTGGAGAGGTTTACTCCTTGTTGCTTAATGATCAGCTCTGTTCCCTGAGAGTAGGCGAATATATAGGGAGGAAGCATCAGGAGAAACAGAACTCCACCTCCCTGGAGAGGAGCAGTGTTTGTGTGTGTTTGGGGAAGAGAAACATGTGAGTCTGAGGCTTGGTGCAGATGGCACCATTCTGTGCCTAAGATTGTAGTGGTCAGCTAGCTGCTTACACAATGTCACATCTTTCCCTTTGTCTTCAGGCTTGTAATAATCAAACTTTGCCTAGCAAGGAGCCCCAGGATACTGGCAGGTGAGGAGAGGGAGGGCATTATAAAGGATCAAGCACCTTTCTGCCTGGCTCTCATTAGCAGAGGCACAAGGGGATAGCTGTATCAGGTAAGGCCATTAGCCCAGTCAGTCTGGTATCCTGCCTTTGGCAGCAGCTAATACCTGTCGTCACAGTTACTGGGATAGCTGCAAATCTGTCCCCCTTCTGGTCTCTGAGTGCACCCCTTCATGCCTTACCCGTTCCGGAGAGGAATTCTGCAACTCTCCTACTCTTAGGCCAAAGGTTCTCCTTACCATTATTGCCTAGGAGGTCTGATGGAGTTCTGGCACCTGCAGTTCTTCACTTGGAGAGTCTGTGACCAGTCAGCTTCTTAAAGTGAAGGTATTGTTTAGTTTAACAGAAAAAGGAATTTAGAGAACAAGGATTTAAACAGTCTTCATGCATCTCTTACCTACTGGCCTGCCACCTCCTGCAAGCCACACTTCTTCAGACACCTACAACAGTTTTTCAGAAGAAACAGACTAAGACGCCAGACAAAATCCTGCCCTCTCGAGTGTTCCTTTTTAAACCTGCTAGAGTCCTATCAATCTTCTGTGTTTTGCTGGCTTGAATCAGGAGAGGAAAAGGCCTGTTTTATATGGCTACCTGGAGAGGAGCCAAAATCGTCAAAGCAAGTAGTCCTGCCATTGTCCCTTAACAATTTAAGTGTTTGCAGAGAGGAGGCTTATCCCAAGCTGCTGTTTTCCTTCCTGCCTGTTTTTCTGACAGCCTCTATTGTGTTAAACCAATATAATCACACAGAAAACACCCCAATTACCAGACCACCATATGGTCTTCTTAAGTTATTACAGAGCTGCTCCAAATCCATCACACCTGTTCTTTCAGAGGCATGTGAACACCCACCTCCCCCTCAAGAATACACTTGGCCTTTTGAGTAGTGCTGCAAGTGGAGGTGGGGGCATGTGATATTGGGCTCTGCTCACCACTGGATACTGTCACCTCCTGGAATTTCTGCAGATTAGCTCAGTCAGGCCCTTCCAGCCGTTACACCCCCATCCATTTCTCCTCTTCAGCTCCTCTCTCACTCCCAGGAGCCACAGCTGTCCTCTTCCTGACTCAGCCCTCCAGTCAGGTCACGATTGTGGTTTCCCCTCTACAAGTGGAGTGCATCAAGGTTCCTGCTTTCCAGCAGGCTTAGGCAGTCTTCTGCTTCACTGCCTCACAGTACCACTACTGCAGTGGCTGGCAGGAAACCCCAGCCCACTCTCTACTCCAGGTTCCTGCTCGGGGACCCTCTACCCAGCAGCCAAGGTCCATTCCCTGAGCTACTTCTACTTCTTTACCTCCTTGCCCTCCCCACTCCTCTGGGTTTGGCAGTCTCTTCACTTTCTCCTCCCAGGGAGTAACTGTAGGTAACTCATCTCTGCAGCTACTCAAACACATCTCCCAGAAAGTGATGTAGCCTACTGCTCTTTCTGTCTCCATTTTCCTGTCTTTTGGAAGAACGCTGCCTGTCTCTCACAGGTGAGCTTCTCTCTAATTAGCTGCCTCCAGCCTAACGCTCCCCCCTCCTTTGCTGCCTAATTAGCTGGTTGGGTCCAACTCAGCTCTTTTGCAGGGCCAGTGTGGGGTGCACATCCCATCACAGGGCAGGATATGTAGGTGATGAGATTGTGCCATGATTTATGAGGCTTAATTACTCTCTATTCTTAGCTGGCCATTTTATAGTTATGTCAGCTGTTAGTTCATTAAATGATCAGCCATTTATTGTTTTAAATCATCCAGCCTACAGTACCTGCCTTGATGACCTTCCGTGCCAGTGAATTCCACTAGCTGAATTCTGCTACGGAAAGGAGTAGCAGGAAATGTTTGTTTTGCTTTTTCTCCTTTTCTTTCTGGGGCAACGCCTGGCCACCCTATCTCATTCAGTATTCTCTGGGTGTCAGCACAAGTCCAATCCAACATCCTCTTCTCTAATGTAATCATCTTGTGGACTGTAACACAGTGGGAAATACATGCCCTGAAATGTATCAACCTGTGTTCCGTACCTCTGTGTTGTTGGATTCCAGAGAGCTGAGTAGGAGTTGGAAAATGACAGTGTATTGCAGAGGCAAATAGTCTAGGGGGGTTTGAAAAGAGATTAGTCACTGATGAATAAGAGTAAGACCTGTAGTGCCACTAGCTTAGGGAACAATAAGCGCTATCATCCTCCTGCTTCAGGGTGCGCATTGATCACCTGCTGGGAGTAGGGAAAAATTCTTCTCCCTGATATAGCGTTGCACAGCTAGGGTTTTCTGCTGTTCTCTACCACAGCGGTTCTCAAACTTTTTAGCAACCTGAGGAACCCTATTTGGATTAAAAAAAATTTGAGGATCCCCAGCGCGCCCCCCCCCTCACTCAGCCCTTGCCATGCCCCCTTCCCTGAGGCCCCAGCCCTTCTTTGGGGCCCCACCCCCTCTCACTCCATCCCCCCCTTCTTCTGTGTCTCACTCTCCCCCACTCTCATTCACTTTCACCAGGCTGGGGCAGAGGGTTGGGGTACAGGAGCGGGTGCAGTCTCTGGGAAGGAATTTGGGGGTGGGCTGTGGGAGAGAGTTTGGGTGCAGGAGGGGGTGTGGGGTGCGGGCTCTGGGAGGGAGTTTGGGTGCAGGAGGGTGGGAGGGGTGCAGGCTCTGGGTGGGAGTTTGGGTGTGGGCTCTGGGCTGGGGCAGGGGGTTGGGGTGCAGGAGGTGGTGAGGAGTGTGGGCTCCAGCCAGGTGGCGCTTACCTCGGGCAACTCCCGAAAGCCATCAGCACATCTCTCTGACAGAGGCTCCTAGGTGGGCGGCAGATCAAGGAGTCTCCGCGCGTTGCCCCTGCCCGCAGGTACCATCCCCGCAGCTCCCATTGGCAGCAGTTCGTGGCCAATGGGAGCTGCACAGTTGGCACTTGGGGCAGGGGCAGTGTGCGAAGACCCCTTGCCCCACAGGGATGTGCCAGCCGTTTCTGGGAATGTCACGGAGCTGGGGCAGGTAGGGAGCCTGCCTTAGCCCCGCTGTGCCACCGGACTTTTAGCATGCAGGAGGCACTGGGAGGGAGCGGGAGGAGTGGAGGGAGGGGAAAGAGTTGATCAGTGAGGCCTGCAGACCCCCTGGGGTATCCTCAGGGACCCCCAGTTTGAGAATTGCTGCTCTTCAGAATCCAGTGTTGCTAAATGTGAGAGGCAGGGGACTGGATTAAATGTGTCATTGGTCTGCCATATGGCATTCCCTGCCTGATGTGCTCTTGTGATTGTGCACACAGTGAAAGGCTCTAGGGACATCCCTGTAACTCTGAGAGGGAAACCTGGAGTCACTTGAACTGTGACACTCAGTATCCCTGGGGGTGGGTAGGTATTATGTATCATTTGTATTATCATAGCGCCTAGGAGCCCCAGCCCTGGACCAGGACCCCATTGTGCCAGGTGCTGTGCAAACAAAGAGATGGTCCCTGCCCCGAGGAGCTGACAATCTAAGTATAAGATGAGAGACGGGAGTACAAGAAACAATGAGACAATGTTGGTCAGTATGACAGGCAGTGGTTTTAGCACACCAGCTTCCTCACCATCAAGTATTTGATAGGTGTCATAGCAGAGGAGAGTTTTGAGGAAGGATTTGAAGGTGGATAACAAGGTAGCTTTGTGAATGTTCATGGCCAGCTTCTGCCAAGTGTGAGAGGCACAGAGCCACGAAGGTGCTTGTTTCAGAATTTAACAAGTGGGGGCTGGAGGTGAGAGCTTACCTTTCGATACTGAATGAAAGATGATAGGTGGGGTGGGGTTAGGTCATAAATGAGCCTCAAAAGTGAATGCAAATTGCATATGGTTTGATATGGTAGAAAAGAGGGAGCCAGTGAAGGGATTCAAGGAGACAGGTGACGTGGTCCAAGTGACGAGCTAGGAAAATGATCTTTGCAGCAGCATTCTGAATGGATGAATGGGGAAGATTACATTTGTCAAGGCCAGAGAAAAGGGTGTTGCGGTAATTGAGATATGAGGTGATGAGAACGTGGAGGAGTTTTAGCCATGTGGACAGATAGGAAAGGCCGTATCTGAGATGTTATGCAGAAAGAATCTGCATGATTTAGAAATAGCCTGGATGTGAGGGTGTTGGTCTGAGTCAAAGATGACAGACACCCAAGTTATGGGCAGCATGGTAGTGGTGTCTGCAATCATCCAAAAAGGAGGTAGCAAGGAGGGATTGGGGGTGAAGATGAAGAACTCTCTTTTAGCCCTATTGAGTTTGAACTGGCAGCTAGTCATCCATGAGGAGAGGTCAGAGAGAGAGGCTGAGATTTTTGATTGGACAGAAGGAGACAGGTCTGGAGTAGAGAGGTAGATCTATGAATCAGCTGCATGAAAGTGGTAGTTCAGTTTGAGTTTCTGGTTGAGATTGCTTATAGACAAGGTATAAAGGGAGAAGAGATGGGAACAAGGACAAAGTCCTGTGGAACCCTTACTGAAAGCTGGAAGGAGGGATGAGGAGGAGACACTGAAGGAACAATTAGAGAGGTAGGATGAGAACCAGGAGAGGACAGTCACGGGGGCCAAGGAAGGGACATGATTTCAAGAAGAGTGTGGTTGACTGTGTTGAAGGTGCCTGACAGGTCAAGGAGAATGAGGATGCACTTTGAGCTTTGGCTAGGAAGAGGTCATTAAAAACTTTGGTGAGATCAGTTTCAGTTGAGTGCAAGGGATGGGAGCCACATTGGAGAGGGTGAGATATGGAATGGGAGGAGAGGAATTTGAAGGAGTGTAACTGGATTGTAAGAATTAAAAATCACGCCGGTTGGTTGTGCGTTCTGTTTTTTGTTGTTTAAATTAAAACTACATGTAAAAGACTTTGCCTCTGGAGAACATGTTCCCTGCTGGTTCAACCAAACCTGTGTCCACTGACCATCAGGACTTGCTGTCAGGCCTCTTTCTTTATGCAGGCTTTTGCCTGGAGTCCTTTAATTGTCCTGGCCATTAAGGAAGGTTGATTGTATATTTCAAGTTGACAAATTCAGTGTTCCCGGTGTGTATTTTTTGGTAAAGGTGAACTTTGTTGTTAGAAGATGGATATTCTGGGGAAGAAATTTTTTAAGGGTATGACAGTTTAATTTTGAGATGATTAATGAGCGCCCTGATTTTTGGAGGGAGTGGGTAGGATTGTGACATCGTAGTTGTCTCAGCCCATGTTCCTGGGTGAGTAGAAAATTTGCAGTTCTATTGGTTATCGGGCTGCACACGTTTTTTGACTTTATTGCTCAGAAGAGAGTCCAATTTCAGAGCTGTGAGATGTACTGCTCTGGTAGGAGGGCAAGAGGCTGGCATTTTATGGCTTTACTGTTAAAGCAATAGTATGACTCTTGCCAGCAGGCAGTGGGGTTTGGGGCTTATCCATCTACTTAAAACATATATGAATGAATTTTCTGGGGTTCTTTCATGGGAAAGTATATAAAACTGCTCTGAGGAAAGAGGGCCTTAACCATGGTGACAGCCTGATGTGCTCAGTTCTGTATGGTTGAGGAAAAGAGGAGGTTGCAGGGTTGGGAATCTTAAGTGCCTGAAAGGAGATAGTCCATCCCAAGATTCTGCTATCTGGGAATTAAGTATGAACAAGAGAACATGAGGCCACACTTGGTAGTAATTAGCAAAAAATAATAAAAATGAATTTAATCCCATCTCATTAGAAACTGGACTGCAGCCCCCAATTCACTTCACACAGGCCACTGCGAGTGACCATAAGAAAGAAACAATTTTTTATTCCTGCCGTCATAAGGCTGCGTTAGATCACCTGCTCCAGTGAGGAGTTCTGTGTTCCATTCTCGGTCCCCCGCTGCCATCCAGTCCCACCCTTTCCTCTGTTTGATTGTCACTGACCCTGTTCTCCATCTTCCCCCATTCAGATCTACATGCATCTGCGCTGTTACAGCTGCCCCAATGAGCAGCGCTACATCGTCCGGATCCTCTTCATTGTGCCCATTTATGCCTTCGACTCATGGCTCAGCCTCCTTTTCTTCACCAATGACCAGTACTATGTTTACTTCGGCACTGTCCGGGACTGCTACGAAGGTAAGGCGGGGATTGCGGAGTATGGGGTTTTTCTGCTGCAGGCTGGAGTGCAGGGACTGGTCCTGCATGTGGACAGGAAGTGTGGAGGGCGTACCTCTGTCATATGGCTATGATTTGTTCTGATATCGAACTAGATCCATGGTTTGAAGCCTGGCTTAGTGACTGGGGAACAAGGTCTTCTGTCTTCCTGGCTGCTATAGGAGTGGCAGGGTATATTGGGATTCCCCTAGGATACGGTTTAGAAAGACATGCAGCTTGTGAAAAGATTTTCTCACGTGGCAGACTTGTATTCATTCTTTCAGAGGAGGTGTAAAGCCGAAGGTCTGAATACCCATCGATGTTAAAGGTCCCAAAGGTCTCCCAAACACCCGAGCAGACTTCAGGCAGGCCAATTGTATGCTGCCCCTCCTCATGTGGCCCCTAAATCCCCATGGCAGTTTCTGTTGGCAATGTTACTTACTCTCTTCCCATCCGGTAACTGTTTGCATCGTTTCCCTGGCACAGAATGGCTGCTGCATTCCTCTACAGTCGCCACTGTGGTCCTGGTATGTGAGAGAGCTGGAATGTGCTTTAGGATCCCACTGGCAGAAAGGAGTGAGGATTAGTATCGGTTAGTTATTGCACTTTTCTAAGGATGTGACACACCTGGCTAGCAAAGGAAAACTCACCCTTGGGGCATATGAGAAAGAAACGGTCAGTCTCTGAAATAAACACTTCTCCTAAAATCTGACCCCTCACCCCATTCAAAAAAGGAGCCTCTCCCCCCTGCCCCCAACAGCATCCTGTGTTACACTGTGGCAGAATATCGTGTTGGATCACTATTATTGTGTGTGTTTGTCTGTCTGTCTGTCCTGACTAAACTGCTCCTTGTTTGTAGGGTTTGTTGTTAGTGAGATCTGTGTTTCTGGGAGAGAGGCCCCTGAGTGTGTCAACAAGTTAATCTGCTCAAGGGACCAGTGACAATGCACTGAGATGCAATAGCAGATGGCAAACTCATGCACACAATCCAGAGGCCACTTTTTCTCTCCCCTGCTCTCCCTGTGTTTGTGTGTAAAGGCCTAGCAGGAAGCCTGCTGCTCTGAGAAACTCTTCTCCTAGCAACGGTTATTTACCCCTCCGCCTTGCCTAGGGAGTTTGCAAACATCACAACATCTGCTCAAGGGGTCAGCCTGCGTTCTAAAGTTCACCTGCTTTGCCCACTTGTTGTGCTGTGTGGAGGTGCGTCCCTTGCCCCCGTCTATTCTCTGAACAATTTCAAAACTATGCCTAGGAAAAGCAGGAGATTGGAGAGGACGTGAGGGATATCTTTCTCGCTTTCAGTGGAGATTTTTACTCTTGGGGAATAGCTCCACTTGAAAACAATAAAAATAGTAACGAATTAAAAAATCCATAACTAAACTTCAAATCTGTGTTGTACCAATCGTGGGTGGTTCTCTGTGGTATGTCTTTTGGCGGGTGGGATATACTTTTTTGGTCCTGCTCTTTTATCCTGCCTCCACACACATGAAATCTGGGGCCTCAGTCTGTGACATAAGAGTTTGTGTTCTTTTGTGGTGATGTGTGATAAGCACTTTTGATGACAAAGGCGAATATGAGCTAGGAGGGGAAGCGCTGTTATTCTAGCGCAGCCATCTTTAATAATTAGCACTTGTTTCTTTTGGGGAATGTAGAGGGAGAGTGGGGGCAAATGTCCCCATTCTTCTCCCTCTGATTTCATCTCCTGCCCAACGCTGTTGGATGGGCAGCTGGTGTTGCAGTGACTGCATCGGAGAGTAGTGGAGGGCACCACTGGAGAACAATATGAGAAGCTAAGCTTCTCCTCCCCCAGCAGCTGAGAGCTGCCTCCATAGGCCTAAAGTTAAGGAAGATGCAGGAAGTTTGCAGACCAGGTAATTTACCACAGGTTTTTTTAATAAATGTTTTTTGTGTTGTGTCTTTTTAATTGATTATTTCATTGATACCAATACCCAAATATAATCAATGGGCCTGTTCAATAACCAGGATTACAGGTGGAATACAAGTTTGCCTTATTGTATAAATAGAAGCAAGTAGATCATGGCCATTTATGCACTGTGCTATTCTGTTGTGCTAGAAATGTCTGGAAGTGCTTCCGTTGTGTCTAATCCTTTTGTTAGATCTTTGGGGGGTGTTTCCTCATGGGATCTGTGTATCCCTTTGTGTAAGGGCATAGTTGGGTGATTACAAGGGCCCAGAGGAGGTAAAAGTCCACGAGCTGTCTCCGATCATGGATGTCTTTTCAAGTGGGATAACCTCCTTGATGTCTGGTATCCAGCTCCTTGCTGAGGTCAGATTCTTGGCTTTATGCATTTGATTTTGTTTTGTTCTTGTCTTGAAATTCCTTGGGTACAGTGTCTCTCTCCTGAGTTTATTATTTGTTCAGGGCAAGTTGATGTTACCGTAATACAGTCAGGATTTGGGCCCCATTGTGCTAGGTGCTGTACAAACATAGAGTAGGACAGACCCTGCCCCAGGGAGCTCACAGTCTAATTTAAATCAGGATACAAGAGTGGCTGTAATAGTAGGAGAGAGGTGGGAGGACTAGAATAAGGGAATGAGAACAGGTTAACGTAGGCTAACCATGTGCATTGCTAAATGGTTGTCATGTATTTATTTATTACATTATCTATGATAAATGAAAGTCCCTACCAGTCATTTATGGGGCGGTGCTGAGGGGGAATGTGGGGGGCTATAGCCACCCCCAAAATTTGACTTACCCCTCTGTAGCCACCCCGTAGCAGCTGCTGCTCTCTGGCCGCCCAGCTCTGACGGCAGAGCAGAGAGACTGGCGGCTGCTGGCCGGGCACCCAGCTCTAGCAGCAGTGGAGAAGTCAGGCTGGGCAGGGGTGCCTGAGAGCCAGGTGAATGGAGGGTGCGGAAAGAAGTGAGATGGATGATTCATTAGGGATGCTTTTCCATGTGAGTGAGTACTAGGCTCATGCCCCAGAATAGTGCGAGGGAGCGCTGCAAGTCTGGGAATGGCATCTCATAGAATATGAGGGTTGGAAGGGACCTCAGGAGATCATCTAGTCCAACCCCCTGCTCAAAGCAGGACCAATCCCCAATTTTTGCCCCAGATCCCTAAATGGCCCCTCAAGGATTGAACTCACAACCTTGGGTTTAGCAGCCCAGTGCTCAAACCACTGAGCTATCCCGGTCTTGGAGGAGATATAAAACAGAGGTCTTGACCAGAGGGATGGTGGCTAAAGGTCCCATGGCACTTTCTGGGGACGAGTAGGGGCATTAGCCTGGGTGCCCATGCTGGGTTTTGACGCAGATTGTTGTGTAACTGCTGAAGCAGGAGGAGGAGTGCACCCTGTAAAAACAGAATGTCATTGCTGCTGGCTTTGCTTCTCCCCTGCACCCCAGCTGCTTGTCCCCATTCAGTGGGTGTCAGATTTTGATCTGGTTAATCTGTCTTTGCAGCCTTCGTAATCTACAACTTCCTCAGCCTCTGCTATGAGTACCTTGGGGGGGAGAGCTCCATCATGTCTGAGATCAGAGGGAAATCTATCGAGTGAGTACTCCAAGTCTCTTTACAGCACTCTAACCCATCCTTCCCCAGGGGCTTGTGTGTCACAGGGTTTGTTTTAACCCCTGCCACTGGAAACTGTGTGGTGCAACAAGTGTACCCTGGAACTGGATGATACCACCTAGCTCATTACACAGAAGCCTCAAATGGACTTGCCTCATCCAGTGCAAGTGGGTGCTTGTCATTCAGATCATCACGTGTGAACCGAGCCTATGTAGAGCTTTCATGTTCATCTGGCTCCCCCGTAGTTTCTTCTCCCCTTCCCCCAGTATGTGTTTCCTTTCTCTAGCCCATGCTGGTTGTGGCTGCTTGCTCTCCTTTTCTCGTGCCGTACCATGCTAGCCAACGACTTCCTTGCCAAAAATCGGTTTTGGGGGGCAGAGATAGGAGTGCAAAACCACATCTCTGTTCAGTCTGCATCTCTGAAGGAGATTAAGGCTGTTGTCGCTATGGCAATGACTAATTTGGCCTGGTGAAAGGAAGACTCTTACATTTTCATCAGAAGACAATGGGCAGGCAAGGGCCTGCATCTCACTGCTTGCCATATCCTGAGCTCTGCCCTCTGATTCCTCTTTCTCTGGCTGTCCTGCTGTGTTGCATTTTCAGGTCCAGTTGCATGTATGGGACTTGCTGCCTGTGGGGGAAGACGTATTCCATCGGATTCCTGAGGTTCTGCAAACAGGTACTGGCTGAGGAAAGCTGGGCTGTGCGCAAGAAGCGGGAGAGGAGGCAGTAATGCCTGGCCCGTGGAGTTTCTGAGATGAGGGTTCCTTTGGGCCGACCTCTGTTCAATGGGTTTATGAGATCAAGCTGAGAAAGGCTGGGAGAAAATAAATCTGTTATCGTGTTGTAATAGCGCTGAAGCAGATATACCATGTTACTCTGCCCACCCAAAAACTAGAAAGGCTCTTAGCAAGGGAAATGACATGTCTTCTCTACAGGATCTACTCCAAGCCCCAGGAATTCCTGGGAGCTGATGTTTGTTTCCTCTTCCCCTCCTGGGATGGGCAGGTCCCAGATCCCCTATGAGAACTTGGTGCCTTCTTGGGTCCCAGACACCCCCAGTAGTTGTGTAAGTGTCTCTTGAGTTCCCAGCTTTGTCAGTGTGGTTAGGAGTGGGAGTCTGGAGTCTGATCATCGTGACACAACACTTTGCAGGAGGAACTTCTCCAGCATATTGCTCACTCCGGGGTTGTGGGGGGGTGCATGATGAAGTGGTTATGTCAGGAAGAGAGAGAAATCTAAATGACGACAAATCCATCATGCGTTTGGTTATGGGGTCCAGGAGGCTGTCACTGCTGGCTGTCACAATGTAGCAGTAAAGGTAGAGATTTGCTAAGCTGCTGAAAGTGACATGCAGGATCTCTCTGTAGATAGTGACTGAAACAGGTTGGTTAGATTGGGGCATTGCTTTCATTCTCTGAAAAAGGGCTGAATTCCATTTTTAATTATAGTCTTCGGGTCTCACTATGAATTTAGGCTCATTTGCTACCCTTACTCCACACCAGAGCTCCAGCTGATCTCAAAGAAAAGTTTGCATTAAGATCAAGAGTGAAAAGAGCGTGATTATTGCATTCAGCATTACCCCCTGGGAAGCTTAGTGACCTTTAGGGCTATGGCTATTTTCTTCCTTCCTTATCCTCCTTTATTTGTTCCTCTTGCTCTTTCCTGCCTTTATGTATTTCCATTCTTCCCTCTGTTTTTTCCTTCCCTAAGGAACTCCTAAGTCCTTCCTCACCTGGGCTTCACTCCCACCCCATTCTCCATTTCCCCCATTAAAACTGTGATCAATGACATTTAAAGTGTCCTCAACTGGCTTTCGAGTAACACCTCAGTGATAGGGCATAGGGTAGTTCACTCCTCTTAGCGCCATTGTTTCAGTCCGTCTGCAGACTTAGGCCGACATCACTACGTGAGTAACACTCAGCTCATGTCTGGAAGGTTTTCTTCTCAACCATGAGGAATAGCAACTTTTTGGTTTGTTTAATGAAAGCTGAAATTTTGCGAACTCTGAGTATGTTGCGCAGGTTTCACAAATGGATCAAGCGGGCCGAGGGTTTGACAGTTCTGTCTTGGATGGATATTTTTCTAGGCTCCCTCACTTCCCCGCAACGTGGTAGCAGTTCTTCCAGATGAGACTGCCCTTTGCAAACTGGTGGCACCGCTTTCTAGCCTGCCAGAGGGATGTGAAGCACTTCCCTCTCACTCCATGGAAGTTGGGCTGACAGCAGCTCAATGGGCAATATGTGGCACCGAGCCCAGCCTCTGGGACCTCCTTGGGATTCCAACACTGTTGGAGCAGGAAAACTTCCAGGGCCACCTGACTGCCAAGTTTATCTCCTTGATGACCCACTGAGGGGAAACCCTGTTAAAAGGAACACCTTGGCTGTTCTCAGCTCCACTCTGAGCCTGTCTGATAGTGGTGTCGCCCTGTCGGTTCTCGTCAGCCTTGTTAGTGCTGAAGGCCTCTTCACCGCGCAACTATCCTTCCCCTCCCCTCTCTTGTACTGGGCTGTTCTCAGACAGGCGTCTGCTGTATCCGTCTGTATCAGCCATGTGTATCTTGAGCACTCAGGGTACATCTACACTGCAATAAAAGACCTGTGGCACAGATGCAGCTTACTCAGGCTGTGGGGCTAAAAACTGCAGTGTAGTCATTTGGGTTGGAGCCCAGGCTCTGAGACCCACCCCCCTTGTGGAGTTTCAGAGCCCGGGCTCCAGCCTGAGCCCAAATGTCTACACTGCAATTTTTAGCCCCGCAGCCTGAGTCCCGTTAGTCTAAATCAGTTGACTTGGCCTCTGAGACTTGGTGCTGTGGATTTTGTGTTGCATTGTAGATACCCTCAGAGGCCACAGCGGTGGGTGTGGTCTAAAAGCCTGGGCAGACACTTATCTTCACAGTAGGGTATTATGCAGAGGTTCTTTCCCGACTTGTGCCCAGTGACCTTCATGATGTCTGGGTCATGCATCCTTAGTGCATTTCCCATATGTCTTAATGCTTTCTTCCCCAGGAAGTGCCTAAAAACAAAGTGTGTGGTTTGGATTGCAGGGAAATAGTTAAACAATCCCTGGACTGGAGGGAGAGGAAGCACAGATTTGTTGTATACCAATTAGCTTGACCTTTTTCAGTTCTCATCTTGATGACTCACCCACTGGCTTGTGTTGGGTTTTTTATCTCCTTGAAGTCTTATGACCACTAGCAAATTGTGTCTTACCAACAGCAACCTTCCTTTTGGTTTTGCCTTCCTTCTACCCACCTCAGCACCTTGCAAAACTCTTACCTGGTCTATTTTAGGGAGACTCCAGTGAAAATTTTAGGGTCTTCCCCTTTCCCCCCACCTCTCACCGGTTTGAAGTTCAGCTTCGTCTCTCTCACCAAAGTTAAATGTTTCTTACTGTGAGGTTTGGGGTGGGAGGGAATTATGAGGGGGTGGAGGTTCAGAGGCCATGCTCAGTCCTGGGACACCTGATGGAGCAGACAGAACTGCTCTCAAGTCCTAGAGAGCCTCCAGGGCGATTCTCCCTTCCAGATTGACTCTAAGCTCGTGCGAGTGAAAGCAGAACGAATCTAACCTAGCTAGGCATTTAGACAGCCCTCGTCACTGTGGTATCTGAAACCACCTTACTCAGTTTCATTTGCTGAGATATCCCTTTCTAAGAAGAGTCTGGAGTTGCTTCCTCTTTTCTCCCATCTAAGGTGACCACCTGCATCACAAGCAGACAGAGAATATGGTGATGAAAAATATGGACCAGAGTCCTTTCTTCCCCTCCCTGCCTATATCCCAGGACACATTTTGTTCATTATACAGAATCGTGTGTGTACCATGTCCCAGGGTAGGATCATGTGTGGTTATCACGTGGAAACGTGCATTTTTATCTGATCAGACGTTTCTCAGTAGCTCCTCATTGGACTTGGTCATGGAACGTTAGGCCCCAGTTAAGGACCTTCACTTAAAATGCAGGATGGGTGGTCTCCCTACCTCTGGTGCAACCCAGCCTCTGAACTGACTCCGTCAGTGAGCAGTCTCTTGCCACCTCCAGCCTGGGGGTGGGCTTCACCTGTTGTGGAGGAGGAAGGGCAGCCAGATGGATGCACACAATCTCACTCTTTCTCACCTTCTGCTCCTGGAGAACTGCAGTTAAGGACCAGTGGGACCAGTGTAATTGTTAGGACTGGAACCACACTATGCTGTTGAACGGCTCTGATGGTGACTGATGTATGGTATTGGTTGCCTCTGGATCAAAGCCTGTGTGTATGTATGTGGCACTTTGTTCTCTCTCCTTCTCCATCTCATTCCTCTTTCCCTTAGGCCACCCTGCAGTTCTGTGTGGTGAAGCCCCTTATGGCAATCAGCACCGTCATCCTCCAGGCCTTTGGCAAGTACCGGGATGGTGACTTCGAGTAAGCAAACTGTTTATCGTCGTGGGATTTCTTCAGCAAGCAAGCCTGTCATATGCCTGATGTTCCATGAGTTTGTGAAGGAAAGAGTCTGGCTGCCTTGGGGCCTGAGTGACTGCACAGGGTCATGGTGGGGCGAGGGGATGTGTGGAGAAAGGGGGTTCTTGGGCTGTGCATGAGATGAGGGAGAGCAGCGTGGAGGGGAAAAGAGGCATTTAAGAGTGGAGCAGATGAGTTTCATGTTACCTCAGGGAAGGGAGTTGGGTGGGGGTGCCAGATGGGAGAGGAAGGTTGTACCCTTGTCTCAAAGAGGCGAGGGATGGAGGATATTTGTGAACTGCAGAGGGTTTGTGTTTCCTCTCATTTCAGTGTCACCCGCGGCTACCTCTATGTGACGATCATCTACAATATTTCAGTCAGCCTGGCACTCTACGCCCTCTTCCTCTTCTACTTTGCCACACGCGAGCTGCTCAGCCCCTACAGCCCTGTTCTCAAGTTCTTCATGGTCAAGTCCGTCATCTTCCTGTCCTTCTGGCAAGGTGAGGCACCTCCTCTCCCTACCCTGCAGATCTCATTAGAGAGGCCCCCGGGGAAGTAAAAGCTGATGAAACAATTGTTGAGTAGCCACCGAGTCTCTATTGTGATCCTTTAGTATGTTGTTGATCGTCCCAGGAGAAACTCTCTCCCCCTTTGTCATCTTTGTACCTCCCCCACTGTCTTTGACACACACCTGCCTCACAAACCAGCTGCTTGTTTCATGGTGGCCTTGGGCAGCTCTGCCAATGGCAAGATGCAGCTGGCATGAGTTCATCTGCATATTGCAATTGTATTGTGACAAAACCTGAAATCATGGGTCTCCTTTAAAGATTATCAACAATCTTCAGTCACAAGCTCCTATACCTTTTTGCTAAATGACACACAAACTGAAACACATGTCATGTAGTTTCAGAACCCCCAGTGGATCAGGGCAAGATACATAGAAACAAGGAGATACTCCATTAGAACAAACTAATAGTCTGTGTAGTCTACTATATTGCTATGGCATTAGCAACGTTGTCACGTGCTACAGAGAAAGCAGAAAACTCAATTCATGTACTTGCGCAGTGCTTGTGCGATTCATTTATACGTTGTCATTAGAAAAATGTATCTATTTAAGTGCTATCTGTGCTCAGGTTTGTTGCTATTTAATTTCACAAGGTGCTGCTTTTCTCTTGTACTACAAAACAGGATAAATGGGAGCATCCAGCTAACTTCCTGTAGCAGTCATTTTGTTGAACAAGTTTGCCTGGACATGTGCACAGACAACTGGCGATGCTTATTCTGTGGGGAGTTGTGAGGTCAGCTTTTTTTTTTTTTTCCTCACTTTTTTTTTAATCTGTTGCCCTGCTCAGGGATGCTGCTGGCTATTCTTGAGAAGTGTGGTGCCATTCCCAAGATCCACTCAGCCAATGTGTCTGTGGGCGAAGGTACTGTGGCTGCCGGCTACCAGGACTTCATCATCTGCGTGGAGATGTTCTTCGCAGCCCTCGCCCTGCGCCATGCCTTCACCTACAAGGTCTATGCAGACAAGCGTCTTGACGCACAAGGTATAGGAGCCAGCCTCCCTGGGAGGGCGTGCATACACTTTGGTGTCAAGGAGGGGGCGGCAATCAATACCCTAGCTGTTTTTTTGGGTCCTAGGCTCTGGATACTCAGGAAAGTATTCTCTCCCCCAGTTACATTTGCACAGACACGGTGTGCAAGGGCCCTACAGGGCAGAACATAATTTGATCTTCAGTGTTTCCTTTTCAATTCCCCAGTACTCCACCCAGGACTGCTCGCTGCAGACTTCAGGGCTGTAAGAATTAGTCTCCTGTCAGAGGATGGCATAGTGGCCTTTTTCCTGTGTTCCTGTGCGGGAACACCACATGGTCAGGTTGGGCAGCAGACACAAGGGAGTCGGGGGAGAGGTCTGAGGAAGTCTCCTGTTTCCCTCAGACTGAGGGAGATGGAAGTGTGTGCCGTTGGCATGAGGGGGGGATCTTCCTGCAGAGACATTCTGAGGACAGAGGGGTCAGAGACCCAGCTCTTGGGAAGAGGAAGGGCATCAGCAGAGGGACTTGGAAGCTGGCCAGTAAAGAGAGGACGTTCTTGTGCCCACTGGCTGTACCAGTCTGTCATGGTGTTTTTTCCCTCCTTCCCTAAATAAAGGGGTGTGGCTTCCTTCCCTTTAGAGATGGGATCCGCATCATGCACAGATGGCATGCGAAGGTCATGGCGTGACCACTCCATCCCAGCAAGCCTAGAGGCTCTGGTAGGACAGGTCACTCCAACAATAGGGGGGCTTGGGGGGGAAATTAGAAGGGTTCTGCCCTTCCGCAGCCATAGAGCCTGCATGTGTTAAATGAATGGTTAAATTCCTACCCAGCACTGTGGGGATGTTTTGGTGGCGGGTCTGAGAATAACTTGCTTGTTCAGCCTGTTGTTTCCCATCTTTCTATCTCTCTCTCTCTTTTTCCTTTCTCTCTTTCTCTCCCTTGCTTTGGCTACTGGTTTCTGATGCAGCCGTTCCATCGTATGGGCCATACGGTAGGTGCCGTGCTCTCTGTGTATTCTTCAGTCACTCTTATCTGGGATACTGCTCAGACTGGTTTCCCACCTCTCTCCACCAATATGCTAACCCTTCCCTACGAAGCACTAGCTGGCAGATTCCTGCTGCCATCCCGTGTGTGGAACTTGCCTTCCTCAATGCAGCTTCTTGAGAGTTCCTGTATCCAGGGCCGTCCCTAGCCATTTTGGTGCCCTAAGCAGCCCCTCCGTGGGGGGACTGTGTGGGGACCCAGGCCTCTGCAGGGGGGCAGAAGCAGGCTTGGGGGGCAGGGAGGAAACCACCCCGCAGTACGAGCCAGCATAGCATAGCAGATTGGGGCCAGGTCTCCCCACTTCCTGCCGCCTGGTGATTTCAGGGCAGGCCTGACCCTGCACTCACGGGGCAGTGGGAATGGAGTGACCCAGCCCCAGCCTGCTCAACTCTGCTCCCCCGGCTCCCAGGCTTGTGGGGCAGGGGAAACTCCCCCCGCCCCAGCACTCATCGGAGACGCAGCTGGGAGCCAGCGGCACAGAAGGGGCAGGGGCTGGGTCACTCCTCCACTTACTGCTGCCCGGTGAGTGCAGGGCGCCTGACCCCTGCTGCAGTCCTCAGGGGAAGGGCTGGAGTGGGGGCAGAGCAGGGGCAGGAAGAGGTGAGGCAGGGGCAGGGGCTTTGGGGAAGGGGTGGAGTGGGGGTGGGGCTGGGGCAGAGCAGGGGTGGGAAGAGGCAGGGCTGGGGGCCATGGGGAAGAAGAGGATCAGTGGTTGGAGCAGCACGCAGCTGTGTAGGGCACCAGGAAATGTGGTGCCCCAAATTTCCTGGTGCCCTACGCAGCTGCGTACTTTGCGTATGGGTAGAAACAGCCCTGCCTGTATCATAGGTCGCCTAACAGGGCAGTGGCGTAACTTCATAGCCTGGAGTGCCTTTGGTGGGGCTAGCAGGTTGAGAGTCTTATCAGTCACGTTGAAACACTTAATTGTTTTAGGTCTAGCTAAAACCACGGGCCCTGTGAAGAATGCCACGTGCTCTGTACACAGGTCTAAGGGAGGGAATGGGGCTGTGTATATTGAAGCAATCAGCCTCACGTATGAGACACTGTCCCCCTTTTAACGCCAAAAATAAGCATCATGCCTTGGTGGTTTGGGGAGTTCATCCTTTGAGGCAGGGAGCAAATTCAGAAGCTCATGTGGGTGCTGACGCCCCTGGCAGTTCAGAGAGGAATGGGATTAGTAGCATTCCAAGATAGGAGGCAACCACCTTCACTGTGTACCTATCTGTCTTGCACCCTGTAATTTCCCCACATAGCTCAGGCCTGACTGACTCCCAGATGGAGTTGGCCCAGCTGCAGCTTCCCTCACTGCTGCTGTCTGACACACACACATCCCTAGCTCCATGCAGAGGGCCCTTCTCTGTTGCTTTCTCCCTCCCTGCCTTCCCATCTCCCTTCTCCTTGTAAACATTTTCTGCCTCCCATCACAGCGGTGAACCCTCAGTCCTGTCTGCAGCCACTGTCCTTCCTAATAAATGCAAGCCCCATATCTCCCCCGAATTCCTAGAACCTTCCTCTTGCTCTTTTGTGCCGTCTCCAAGTCCCTTACAGAAACGCTTCTCAATCTGTGCCTTGCAATCACACCCCCCATACCAGCCAGGGTGAGGATGCAAGGTAGGATTGTCAGCAATTTGTATGTAGCCCATTCCTACTGCATGTCTCCAGTCTGCTGTTTTGAAGTGGAATTGCTTGGCCAGTTGTGACCAATCCTCTTCCAAATGCTGGGGGCATGCCCCTGAAAGCTTGTACCATTTTTACGGCACTTCTTTTGAAGCCACTTGAAGACAGCCTGTGCAAAAGGTGCTAGGGTGTCTGGGGCTGTGGGTCACTGTGTGAAAATTCCCTTCTCTGATGTTTAAGGCTTTGTTTTTCTCACTGCACTCTCCCATCTTACTCGGCAGGTCGCTGCGCCCCCATGAAGAGCATCTCCAGCAGCCTCAAGGAGACCATGAACCCTCATGACATTGTCCAAGACGCCATCCACAACTTCTCCCCCGCCTACCAGCAGTACACCCAGCAGTCAACTCTGGAGCACGGCCCTCCCTGGCGTAACGGCAGCCACATCATCTCGCGCTCCCACAGCTGCTCGGGTGCCCGGGACAATGAGAAGACCCTCCTGCTGAGCTCTGACGACGAGTTCTAAGAGAGGCCCCCTCCCCGGAGTTCCTCCCTGAGGCCAATGGCTGTAACCACCCCAGCGCAGCCTGGAACCTTCCTTCTATTTATTGAACCAGAATCAGAGGTCATGTCACTTCCTGAATGGTGCTCAGTGCAGAATGGGGCACTTCCCCACTTCTCAGTAGCTTTTGTGGGTGTGAGTGTCATGACTGGGGGTGAGGAGGGGTGTTGGCTGGGATTTCATCCTCACAAACCATTTTCTAAAGCAAAGATCAACTGGACTAGGTTTTTTCCCCTTCACAAATAAGTGTTTAAAAAGCACCAAACACACGTGGCGAAGGGGGAGCAGAGCCCTATGAAAGAGTGGACCCTGTTTTCGTTTTCTTTTTTGTGGAGTGAGGGAGGGGTGTAGGAAAAACTCCAGGAAGTGAGGTCATATCCTCCCACCACTGGGCAAGCTTTGTGGAACATGATTGGCTGGAATAAGAAGTGGCCAAAAAAGCTTCTTTCTAGCTGAACAACGACATTACTTTGTGCTCCATTTTTCCGTAGTGGTTGATGAGGACACAACCTGCCCCCATTGTTCCCCTCTCTACCAGCTCCTCAATATTAATTTCTCTGTACCCTTTGGGCAGCATGATAGAGAGACACCTGTACGAATTCCTGATGACCGTATCAGACCATCAGTCCTATCTGCTTCTCTGTTCTCTATGGCCACTGTTGGAGGCCTCAGAAGGGAACCCCCTCCCATCCCCCAGTGCACCTGATTATGCAATATTGTACTTTAGAGGTGTGGGGGGAGTAAGTCCTGCAGGGTGGGCTGATTTGAGCCATTTTTTCCTTTTATGGGTGAGGGGTTCTACGATCGCATGGATGGTCAGGCTTTCCGTCTCTCTCTCCTGCATTATAGAAGCAGGATTCCTCCTTGGCGTGTCTGGCTGTCCCTCCTAGTGAGTCTTAGCACCAGCCATACTCAGTAACTGAAGTTAAATATTTGTGGTTAGAAGTTAATATAATATATTCATTTGCAGAATTCTGGCCCTTCATTTCCTCCTCTTGGATTTCTGTGCAGTGGGGATATTTTAACTCTGAACAGTCTCTCTCTTAGATACCCCATCTCTTCTTTCCAGAGCTGTATCTTCCAGTTAAATTCCAGAACATGCACCTTCCCCACTCTTCTTACAGATAGCCTTCTGCCAATCTTGTCCATTGATTTGCCTTGTGAATTGAAGGCATGTTGCTGCTAGGATGGGATGTTAAATACTCCCTCCTCATCTTCCTCTTTGTTGTTCAGGGCTTAACTGGACTGGTTGGAGTTGTTTACACACTGCGGCCAGTCTGTCATGCATCTGGGTTTCCCATGATCCCTCAGGGTGGAGCTGCTACTGCACACGCTATAATCCTTGTCGTAACTGATGCAGTAAAGGCTTGAGCCAAAGGCCATTGAAGTCAATGAGATTCTTTCCATTAACTTCAGTGGGCTGTGACTCTGGCCTTAAAGGTCCAGCAAGAGTGAGGAGAAAAAGTCCCCCGGAAGAGCCAAAAATCTTGCCAGGCACCAAGAAATGCATCTTATTGGACTTCCCTTCTGCTGTGGTTACATGTGCCTGCATTAAAACAGCCCACCGAAAGGGAACTGAAACCAGGAGGTTAACATTAAGCTGCTGCTTTTCTCCCAGCTGGGCCTCTGTTCATTCCTTCCGCTATCGCTAGGACCAGTTCTAAGCTGCTATTATGGCTTGAGGCCCCTTGGCTAGTTGGGGTCAGCAAGCACCCGCTCTGTTATCGTGTGTCTAGCCCCTCAGCTGGAGAGGCCTGATGGGAGGAACTAGGGCTTGACTTCTTTTGCATGTGGCTTCCCTTTCTCGTCTGTGCCTTAATTTTCACACGCAAAGACCCCAGCAGCAGCACCCTCGGAAACAACCAATTCAGAGGCCTTTCTGGTTGGGGGAGAATGGATGCGGGCTGGAGGTGAGCCTGTTTCTCCTTGGGATGTCAATGCAGGGGTGGTTTGCGCTCCCCTTTTTGCTATTGAGAATATGCTAGAGGAGAGGTGGGTCTGTTCAGTGCAACACCTTCCGCTCCCCTACCACAAAGCTGCCAAAGGGCCTGGGGACAATGTGGGGTGGGTGGGTTCTCTGAGGGGGTGGGAGATGGGAACAGGAGGTCTAAAAGCAAATGGGCTTCTGTAACTGCTAGGTTCCCCTCAACTTTAGTCCCATGCAATATAGTGTGCTGCTTTTTTTAAAAAAAAAAAAAATCAGTCATTGCTAAACTGAAACAAAACACGCACTAATTTTCAGGCCTTTCTCCACCTGCAATCCTACTGTCATGCAGGGCTGAAGTTCACACAGGCCTTCTTTCCAACGACCTTCACTTCACAGCCACCCCTCATCTCTCTCCTTACTTATTTTATATTAACTCTTTTTTGGGCGCACACATCCCCGCCTCTGTTTCTGCGGGGCTGTCCGGTCCCTCTTTTTCCAGCTGCCACATGTCCCCAACCCCCCATCCCACTTTAATTTATTTGTGGTGAGTCTCCTGATGTCCATCCCTTGGGTGGAAGGAGGTGGCTGAAGTTTGGAGTGGCCTGGGGAGGTGCCCTTGACCCTGAGATGTTCCAGCTTTGGGGACAGGTGGTTTTTTATTTCGTTTTATTTTAAAGCGGATGCTGCATATGCTGTGTTTAGGATCTGGATATTCTTGAAGCTTCCTGTGCTTAGTGGTTTAAAGTATAACACTTTTGGGACTAGCCGCCTTTGGAAAAAAACGAGGAATTTGGTAGGCAATTGAGCCACCTCACAGCCAGCTGCCATATATCTGTTTTTAGCACTATACGAAAACCTCTCTGCAAAGCTTGCTGCTCTCCTTCAAGATGGGCAAGTGACGGAACGTGACAATGACTGGCTGGCTAATAAGAAACAATATTCAATAAAACTCAGTGCTGGAGGTCTAGGCTAATTGGCCCAGTGATCACATGTATCCAGCTAATGGTAGCCCAGAACCCTAGCACCCAGGACAGCCCCATCAGTAGGCCCTCAATGCTGCCCTCTCCCTCTCCTGCTCTCCCCCTTCCCTTTTTTACCATGTAACATACCCATGGGATTTGTTTATTATTTTTCCATATAGAGTAGTTCTTTGTATATAAATGGCTGGGGGGAAATGTATGATAAATAAGACAGAGTCACCTAGTTTTGTACTTCTCGTGTATAACTGATGTGAGCTCAGCAACAAGCCGCTCTCTATTTTGGTCTTTGTGATGTTATAATACTCTGCAGAAACAAGCAAATACAATGACAAATAAAAATATATAGATAATATAGATTGTACTTAAACTGCCTCTGCCTCATAGGTGTGTGGAGTCACCCCTCCCCCTCCACTTCCCCCCTTCATTCCCTGCCCTGATCTTGTGACCTCTTTTTTGCCCCTTGCAGTGGCCTGAGCCACTCAGGCCATGTCTACGCTCCCGCTTTTGTCGGTGTAACTTGTGTTGCTCTGGGGTTGTGAAAAAACCACACCCCAGGTGACATAAGTTACACTGGCAGAAGCACCGGTGTGAACAGTGCTATGGTGACAGGAGAGCTGCTACCACCACTCATGGAGGTGATTTTATTATGTCAACAGGAGAGCTGTCTCCTGCCAGCATAGAACAGCTACACGAGCAATCTTACAGTGGCGCAGCTGCAGGGGTACAGCTGTAAGCTCTCTGATGTAGATATGGCCTCAGTCAGTAGTTCCTATCCTGTCAGTCTCTTTCATAAGACAAAAGCTCTTCACCACTCTCTGCATCCATCCATCTCCGCTTCCTCCTGGCAGCACCCAGATGTGATGGGGATGTGTGTGTGTCTAAACACAAGTGCTGAAGAGTAGCGGTACCTCAACAAGCTGAGCACAGGGCTGGATGGTAGAAGACCTGCTTTCTATTCCTGGCTCTGCCACTGGGACTGGTGTTTCCTTGGGCAAATCATTTGGAATAGAAATGGACCCTAATTTTGGGTGCCCAATGTGAAACAGGTGGAATCTGATTTTCAGATATCCTGAGCACCCACAGGTCCTATTTAAGGCATTGGGGGCTGCAGGAGGTCAGCCCTTCTGAGAATCATGCTGCCAGACCTGGCTCCCAAAATCAGTGGATATGTTGGCATGGATTTGTCAAGAACAAATCATGTCAAACCAACCTAATAATTTTCTTTGACAGGGTAATGAGCCTTGTGGATAGGGGGGAAGTGGTAGATGTGGTATATCTTGACTTTAGTAAGGCTTTTGGTACTGTCTTGCATGACCTCATAAACAAACTAGGGAAATACAACCTAGATGAGGCTTACTATAAGGTGGGTGCAAGCTGGAAGGGCATATCGAGTGGGGTCCTGCAGGGATTGGTCCTGGGTCCACTTCTGTTCAATATCTTCATCAGTGATTTAGATAATGGCATAGAGAGTACACTTAACAAGTTTGCAGCCAATACCAAGCTGCGAGGGGTTGCAAGTGCTTTGAGGATAGGATTGAAATTCAAAATGATCTGGACAAACTGGAGAAATGATCTGAAGTAAATAGGATGAAATTCAATAAGGACAAATGCAAAGTACTGCACTTAGGAAGAAACAATCAGTTGCACACATACAAAATGGGAAATGACTGCATAGGAAGGAGTACTGTGGAAAGGGATCTGGGGGGCATAGTGAATCACAAGCTAAATATGAGTGAACAGTGTAACACTGTTGCAAAAAAAAAAGTAAACATTCTGGGATGTATTAGCAGGAGTGTTGTAAGCAAGACATGAGAAGTAATTATTTTGCTGTACTCCACACTGATTAGGCTTCAACTGGAGTTTTGTGTCCAAGGAAAGATGTGGACAAGTTGGAGAAGGTCCAGAGAGGAGCAACAAAAATGGTTAAAGGTCTAGAAAACATGACCTATGAGGGAAGATTGAAAAAACTGGGTTTATTTAGTCTGGAGAAGAGAAGACTGAGAGGGGACATGATAACAGTTTTCAAGTACGTAAAAGGTGGTTACAAGGAGGAGGGTGAAAAATTGTTCTTCTTAACCTCTGAGGATAGGACAAAAAGCAATGGGCTTAAATTGGAGCAAGAGTGGTTTAGTTTGGACATTAGGAAAAACTTCCTAACTGTCAGGGTGGTTAAGCACTGGAATAAATTGCCTAGGGAGACCGTGAAATCTCTGTCATTGGAGATTTTTAAGAGCAGGTTAGACAAACGCCTGTCAGGGATGGTCTAGAATACAGCATCTTACTGTCCTCAGGTGGGTGGCTGCTGTCAAATTGCTTATGTACCAAGGGCTCCATCGTGCCTTCAAGGCACTGGGCCCTATGGGGGGCAGTGCAGAGGTGCAGCACTGTCCCAGAGGTAGCAGTGAGCTGGATTACACTCCAGGGAGGCTGGCACAGCGGGGGGTCAGATCCATGGCCCTGCCTCCTCCTTACCCCCTGTGGGGTAATGTGTGTCTCTGGGGGAGGGGAGGATTGTGTGAAAGCCCCTTGTGAGGGGCATGCCAAGGGTGGGATCTTTAGGCAGCACCCAGCTTTCTATGCTATACCAGAGGCCAGACCTCTCTTTGCCCTTGAGACGCATATGATTAGTGCAGATACATGGTCCAATCCCTACAGCCATTTTCACGTACAGCCAAAGTCTGCTCTCAGGCACATCCTTGTAGATAAGGACTGATCCCCATGCACTTACTCCAGATATGCACTCATATAACTGTGAGCAGAGTTTGGCCCTTAATTAAATTCAGGTACCAAGCAACATTAGGTGTAGTTATTAAATTAATCCTCTATAACTGTGGCTTCACAGGAGTAACAATACTTCAGCTCTAACCTGCCTCTCCCTTTTCATTAACCTTATTAAATACTATCTCTAGCCTGCATGGTCTGTAAGGTATCACAAACAGCTGATTGATTCCTTCTGCAGGTCTTCTCTGCATTAAAAACCAAATCAAACCTAATGGGAATATTTTTCTAGTTGTGTATAAGTATGAGGAGATTAGGTATGAATCGCTCAGTTTCTCTGTGTTGCTTGCAATATATTTAATGGTGACTTCATAGAATCGTAGACTTTAAGGTCAGAGGGGACCATTATGATCGTCTAGTCTGACCTCCTGCACAATGCAGGCCACAGAATCTCACCCACCCACTCCTGTGAGAAACCTCTAACCTATGTCTGAGCTATTGAAGTCCTCAAATCATGGTTTCTCTAGATAGTACTTCTAGTCCTGCCCTGAGTGCAGGGGACTGGATTAGATGACATCTCAAGAGCCCTTCCAGTCCTACACTTCTCTGTGGAAACATAGTTCTTAACCTTCCTATGCCTCCATTTCCCTGTTCGTACAATGGATGATAATGCAAAATGCTTTGAGATTATCTGTTTATGGGAAAAGGGAAATATAAGTGCAACATATTACAGTAGGTTAACTGAGTTTAGTTTAAAATCCTATGCACTCTGGTTATAGGCTTACTGATGTATTTTTGCCATGCGCTTCTAGCCAGCATGAAATTGGTGATAAATGTGGTAGCTGGGTTACAGGGGGCCCCCTCTCTACTTCGTATGGATGCATCCCCAAAGAAACAAGATGCTACTTATTGGAGCAGCCCCAACCAATAGTGAGACGACACTAGAGGAGGGATCCTGGTAGGCTGGTGGGGGCTGAGAACATGAATTCTGGCAGGAGTGAACTAGAGGCTGCTGCAGTGGAAAGCAGAGGGAGACTGGATGTCAAATGCAGAACAGGTGTATGGATTCAACATTGCCTGGAGGCTGGGAACTTACCTGTGCACATTGCAAAGCTCTGTAGTAATCCATCCCACCTGGGCTCTGGCAAGCAAAAGTCATCACATGTTTGTCCATGTAGGTTAAGAGGATCCTTGTTTTCCTGGGGTGATGGCAGCTCTGTGGAATGTGGAGCAGGTGGGACCTACTACCAAGCAGTCATTGACCTCTAGGTAACATTCCTGGAATTCCATCGTGGACCTGCTTTTCCTGCTGCATGCTGCATTCCTGCCACAGGGGCCTCCTAGCTCCTTGTAGGTTCCCCATCAGGAAGGGCCCTCTCCCATCCCCACCCCCCACCCTTTAGTCAATTAGTAAGGCAGTGTAGTCTCTTGGCTGCAAGACTCCTGTGTAGGCAGCAGAATGGACCCCACAGTGTTTCCCTCCCTGCAGCCCCCATGACTCTATGTACACCAGCCAATGGTCTTAGTATCCAGATCCTTCCACCTCAAAAACTACTGAAAGTTGTTGCGACCTGATTGTATTTTCCAGAGGCTACCTAGCTGCAATCAGGCTCCAGCCTATCCCTAGCAGGATGAGAACCCTGGCAGCCCTTGGCACTAATTGCCCCCTTCATTGGCACAATCAGCAGGAAGGCAAGGGCACTGAATGGGGCAAGGAGCCCAAATTGTCGTCTTGCCCCTAGGGGTGGCTGCTGCAGGACAGGGCTGAGTAGGGTTACCACTTTTAAATTAAAAAAGGCACCCCCTCCCCCGATCCACACACAAAAGGCAAGCCTACCGCAACCCCAATCCCCAAGGCAACTCTGCAACATGCCCTCATCCCGCTTCAGCTGCCACTTACAGTGTGTAGAGCAGTGGTTCTTAACACATTTAACATTGTGGGCCGCTGGACCTCAGGTTGAGAACCACAGTGCACCCCTCCCCTCACAGGTGGACCCCTATGCCCAGCGCCTCCCGCCCAGAGACCCCTCCGCAGAGTGGGGCCCAGAGTGGAGCCCTGGGCACGGTGGCAGGGACCCAGTCCCTCTCTGTGGGGCCGGGTGGCAGGCTGGACCTTGACCCCACAGGGCCAGCCAGCAGCCCCAACCCCGTGGGGCAGCCCCCAGACACAGCAGGGCTGGCCAGCAGCTCTGGACCTCAAACCCCAAACTGTACAGGGTCGGGCGGCAGCCCCAGACCTTGGACACCCTGGGACGGCTGGCAGCCCTGGACCCCCGCCACGCTGGGCGATCAGGCAGCTGGGAACCCAGACCCACCACACAGCTGGGCCGCAGCATTGAGCTAATTGGGCTACACGGGTTGAGAACCGCTGGTCTAGAGAGATTGATAACATACCAGTCTCCTCACTCTCATGTGACTCAAACCCTCTCTCGCACACACGTGCGGCATGCTTGCATGTTGATGGGCAGACAGCTGCTGTATTTTCACCAGTTTTGATCTGTTATGACTTAAACTGCAGAGGTGGGAACACTGCCGCATCTTTAGCCAGACACAGAAACTTTTAACATTAGCTATCCCAGTGTATTGCGATGATAATGCAAATCTTTAGACCCACATTAAAAAAAAAAAAAAAAGGACAGATTAAATTATTTTTCTGGGAAATGGCAAATCCATAAAAAAAAAAAAAATGACCAGGCTGGTTGAATACCAGCCAGGTGGTAACCTTAGGGCTGAGACATGTTGTTTAGGCATTGTGTGCATTTGTGTTGCTGCCTCCCATGTTGGACCTGTCCTGTGTATAAAAGTGAAGTCCACCCTGAGGCCAGTCACTCTGACTCCTGCCACTAGGATCCACATTCACTAGTATCTACAACCCAAGTGTTTTAAAAGACCTCAGACCCCCAAATCATGTGATTGCACAGAACCCAAGTTCTTTTTATTCACCTTCTAGGTTCTGAGCACTTTGGGTGCAGCTGGTTCATGTACCAAATCTTTTCTGGCCAACTGGCAGGGCTAGTAACTTCTTTAATGAAAATGATATCTGCCACGCAAGCTCTTGACTCCAACAAGCAGGGCTTTGCGAAAAACAGCCAACCGAGAGCACCACAAGAGCTGGCAATACTTATTCAGTTTGATAAGGCCAGAGATCTGTTCTACAGCTTAATAAACTCACACCCTCGCTGTGGAAAAAAACTTGCTTTATTTGTAAAGTTACAAAATACAGAGGAGTCGGGTAGATCACTTACTGTACGTCAGAAAATAAATACCTTTTTTTTGCTCTATATAAGTATAAGATAAAATGTGATTTGCATATATAAAATATAAAGTACGGCTCTGTACCAACATCCTGGCTGTGCCGAGAGGCGGAATGGCAAAGAGGACGTGAAAATAACTTACATTCGTGCAATAAATAAACCAAAAGTGGGGAAGGGGAAGGGAGAGGCTAACCATGGAACCTCTCACAAAGTACACTGAGGCGGGGAGGGGAAAGTTTGGCCACACCTCTCTGGAGCTGGCTGCGGCACTGTGGTGGGTGGCAGGGCAAGCTGCAGGGACCACCAACCCGATGTGGGGGAAATGAAGGGGTTAATTACCTAACCTAGCAGATGCCGGAATGGCGACTGCCTGGCATTACCTTTACTGACCTCTATGCTGTCTGTGTTTATTTATGAATCCGCCTCCTTCCTGTGCCCAAGCTCCTATTTGAATGATACTGGAAAAGGTGCCCGTGACTGGTAGGGAGCGGGGAACTATCCCCCGCTCCCTGAGCCACCACCTGGGCTCTCCACCTTCCCGCTTTCCCTCAACTAAGGGGTTGAGCCAGCCTGGTTCCGGGGAAAGGGCACCGAACTGGGAGTCAGGAGACTTGGCTTGTCAATTCCCAGGCGTGCCCCCAACCTGCTGGGTAACGTTGGGCTAGTCACTTCACCTGTGTGCCTCTGTTTCTCCCTCCCTCCCCCCCCCCCCCCGAGGGTACGCTCTTGGGGGCAGGAGCCCGCTCCCCCTCTGTTTGTACAGTGCCTAGCACAACAAGGTGCCAGTCTTGGTGGGGATGTCCAGGTGCTACTGTCATGTAACTAGTAATTTTATCTCCACTACAGCTGTGTTTATTTCCTTCCTGCTGGCCTTTTGAAGAGTCCCACCATGCCATGGAGGAAATGTCACCATTGGAAGGAAAGGGTGTGAGCATGTGTGTAAGCAGAGATAAAAGGACACTGCTCTCCTCCCCCTGTCTCTCCCCCCACCCCTAAAATTCCATCTTTAAAGCTAAAGAATCAAATGTGAGCGGCCAACCCATTTCAACTGGTTACTGGCTCCATCTGCCTTTTCAGGCTGTGCTGGTTTTTGTAGGAATGGAGCCCGCCCAGCAAAAACCAGATTGATCCTACAACTTCCTTCTGCGTTGCTTATCTCTGCAGCTCATTTGGCAATTGTGCCAGCTCCCAGTTACGTAACCAGGACCGAAACGCGCTGTGCCTCCTTTGTTCTTTTCAGGTCTTCTAAATGCTGCGGTCACAAAACGTGATTGAAACAGTCTCTCCTCCCTCCTGTATTTCAAACCTAGTGCTGCTGCTACTTCTCTATCCAACTGCCTCACTTGCTTTGTTCCTCTTTCTAGTGTCTCTACTCTCCCTCTCTTTCCTTCTCTCTCTCTCTCTCTCGCCCTCTTTTTTTCCCATCCTGGTCTCTCTCTCAAAACTCACTTCCTTGCCGTGCAGGAGATCTTGGAAATTTAGCCCCACTGCTAAACTTAAATTCACCCCTGCAGCTGAGTCTTTGTATTTCTAGTGTGCTCATCACCCTGATGTCTAGCCCAGAGCTGAGTTGTAATGGCTAGGAGCTGAGCCAGTCCTGACACGTGCTACAGAGAGCCTGTTGTTTCTCCATCACGCACAGGCTTGTCCTCTCTTCCCCCCCCCCTCATTAAACTGCAACCTCTCTTTCCCCCAGCACTACCCTAGCTCCTCTTAATGCCCAATCCCTGGAGGACAGGCTTAACTCAGCCTTTGCGATTTGCTCTCAATAGCAGTTGTTTCGGGGCCTTCCTGAAAAGGTGTGGGGAGGAGATCCAGGGGTTTCTGTGGCAGCTTGGGGAAGTGAAGACCCCCGGAATGCAACTGACAAGGGGGCAGGGAGGCTTGCAGTTTATCTCCCTCACGGGAGGCCACAACAGAAAATCTGAAATAGAAGGGCCAGGGTTAGGGAAAGAGGGCAGCAGGGTTTTGGCAATTCCTGGCTACTCTCTGGATGGGTATCCCATCCCCTGCTCTGTGCTTGACAAAGCAGAACAGGTCCTTGGCCTGCCTCCTGATTCTCTCCCCCTGCACAATCTCACAGACCTTGGCGTCAGTGGGAGCTGTACCCCTACCAATAACAAATGGGAGCAGTCTCTGAGCCCCATGTGTAAATACGGGGGGAGGAGGCACCGATGAGCAGGAGTAGCTAAGAGGAAACTTTTTATAACAGTACATAATTGGTCAGGGAGGGAATATTTAAGCTAGGAGATTCCTGTTGGCACATTTTCACCCAGCTTGCCAAGTTATGGGGGGGGCTGAACTACTGCTTGGTTCAAGGAAGATGGGAGCAGTGGGGAGAAATCGAGGGACCACTTGTTTTAAGGTCTTCAAGTCAATTCTGTCTCCTGCAGGGATTGTGGGAGAAGCCAGGGCAGCCGCTGTCCATTCTGGGTAAAGAGCTGGGCCCAGCCATGGAGGGAGGACGCAGTTCGTGGAGGGGTTGGGTGGGCACTAGGAGTATGTGGCCTGGTTGGTGCCAGATTTGACAATGGTGATGACGCTGGCGGTGGCCACCTTGGCGGCAGAGCCATGGGCAGCGACTGTGCGGGCAAAGCCCTGCAGCGCCTCGTACTTGCCCCGCAGGGCGTCCAGCTCCAGGCGCATGGCAGCGTTCTCGCGGGCCAGCTTGTCCACCTCCCGCTCCAGCTCCGTCTTCTGCTTCTGCAGCTCCTCCTTCTGGCAGACCCGCTTGACCCGGCAGCTGGCCGCGTAACCGCGGTTCTTCAGTGTGCGCCGGCGTTGCTTCAGCCGCGCCACCTCCTCCTTGGAGAGGCCCCGCAGGTGGTGATTCAGTTCCCGCACTGACAGCCCCATCAGCTCCTCGTCCGACAGGTGGGGTGTGTTCTCCCCCCAGCTCGCGCTTGATCTGGCCACGAGAGGACAGCGGGTAAGCAAAGAGTGCGTTGGAGAGAGGGGGAGGGGTGGGGGAACAGAAGAGAGCACAAGGTGGGCAGGGGTGCTGGAAGGGGGGACAAGGGGGCCATGGCCCATCACTTTTAAAAGTGGGAGGGCTATGCCCTCCCCATTTTTACTGGCTGTAAGGGGGAGTGATGGGGGGAGGGGCAGAGAGGAGCGAACAGGGGGCTGAGGTCTTGGGGGGGAAGAGAGGCAGCGCAGGAGGCCTTGGGGGAAGTCGCAGTGTGCGGGCAGGGCTTTGGGGAGAAGAGGCGGCATGAGGGCAGGGGCTCGAGGAGAAGGGGCGGCGTGAGGGCGGGGTCTCGGGAAGAAGGGGCAAGGTGAGGGTGGGGCTTCAGGGAAAAGGGGTGGGGCATGGGCAGGGCTTCGGGGAGAAGGGGCGGCGTGGGAGCAGGGCCTCAGGGAAGGGGTGGCGTGGGGGTTGGGGCCATGGTTCAGGTGCCAGTGTCCCCCCTACTTTTAGGGCCCTTCCTCTGCTCCTGAGGGTAGGAGAGAGGAATGGAGGGAATGGGGATGAGGGAGCAGGGAGAGAGGAGGTGATGCTGGCTGTGCTCTTTGGTGCGAACTCACTCGTACCTTCAGGGCCTTGCTCGATAAACTGTCTGTAGACATTGTCTCCTGCAGTCGTGCTCCCCAAACGAGGACCCTGCAAACAAGCCAGAGGCAACATGTCACTTCCCTCCATCCCTGTTCATTTCATGCCTCAGGCTCCGTTAGTAGGGGGAGGGGAGAAGACAGCCTGGCCCTACAAATTCCTCCCACATCCTTTCTTTGCTCCCCAGCATTTCTTGCCCCAGCCCCACAAGCCTGGAACATAAATCACTTGGTCCCTTCCCCAAGGACATGTTCACGGGGGTGTGGGTGCATCCTCTGTCCCGCTAGAGAGATGGGGGTTAGGGAACCGCAGAGACTCAGCACTGAATTAATCAGTTATTTCATTTTAAAAGCAAAACATTCCAAAATTCCTTCCTCTCCCTTATTTCCCCCAAATGACCAGCAGCAACCAGAACCCAGGGCTCCCTCTGAGAGCCCCCACCCACCCACCAATGCAGGTTATAGACAGGTTCCCCTCTGCCCCACGCCATCCGTCCATGAAATAGATGGGCCCTGCCTTCACCAGAAACTGCAGGAGGGCAAGAAGTTTCCTGACTGACAGGAAACGTGGTAGGGAGGCAGCTGGTGGGAGTGTCATTGAAATGTCCCTGCCTGGAAAGGAGGGCTAAAGGGAAAGTAAAAGCAACACAGGCAGCAGGACCAGAGATCAGCAGGGAGGCCGGGGAAAGGGGTGTTTGGCTGGTAGGGTTGTGGCATAACCCATAAAACTGCCTGGGGACTCTGTTCTTCCAGGCCCCCCTCTCACCTGTAGGCACCTGGCCTGCCCTGACTGGCTCAGTGGGCCCTGGAAGAGATTAAACTCCCTCCCTGGATCTTGAGTTGGGAAGGAGACCTTTGCTGACAGATTGACAGAGCCCCACAGACGAGTGTAGGAGAGGGAGGGCCAGGGGCAAAGGCAAGAGGCAGATGGATGAAGGCAGGTTTGGGGGTCAGGGGCAGGCATAAGAGAAGGGATCCACTGGGGGAGCTGTGCGTGTTGCTGTGGCACAGGCCCCCACAAAACTGAAGGGCAGCCCCACTAAAAGATCAAGCACCAGGGGACCCAAGCCGGGGACCCAAAATCAGTGTTTGAGTCTGGCCAGGAGGAGTGGGGGAGACCAGGCGGCCATTCAAAACTTACAAACTTGTCTGAAATACCCCAGTCCTGTGCCCTAGAGTTAGAGGATTTCAGAGGAGTCCCTGTCACAAGCAGCGCAAAGGGCTCTTTCAGCCTCCCCAGTACCCCTCAAGAGCCATTCAGGGTGCACGTGTCTTTCTGAGCCGTCTTCCCCCACCCTCTGGGGACTGAGCTGGCAGAGGTGAGCCACGGGTCTTTCCCACGGACAGGCCAGCCATAGAGGGAAGGAGTCACTCACTTTGTTCTGCTGAGACATGCCCAGACATGATACTCGACTGAGCCCACGACCTGGGCAAACCAGGCTCATGGAGAACACTCTCCACAAGGGCCCAGCACTGGAGGTGGTAGGGGACTGAGGCACGTCCCTTTCACTCCTGAATGCCAACCGGAGCCCTGGCAGCAAGCAGGACGTCACCCCAGGGGTTCATGTAGATGCCACAAGGAATGGAGGAGGCAGTTCTGAGCTAGGAACAACTGCCAGGGCACATCAGGAATGGGACAGCTCCCTCAGGGGCTGCTCTGACTGCCCTGTGGCAGGCAGGGACCTCTTCTGGGGACCAGAGTGAGACTGTGACACCCCCCCACCCCCATGAGGATACAAATACAGGCACTCACGTAGGCCTGCATGTAGAAACACCATCCAGATTTCCACCTGGCTGAGCGGTATCATTCTCTTTACCTGCCCTAAACTGCCGCAGAGTAGCCACCTTCCATCTCGGGGGGCGGGGCAGAGCGAGCCCTATCTAGAAAGCATTTGGGATAGAAGGCACTAGAAATACGGACACTTTTTTTGTCCCACCTACATGCACGAGTCTAATACAGAACAAGGATGTGCCCAGATGTACCTGCACAATCATGCGCAAGTTTGCCACCTGCCCTGCCTGTGAAACGTGAGCAGAGCCATGAAGCCCGGGGCTCTGACAAAGCCCATCCTCAAACACACACGGAAAGAAACGAAACAGTGTCAGAGCCAGGAACCACCTCATTTCATGGACACCCCATGCTTTGTGCCCCACCCTCCCATGCTGGAGGCTGGTGCAGAACAGGTAGGTGGCAAAGACTCCTCTGCTCTGTGTCTGAGTGAATCACATGTCTGGAGAGTCCCAGAGGAGGAGGAGCAGGAGTGAGGGAGGCAGCAGGAGTGTGGGAGGGAGAAAAGCCATCTCACTGTGATTCAGCATAGAGAGCAGCAAGGTCACCAAGGCTATACATGCCCCCTTCTCGTAATTCTCCCCCTGCGGCAGGGTGGAAGGGAGGGGAAGGATTGCAAGGCTGAAATGTGACCATGATTATCATGAAACAGCAGCCATACAGCGCTGTGAATTCACCCAGCAAGACATGTTCTCTGTCCCAATGAGCTTCCAGTGTAAGCTAGACAGGACAGGGGCGACAGACCAGGTAAGCAAGGGTGTGAGGGCTAGTGATAAGAGAAAGAGGAGGTGGTGTTGGAAGAGGTGGCCTTGAAGGCAGAGAGAGGCTGCCTGATGGTTGAGAAGAGGCAGACTGCTCCAACCGCAGGGAGCAGAACAAGGGAAGGTGGAGAGACAAGAGCATGAGAAGGAGCCCTAAGGAAGAGAGGGTTGGGAGAAGTATAGGGAGTGAGGGAGAACGAAGGGGAAATAAGAGCAGAGTTGGAAGCAGGGGGTGGAGTATGCAGGGCCCCTAGACATGTGGGTGAGGAGCTGGCATCAGATACAATAAGAGACACACTAAAAATGGGGGTCATGGATGGGGTGACATGGTCAGAGCAACAGGAGAGGTGGACAGTGCAATATTTGATTGTCTGGAGGGGGCAGGCACTGTTAGAGGCAGAGGCCAAACTGTAAGAGGTTACAGTAACTAAGACAAAAAAATCAGAGCCTCATGTAACCTGAGTTCATTGCAGCTGAGTACGGAAATGCTCGTCCGGGCTCAGTCTGCCATTGTCACAAGTGAAAGGACTTTAGTTCAGATTCACAAGAATAGTCACTTGAGACACGCAACTTGAGATGCCCACTGTCAGAGACAGGAGACTGTGGAGTTGGAGACAGGTGTAGAACTTCCCTGATCCGGCGAAGATGGAATCAGAGACTAGGAGCAGGCCCCCACTCGTGGATATCAGAGTCTGTCCAGAGTCAGTCTTCTGCTACTTTAAGAAGCTTGGGTGAGGTGTTAAAGCTAAGATACCTCGTGCACAAATGTCAGGAAATTCAATTATCTGGGTACCCCAGTGGCATTAACTCAGCTACATTGTGCCTCACACGCTAACGCAGAACATTAAACACCATGTTTAGCTGATCAGTGTTTTTCAGTCCCTGACTTTTCCCACATCTTGGAATGACTATAAATTATCTCCTGTCCGCCCTGCTTTAGGGGCGTGATTTAACACACACAAGGGACAGGGAATTCAGGCCTAGTCCTCCAAGGTAGTTAGCTGCTAAACTCCCATGCTTCAATATTCATGGTTCCAGCAGCAACCCCACTTAGCTGGACGCTGCTCCCATTGAACTCAGGGGCAAAACTTCCATTGACTCCATTGGGTACAAGACTGGGCTCACTTTGTTGATTCATGCCCAGCATTGTCGCATGTAGCTCCACTGGTCTTAGGATAAGGCAATAAAAAATAAAAATAAAAAAGGTCCCCCCCCAGAGAAAAGGAGGTTTCCTAGGTAGTGTCTTCTCTTCCCTTACTACCATCTGGAGGTGGCAGGAGGGTTGTAATTCTGTGATTTGATGGGGAGAGAAGAGACCTGGCACCTAAAGGTGCCTCGATACCATTGTGATGGATGTACTAAAAGTAGGCAGATAAGCTGGTTGACACTGCGTGGGAGGAGGTGGCAATGGTGGCAAATGTGTGGGGATGGGGTAAAACTATTGCGAGTAGCATCTAATTCTAGCAGTGATTCCCCATTGGGACGGTGCACTAGGCTGTCCTAGTAGGGGAAAACTGGACCTTTTCCCCTCACTCTGCACCAGGTTTTGAAGGGTGAGCAATAGCTGCACCTGAAGGGAGGCATCTGCCTGGAGAAACCTCCATTCAGTGTTGTGGGAGAGGGAGAATTCCAAAGGGAATCCCTCCCCAACCTACCTCAGTCGAGGCAGATCCCAGCAATGTTGATTATGTTGGGCGCTAAGCGGCGTCCCAAACACTGGAGGAGGATGGAGATACCAGTGTATGACCTGTGGGTGGTAGAAGGGGGTACGTGAGGTTCAGAAGAGGAACTAATGAGTGTAGTGAAGTGGGAGGGTGTGACTGCTATTTCCTTGCTTTTTATGGCTTGTATTAGCAGGATTCACAGCCTAGCAACCTTACCTCCAAGTATTTGTGTGGGATCTGATATAATAGTTGTCATGTGATAATGAGTCGCTTAATTCTAACATTGAACATGAAGTAAGTATTAACCCTAAGCTACTCTCTCTGCTTCCCTATAGAATTTCTGCCTCGAACTTTCCCCTGCCCTTCCTGCCTGGCTTCCTGCTAGAGATTTAAAGAAACAGTACACACATATCCACACAAGTATGACCTGTGCTTAATGTATACTCAGTGGTAGTCATTAAAAATGCAGCATTTGCCCACAAGTCATCACATGTTGGCATGTGTGACAGTGTCATTTCCCCCCTAGATATCCTTAGAATAAGAAATAAGCCTGGTACTTGTATGGCATCTGCTGGCAAATGTAACTAGCGCCTTTTATCCCAAGAATTCAAAGTGCTCTGTAAATTCATTTCCAAGCTATGCTGTTTACACAGGGATGATCACTCCGCCTGCCACTGAAATGCAGTCACCTCTGGGCCCAAACACAGCAGCTGCTCAACAGTGCACAGCAGTACTACACAATAATTCAGGACAGAAGGCAAACGAAGAACAATATCTATCCAACCGAAACCTCAAAGGGAATTTAGGGGCTAAATTTTGCAACTGTTGCATAGCTAACACTACCACTGAAGTCAATGGGAGCTCAAGACGAAGCAAAGAACACAAGATGGGGTCCTTGTGGTTTACCCCAGGTGGCATTTGGCTGTGATTGTGTATCTCTGAGGTACAAAAAAATGGGATATCTGGGATGATCCTGAGCCCATAAAACTGGACAGTGGGCAGCGTGTACTGAGCACCCATACCGATTTCCCAGGACAACTACCTTAAAAAAGGGATCATCCTGTGAAAACCTGGACAGACGGCAATCCTAGATTTGGCCAGGGTAGAAGGGCTAACATCTCTAGTCTTATTAAATGTGCCAGCGGATTCTCAATAGATCAGGGCCTCAGTTGTACCTCTCTTTCACTCACACACATACATGCCCCACACACAGTTAATTTGCGCCATGAGTAACTTCTCTGTTATTGAGAGATTTCCTGCCTTCACAGCTGTCTAAGCTCAGCAATGGGTGTGTATAAAACAGACATGAATGCACACTCACAGAGACACTCTGTGCTTTTGAGCATTTTGAGCACTCTGATCCTCTCCAGTGCACCTCTCCCCACATGCTTCTCTGAAGATAAACCCCTAATATCCCAACCTGATAAAACTATGTCCTTCACCAGCCACACTTTCGCCCGCCTTGATTTCAGCTGACATCAACCCTCCCTTTAGCTGTACACACGCACTCCTAAAATAAACGCGCCACAGAGAAGAGCTGTATCATTCAGGCTTTTTATCCTTCTCTGGGCACAAGGAAAACAAAAAGCCCACACTGGTGGGATGCACACATACACAGCCAGGAACATAAACACACCACCCCAAGCTCTTTGAAGACTGTAAACATCCCTCCTATGGAGGGCTGGGAAAGAGATAAGCAGAGTTCTCACTTACTGCGTGTGTGCGTTGGTTCGAGTCTTTGTTGGTGCTCTCCTCCCTTCTTTATCCCCTTGGAGATCCTTTTTCTTTATGGTTTTGCTCTGTAACCTGCTTGTTTGAAGTTGTTGTCTGGCGAGGAGCTGGGCTCTGGGCTGAGATCTGCTGAGTTGTAATGTGAGTTTCCTGGAATTACTCACTCACAGGATTCTTTTCATTCATAAAAACACAGTCATGCGATGACATCATTGTTTCCCCTCCCTCTCTCCCCATCTTAGCGAAGGGCACAGCACAAGCGTTGGAAGCGACAAGAAGCGGCCATCTTGGTGCTGGGCATTAATCTTAAAGGGCCAAGTCCCTTTGTTCTTCTGCGTATCAATAACCATTATGACTTTTGGCATTAATAATTAATAATGATATGTGTACTTTTCTAGGGAGAGATGATTTTGTTGTTGTTAAAGCATAGCACTGGGAATCAGAAGATGCAGGTGGTAGTCCTGACTTTGTCGTTTGGGCAATATTACCTCAGCCGCCTTGTCTTTCTAATAGCCTGGCACCAGCAGGGCTGCACTGCACTGCATACAACAATGGAAGATATCGAATGTTACCATCCAAAATGGAAATTCCACAACATGAAGAAAAAAAAAAGTGAAACTTAACAGCATTACCTCACCTTGTCGCACTTGGGCAAACCCACCTTGTCGCACTTGGGCAAACCATTTAGCCTCTCACGTTTCCCCTTTGTGAACTGGGGATATTGATAGTTCCCCCTGCCACCCAGACTTCTTGTAAGGCTAAATTAATTAACCTGTGCAAAGTGCATTGATCTCCTTGGGTGGAAAGCACTGTAGCAGTGGGCATTATTATTATTGTGTTATTAACAGTGTCTTGCATCTGAGGACTTCAAAGCGCTCAAGATTAGGAATGAATTTTAAATGGCTTCTTTTAAAATGTTGGATGAGTATATATTAAAAGTGGAGAAGAAGGGGAACCATTGTTGCTTGGTGGTGGGGGGTTTTGTTTTGTTTTGTTTTTTTTTAAGAAAAAAGAACAGGAGTACTTGTGGCACCTTAGAGACTAACAAATTTATTAGAGCATAAGCTTTCGTGGGCTACAGCCCACTTCATCGGGTGCATAGAATGGAACATATAGTAAGAAGATACATATATACATCCAGAGAAGGTAGAAGTTGCTATGCAAACTGTAAGAGGCTAATTAATTAAGATGAGCTATTATCAGCAGAAGAAGACAAAAAACTTTTGTAGTGATAATCAAGATGGCCCATTTAGACAGTTGACAAGAAGGTGTGAGGATACTTAACATGGGGAAATAGATTCAATATGTGTAATGACCCAGCCACTCCAGTCTCTATTCAAACCCAAGTTAATCGTATCTAGTTTGCATATTAATTCAAGCTCAGCAGTTTCTCGTTGGAGTCTGTTTTTGAAGCTTTTCTGTTGCAAAATTGCCACCCTTAAGTCTTTTACTGAGTGGCCAGAGAGGTTGAAGTGTTCTCCTACCAGTTTTTGAATGTTATGATTTCTGATGTCAGATTTGTGTCCATTTATTCTTTTGAGTAGAGACTGTCCGGTTTGGCCAATGTACATGGCAGAGGGGCATTGCTGGTACATGATGGCATAATCACATTGGTAGATGTGCAGGTGAATGAGCCCCTGATGATGTGGCTAATGTGATTAGGTCCTGTGATGGTGTCACTTGAATAAATATGTGGTCAGAGTTGGCATCAGGCTTTGTTGCAAGGATAGGTTCCTGGGTTAGTGTTTTTATTGTGTGGTGTGTGGTTGCTGGAGAGTATTTGCTTCAGGTTGGGGGGCTGTCTGTAAGCGAGGACTGGTCTGTCTCCCAAGATCTGTGAGAGTGAGGGATCATTTTTTAGGATAGGTTGTAAATCTTTGATGATGCGCTGGAGAGGTTTTAGTTGGGGGCTGAAGGTGACGGCTAGTGGTGTTCTGTTCTTTTCTTTGTTGGGCCTGCCCTGTAATAGGTGACTTCTGGATACTCTTCTGGCTCTGTCAATCTGTTTTTTCACTTCAGCAGGTGAGTATTGTAGTTTTAAGAATGCTTGATAGAGATCTTGTAGGTGTTTGTCTCTGTCTGAGGGATTGGAGCAAATGCGGTTGTATCTTAGAGCTTGGCTGTAGACAATGGATCTTGTGGTGTGTCCTGGATGGAAGCTGGAGACATGTAAGTAAGAATAATGGTCAGTAGGTTTCCGGTATAGGGTGGTGTTTATGTGACCATCGCTTATTAGCACAGTAGTGTCCAGGAAATGGACCTCTTGTGTGGATTGGTCTAGGCTGAGGTTGATGGTGGGATGGAAATTGTTGAAATCAATGTGGAATTCCTCAAGGGCTTCTTTTCCATGGGTCCAGATGATGAAGATGTCATCAATGTAGCGCAAGTAGACTAGGGGTGTTAGGGGACGAGAACTAAGGAAGTGTTGTGCTAAGTCAGCCATAAAAATGTTGGCATACTGCGGGGCCATGCGGGTACCCATAGCAGTGCCGCTGACTTGAAGGTATATATTGTCCCCAAATGTGAAATAGTTGTGGGTGAGGACAAAGTCACAAAGGTCAGCCACCAGGTTAGCCGTGACATTATCAGGGATACTGTTCGTGATAGCTTGTAGTCCATCTTTGTGTGGAATGTTGGTGTAGAGGGCTTCTACATCCATAGTGGCTAGGATGGTGTTTTCTGGAAGATCACCAGTGGATTGTAGTTTCCTCAGGAAGTCAGTGGTGTCTAGAAGATAGCTGGGAGTGCTGGTAGCGTAGGGCCTGAGGAGAGAGTCCACATAGCCAGACAATCCTGCTGTTAGGGTGCCAATGCCTGAGATGATGGGGCATCCAGAATTTCCAGATTTATGGATCTTTGGTAGCAGATAGAATACCCCTGGTCGGGGTTCTAGGCATGTGTCTGCAAAGATCTGTTCCTGTGCTTTTTCAGGGAGTTTCTTGAGCAGATGGTGTGGTTTCTTTTGGTAATCCACAGTGGGCTCAGAGGATAATGGCCTGTAGAATGTGGAGTTAGAGAGCTGCCTAGCAGCCTCGTGTTCATATACCAACTTATTTCATAATGACGACAGCACCTTCTTTGTCACCCTTTTTTATTATGATGTCAGAGTTGTTCCTGAGGCTGTTGATGGTGTTGTGTTCAGCGCGGCTGAGGTTATGGGGCAAGTGATGCTGCTTTTCCACAATTTCAGTCTGTGCACGTCGACGGAAGCACTCTATGTAGAAATTCAGTCTGTTGTTTCGACCTTCAGGAGGAGTCCACACAGAATCCTTCTTTTTGTAGTGTTGGTAGGAAGGATTCTGTGGGTTAGTATGTTGTTCAGAGGTGTGTTGGAAATATTCTTTGAGTCAGAGATGTCGAAAGTAGAATTCTAAGTCACCACAGAACTGAATCATATTCGTGGGCCTGGAGGGACAAAAGGAGAGGCCCCGAGATAGGACTGACTCTTCTGCCGGGCTAAGAGTATAGCTGGAACGATTAACAATATTGTTGGGTGGGTTAAGGGAACTACTGTAGTGGCTCCTGGTGGCATGTAGCAGTTTAGATAGTTTAGTGTCCTTTTTCCTTTGTAGAGAAGCAAAGTTTGTGTTGTAAATGGCTTGTCTATCTTTTGTAAAATCTATCCATGAGGAAGTTTGTGTGGAAGGTTGTTTTTTTATGAGAGTATCCAGTTTTGAGAGCTCATTCTTAATCTTTCCCTGTTTGCTGTATAGGATGTTGATCAGGTGGTTTTGCAGTTTCTTTGAAAGTATGTGGCACAATCTCTCAGCATAGTCTATGTGATATGTAGATTGTAATGGATTTTTTACCTTTAGTCCTTTTGGTATGATGTCCATCTGTTTGCATTTGGAAAGGAAGATGATGTCTGTCTGTATCTGTACGAGTTTTTTCATGAAGTTGGTGGATTTCCATTCCATACGGCTAAAGTCAGTGCCTTGCATAATGACAGGAAAGTATTTTTAATTAGAGGCAGGCGTAATCCATACCAAAAAATGGAAGGGTTCACCCATCCCTTCTGGAGTTGTTATATCAATATGTTGTGTGTGTTGAAAGACACATCATATAGGGATGACATGTCTAAGATTACTATAAAAAGGAATTTCCTACTGCCTCTAACAGCACGCCTTCCTTCTACCATTTAGTGCACCAGTCATGGGGTACTGAGATTATCTGGTCACACGACTTGCCTGAAATTTACTGAGCAGTCGCAATTTTCCAACATCTGGCCTGCTGCCTCCAAGTTTAGAGGACAATGAATGAATCTTTTGGCATTTATTTGGGGTCTTGTCATGTTACATTGGGTGGGGATAAACATTGCAACACAGCATTTAGTTCTGCATGGACAAATACAGAAAGGAAGGAACTGTAAAGGGGATGATTCCTGGCTAATTTCAGCCATCAGAACATCATGGTTTAGCTTTTCTCTCCTTTACAAAATTAACCTGTAGTAATGATTCAATGATGACAATGATGTTACTGAAGCGTTAGGCCAGGACTGCAGGGTAGTATTGTGTTTTTTTTTTTACCAGGGCTTCTGTAGGGGCAAGGTTGCGGAAGATTGGCGAGGAGCTAAGTGGTGGACTGAGTATGTGACTGGATGTAAGCGGAGGATGCAGGCAGTTTCAATGAACTTTGTCCGACAGACCCTGCCAAAAGATATTGTAGCATAGCTCAGCATATTTTTGCCTGTAAACAAGTCAGTTTATGTAATAAGCATAAATTATATATCTAAGAATGTAACCGGCTGTTGAGCTCATGTAACCCCGAAATAAGCATGGAGAATATAGCGCCGCAGAGGACTCCCCCCCCCCAGCGAAGTCCTGCCTGGTCAGCTGTCCCGAATGGCCAGAGTCCCCTGCAACCCCTCCATGCGTCCTAGGGGCTCCCCACGCAGATTGGAGCATAAGTTCTTCCTTCCTTCAATAAAGCATAGTTTACTATTCTTAGGCCTGAGTGTCCTCCTTTCGCTGGTATCTTCCCCCCCAGCCCTTGCGGGCACAGCTTCCTATCATCTTGTCCAGAAACTCAATCATATGGGTTACATAGCTAGTGATTTCTGTGCCCCAGGACATAGCATTTGCTGAGACTCCTTTGCGTTCATGCAGGTATCAGTCCTTGAGGAAAAAAGAGGGACAACATTTGCCATCCTTCCACTCATTTTAGGCCAGTCCTGTCGTTCATGGGTCCAGTTTTGCCAACTCCAAATGTTCAAAAATCGTGAGTCAGGCTCACCAAAAATCATGAGGTTGGTTTTAAAATCATGAAATTATGTAACAATAACAGATTTGGTGTTGTTTTTATTCGCCTTCTGCTTTTTGAGCCTTTAGGGCAGTGGCTCTCAATCTTCCAGACGACTGTACCCCTCTTCAGGAGTCTGATTTGTCTTGCATACACCAAGTTTCACCTCTCTTAAAAAGTACTTGCTTACAAAACCAGACATAAAAATACAAAAGTATCACAGCCACAATTACTGAAAAAATTTTCACTTTCTCATTTTTACCCTATAATTATAAAATAAATCAATTGGAATATAAATACTGGACTTCCATTTCAGTGTATCGTATACAGATCAGTATATACAAGTCACTGTATGAAATTTTAGTTTGTACTGACTTCGTTAGTGATTTTTATGTAGCCTGTTGTAAAACTAGGCAAATATCTAGAGGAGTTGATGTAGCCCTGGAAGACCTCTGTGTATCCTCAGGGGTACCCGTATCCCTAGTTGAGAACCGCTGCTTTAGGGGGCACTGGAGTCACATTTTGAAGCTTTCTCCACAGCCATGAGGGCTAGACATTTACTTTTTCTTTTAGAATGAAGGCTGAAATCATCACATAGTCACCTGACTACAGGATCTGGGGCTTTAAGGAAAACTGTAATTATCCTGAGACTCATGACAAAATCATGGGAGTTGGCAACTCTGTAAAAAGGGTCTTTTTGACTTCAGCCAGGACATCATGTTGTTGCACAGTGACTAGAGCTCTTCATCTCTTGTTATCTTCAAATCAAGACTGGATGCCCTTCCGGAAGATATACGTTAGTCAGACACCTGTTACTAGGCTCAGAACAGGGGTGAGTGGGTGAAATTTTATGGCCTGTGATCTACAAGAGGTCAGACTTGATTAGAGGTGGGCAAACTACGGCCTGTGGGCCACTTCCGGCACGCAGGACCATCCTGCCCGGCCCCTGAGCTCCCGGATGGGGTGGCTCATCCCCAGCCCCTCCTCTGCTGTCCCCCCTCTCCCGAGACACGCCGCCATACGGGCAACGCAGCTTGTGCCTACCCACCTCTCAAGCTTTCCAATAAGCTTGTCCTGCCGCCGGCATGGTAAGGGGGTGGGGGGAGGGGTGGTTAAATAAGGGGCAGGAGGTCCTGGGGTGGCAGTCAGGGGACAGGGGGCGGTTGGATGGGGCGGAGGTTCGGGGGAGGAGCGGTCAGGAGATGGAGCAGGGGGGGGTTGGATGGGGGTAAGGTCCCGGGGGGTCGGGGGGTCCCAGGAGAGGGGGGACAGGGAGCTGGAGGGGGGGTTGGATAGGGGGTGGGGTCCTGGGGGGCAGTTAGGGATGGAGGTCCCGGGAGGGGGCGGTCAGGGGACAAGGAGCAGGGGGGGTTGGATGGGTCGGGGGTTCTGAGGGGGGCAGTCAGGGGGTGGGAAATGGGAGGGGGCGGATAGGGGGTGGGGGCCAGTCTGTTTGGGGAGACACAGCCTTCCCTACCCAGCCCTCCATACAGTTTTGCAACCCTGATGTGGCCCTCAGGCCAAAAAGTTTGCCCACCCCTGGACTAGATGATCTAATGACCCCTCTTCTGGCCTTAAAATCTATGACTTTAGGAAAGGTAATTGAAATATTTTAGTTAACTGCTCCTCCCCCTTTTTTTTTAAAGAGCAGGGGCTTTTGTCTCAGAACAAGCATTTTAATTGTGGTTGACAAAATACAAAACCTGAAAGATGTTCAGTGGAAAGGTCTATCTGTGGTAGGAAGGGGGCCTGTTTTTCCGGTTCTGGGTGTTTTAAGATGGAAACATTTTCTGACACTGGACATTTTTTTTACCCCAAACTGAAACATTTTCACAGAAAATTGTAAGGAAGTAAAAAACAGATTTGCAAAACGTCCGGGGGAGAATTAATTGTCCTTTCCCGGCCCTGCCCAGCTCAAAGCATGAGACTGGCAAGGAGGCCAGTCTCGGTGCTTCGAGCTGGGTGGGAAAGGACAATTAATTCTCCCCCGGACGTTTTGCACATCAGGGTGCAGGGCTGGGGGCGCTGTGCAGCCCCCATTGCCATGCAATGACTCTTGTCCCATCAGAGAAATCAGGGGTGGCAGGAGGTTGGTCTCCCCATCACAGAATCTAGAGCCCTCCCCCTGCCACTGAACGGGAGAGTCATGAAGGCTCTATGAAAATGGGGGAAGGTTTTTAGGTCACTGTCTCTTTAATAAAAAGGAGGACTTGTGGCACCTTAGAGACTAAGCAATTTATTTGAGCATAAGCTTTCGTGAGCTACAGCTCACTTCATCAGATGCATATTGTAGAAACTGCAGAAGACATTATGTACACAGGTTTCAGAGTAACAGCCGTCCTTGATTTTCATACACATTGTGAGGAGAGTGGTCACTTTGGGTAAGCTATTACCAGCAGGAGAGTGACTTTGTGTGTGTGGTTTTTGAAAAAGGGGGGGGGGGGAAGAAAATCTGGATTTGTGCTGGAAATGGCCCACCTTGATCCATCATACACATTGTACAGAGAGTGCTCACTTTGGATGGGCTATTACCAGCAGGAGAGTGAGTTTGTGGGGGGGGGTGGGGGTGGAGGGTGAGAAAACCTGGATTTCTGCTGGAAATGGCCCAACTTGATTATCATACACATTGTAAGGAGAGGTTTCAGAGGAACAGCCGTGTTAGTCTGTATTCGCAAAAAGAAAAGGAGTACTTGTGGCACCTTAGAGACTAACCAATTTATTTGAGCATGAGCTTTTGTGAGCCACAGCTCACTTGGCTCATGAAAGCTCATGCTCAAATAAATTGGTTAGTCTCTAAGGTGCCACAAGTACTCCTTTTCTTTTTATTGTAAGGAGAGTGATCACTTTAGATAAGCTATTACCAGCAGGAGAGTGGGGTGGGAGGAGATATTGTTTCATGGTCTCTGTGTATATAATGTCTTCTGCAGTTTCCACGGTATGCATCCGATGAAGTGAGCTGTAGCTCACGAAAGCTCATGCTCAAATAAATTGGTTAGTCTCCAAGGTGCCACAAGTACTCCTTTTCTTTTTGCGAATACAGACTAACACAGCTGCTACTCTGAAACCTGTCTCTTTAATGGGGGTGTGTAGGTGTGAGGACGTCCTCTGCCCCTGACAAAGATGCCCGTCACGCTACCATCATTCTTTCCCCTTACTTCCGCCCCGCCCAAACATGGCCGCCGGCGGAACGAAAATCACCCGGGCCCCAGCTCCTGCCACCTCCGCCGGCCAAAGATCGGATGGCCCCTGTGATTGGCCAGAGGGCGGGGCGGGGCGAGAGAGTGGAGGAGCGAGCGCTGTGGTTGGCGAAGAGGGGATCACGTGGCGTTGCAGTGCTTTGTGGTGACGGCTGACGGGCGGGTAGCAGCGAGCGCTGGGTGAGTGACTCGGCTGTGAAGCGAGTCTGGGGGCGGGGCCTGGGCTTCCCGCTAAGGATTGTGGGGGTCCGAGGTGCAGCCGCGGGGCAGCGGCGGCGCCACTCTGAGCTGTGGCACGTGAGAGGTCTGGGCTCGAGGTCCGTCGGTTCCGCCGGCGGGGGCGCGCCCGCCCTCCAAAGCCTGCGGGGGCGGGGGCGCCAGTCAGTGCTGCCGTGCGGGGAGCTGGGCTCAGCGCCCTCCCCCCCCGCCCCCATTGCACCCCCTCCCCCCGGGCCTGCGCCCTGGCGCTGCTTCTCCGGAGTTGGCGCTGCCAGGCGGGCGGCTCCCCGGCCACCCCAGCCCGTGGCACGACGCCACAGCCCCTGCTCCGTGGCTCCCTGTGGGCCCCACGGGGTGCTGCCCCCTTCCCTGCCTGGGGGATGGGAATGAAGCGCTCCCCCCCCCCCGTTCTGGCCGGGGCAGGCGTGGCCCTGAGTGGCCCTGGAAAGGGGGGATTTCCAGCCTCCGCTGGAAGGATGGCGCCGGTGCAGGGCGGGGCCTCGACACAAGGGGTCAGACTGCAGCGAGGCCAGTGGGTGTCTGTGGGGCACAGCGAAAACCCCACATGCCCTTCCTGGTGTGAACGACAGACTAGAGGGAAGTGCGCTGTTAGTAAAGGAACAAAAGAGCCACAGCTTCATGTTTGCTTTCCTCTTTGGGGTGTATGTGTGGGAACTGGTTTTCTGTTCCTCTTTTTGCATGTAGTTAATTTCCTATATCTTTTTTCATAGGATGGGTGGGGATAAAAGAGACTACCTTGTGCAGGTTGTTTATCTTGTGCTTACACTCTGTTTCCTTCTCTACAGTCAGCATTTTTCCTCTTTTCTAGAAGTGAATCCAAAAAAGAAATCTGACTAGCAGAAATTTTCCCCGCTTCTCATCTGTCTCTGGTTTTTCTCCAACTTGGAAGTGGCTGGGGTTTGTTTCAGATTTCTTTTGGGAATGAGGTGAAATGCTGTGTTAGATACTCTGTTTCAAATTTTCCTTGTACTGCTATTTAACATTGGCCTGCTAAACCCAGGGCTGTGAGTTCAATCCTTGAGGGGGCCATTTAGGGATCTGGGGCAAAAATTGGGGATTGGTCCTGCTTTGAGCAGGGGGTTGGACTAGATGGCCTCCTGAGGGCCCTTCCAACCCTGATCTTCTATGATTTGGTCTGTAGATCCTGTTTTTAGGCTGTTAGGTGTCCCCAAAAATTATGTACACAGAAGCTGTTCAGTATCTGAACTCACCTGGCTAACTTCCCCCTCTTGCTGGAAAGGGAGGACCATTGTCTAACGGTTACAGCAGAGATCTGGGTCCCTGTCTACACTAAGGAAGTTTTTAAATATGTCCCTTCATTGCTAACACCAGTTTAGCTCCGCCTGTATTAGCAACATTAGGAGCCCTAGTGTAGATGTGCTACCTCCATTGTAAGCACTCTGTCAATTCCACCTGCTCTGGATATTCTCCAACCAAGGCCATAAAATCCTCCATCACTCCTTTCAGCTGTTCTTTCTGCCAGGCTGCGAGGTTGTGGAACCCAATTTTCTCCCTGAGCTGGCATTTGTATTGGGGTTAGGGTGTTCTTAGTCTAAATTATATACATAGTAGAAACTAGTTGATCTCTTTTCTTGCTTTTAGGTTTGGATTTTTTCTGACCATTCAGTTCTCTCTGTTTTGGTAGATGGAGGAAGATGTAAGGGATCCCTTCCCTGACAAATTACATGGTGGATAGCCACAGTCTGTATAATGCAAGAGAGATGAGGCCTCCTCAGATCCCGGATGCTTTTTGTCTGAGAAGGGGCCTGTGAAACTCCATTCTTGTCCCTTTGCCAGTTATTTTAGAATTGGTTTTGCCCTGGATTGATTTCAGGTTCTCCTGGGATGTAAACAAAACTCACTTGGCTGTTGTCTCTGCTTTCCATATGCTGGTGCAACAAGCCTCAGTCCCTTGTCATCCTTTAGGGAACAGTATATTAAAGAGTTGATGAATCTGCATCTTCAAATCAAACTTAGAGTTCAATCCCATGAATTTTCATCCTCCTAAGGTCCTTGTGAGCCTCACAGAAACTTACTTTTTCTTGCATCTGTCATTTTATGGCTATAACATCTGTGAAGAAAGTTTCAGAACTGCAGGCTTTGATGGCATCCTTATACAAATTTTCAGAAGGATGAAGTAGTCCTAAGCCAGCCTCCCAAACACAAGCGTGGTGGTCTCATTTTGTTTTAAATCAGGTAGTTTCTATGCCAATATTCTTCCAAAATCCTGTGACCTTCTGGGTTTAGCTTGGCTGGATACAGTGGATGTGAAGAGGGGCCATTGTTAAGTCATTGTCAGGGCAAAGTCTTTTAGGAAATCCTCAAGATTGAGGGTGGGTGGGTGGGTGGCCATTCCTTTCAATCTAGAAGTGAGCTAAGCAGACCAGATTCAGTGAGCTGTAGCTCACGAAAGCTTATGCTCAAATAAATTGGTTAGTCTCTAAGGTGCCACAAGTACTCCTTTTCTTTTTGTGAATACAGACTAACACGGCTGTTACTCTGAAAAGTTCTCAGACTATGTCCTTGCTGAATTCCTTCTGTACCAAAAGGACTTAATACCCCTTCTGCTGGAATCTAGCAGCTACTGTTGAGCTGGAAGGCTGCTACCTAGAGCCTGACTCATACCTCTTCTAAGTGCTGTATTCTTGATACCGATTTGTGATCAGATTGAAGGCTGCGCACAGGAGAGGAGTGTTTCAGTCTCTCTTCAGTAAGGAGCACGCCTCAGTTCTCTTCAAGTGGATGTGTGAGGAAGCAGGATCTGGAAAGGAAAAAAAGTAAGGGCTTGTCTTCATTTACGGCGGTGCAGCTGCAGTGCTTTAGTGAAGACGCTCTTACACTGATGGGAGAGCTTATCTCGTTGGTGGAGTTAATCCACCTCTCTGAGAGGCAGTAGCTATGTTGGTGGGACAAGCTCTCCCGCTGATATAGTTGTGTCTACATGTGGGGGTTAAGTTGGCGTAGTGTCACTCAGGGCTGAAGATTTTTCACATCCCTGAGTGATGTCATTATACCGATATCTATCAGTAATGTAGACCTGGCCTAAGTTTACTTACAGAAGAAACTTTTGCCCACGTAACGTATTGTCTCAGTAGGTCCATACTGACTCTCTCTCCTCCCTACTTCAGAGATTTAAATTAAAGATTTAACAGACACTATGTGCCCATGTCAATACATACCAATATTTCAAAGCGGCATGTGGTGAAAGATTAGGGAGCTTGGTGGGGACCAGGGCTGTTTTATAATCAGGGCTGTGGGTGGAGGAGCAAGGCTATGTATAGCAGGGAGAGTAGCTGGGCCATGCATGGAGAGAATGGGTAACATGGTTATGGTGGACTGCAGCTGTAGGGGCCACTGGGGCAACTGACTCAGGACGGTGCGGGGGCATCAGGGCTCTGGAAGGGGATGTATCAAGGCGGACAGCTGTCTATCAGCTTTGATGTAGACTTTAAAAACCTGGCAACTTTCTTAAAAACCAGTTAAGGTGGTTCAAGTGACTTCCACAAATATAACCATAAAAAAGCCAGTAAATCCTTAGTTAAGTCCTCAGCTATCTCATGCGACCTACAGCCATGATTTCACCTTTTCTCCTCTGCCTCACCTGCAATATGATGCATGTTTTGTGCAGAGGAGGAAGTTGGAGGAGGCAAATGCAACTTTTAACTCCCTTCACAAGCAGCTGTTACAACACATCAGCGGACAGGCTTCCTCATTTCGTCGCCTAAATTAAGTCTACTAAAGAGGTTAGACAGTAACTTCCCAAAATGATGAACACTGTACAAACAGCTTGCACTTAAAAAAGCCAAATAATTCTCTCCATTAACAATCATACAACAGGACACATGTCAACCATCAACTTCAAGTCTAGGCCATGCCCATAGCCATCTACTTCTACACACTAATTTTATACTCCAAACATCTGTTTCATACCACTCCATGTGGTCCAAGTTAAAAGTTGCATCTTTAGGCCCTGATAGCAAACAATTTACTGCCGTGGGTAGTCCCACTGGTAATAAAGTTAAGCCCTTATCTTTGCAGGATTGGGGTTTTAGTGTGGAGGTTGAGGGAGGCGACAGAAGTGATGTTGGTGAGGTAATGTGAATAAGGCAAAATCATGGCCGTAGTTTGCAAGGGCTGGCTGAGGACTTAGCTAAGGGCTTCCTGACTCGTCTTATGGTTGTATTATGTTTAAAGCACTGAAATGGGACTCAGGAGGTCTGGATTTGATTCCTGGCTCTGCCACAGAAACCCTGTGTGACCTTGGGTAAGTCACTTTAACTTGTCTGCAGCTCAGTTCCCCATCTGTAAAATGGAGGTAATAGGCCTGGCCTTTCTCCCACTCCTTGTCTGTCTTGTCTGTGCAGATGGTAAGCTCTTTGGGACAGGGCCCATCTCGTAGTACAGCACCCAACACAGTGGGACCCTGACTGAGGCTGAAATTTCAGGGCCAGGCAGTGCCTGCTAGAAATCTGTTCAGCTGATATGTGGGTACCAACTCTTCAACCCTCACTCCGCATTGCACACATTTCTGAGGGAGGATAGCGATGGCATATCTTGTCTAATGGAATACATGAAGAGTCAATGGACTCCTACTGAGACAATGCGTTGTGGGTAGGGAGTGGGGAGCTGGGATTAAGGTCACTGAATGGAAGTCTTGGGGCTTTGCTGGGTACGGGCAGTGGGGGAAGGTACTGACCTAGGCTGAACTTGAACTCTGATTTCTTCCAGGGTGAGGGGAAGCAGACAGTTGATTTCCCCAAAAGATGCAGTTTTTTGGCCGACTTGTAAACACCATCAACAATGTCAGCAACCTGTTTTCAAACCCTTACCGGGTGAAGGAGGTGCCCCTGGCAGAGTATGTGGCTCACACACTTCTGAGAGAGGAAAACAGGGTGATCCTGTATAAGAACAAAAACGCTCACTACTGGGACTGCCTGCTGGTGAACCCCCAGAGTAAGCTGGTCGCCTTTCGGTGAGTGACAGATGACCCTTTCCTCTTCTGGACACGTTTTGGAGCCAGAGTGGAGATTTTCTGAGAACAGGGAAAGTGGTAGCATGGGCAATGGAAACATCTTTCTGGCTACAGGTGCTGTCACTGGGGACAGGATGCCAACCGGGTGAGGAGTCCTTAAGAGTGAATGCAGGCGGGAGGAGAAATGCCTAGCATTAGGGTGTGGAGAATCAATATGTCTCCCTAGTGCTAGGAGGATTGGCTTTTGGCCTATATTGAGGGGAGCTGGGCTGTATTCTCATTCCCTTTACTCTTCTCCAGGCTCTTCCGGTTAGACAATGAGACGGAAGCTGTTGAGCGCTTTGAGCAGTATGCCAGGCGGCTGCGCCCCTTCTACGAGAGCTCGCCACAACCCCTGCAGCTAGAGGTCCTCCAGCAACTAAGTGACTGTTTCCGTAACCACCCCCACTGGTCCCTGGCGCATGTGGCAGTGGAGACAGAGCTTCTGGGGAGTTTCCGACACAATCGCATCCTAAGGCAAGGGCTGAGGAGTTCTCCTGAAGGAGTATCACTTGGAGTTAGCTCAGGGCAGGAATGCAGTTCAGGCCCATGCTTTCAAGGTCAAGCACCTAAATCCATATTCCAGCCCCTAAATAAATAAAAGTGGGCTGCTTCTTGGAAGAGCTTGGGTCCTGCAACTTCCATGGACCTTGCATTGGCAGATAGTGGCCTAAATGCCTAGCTTGGCCAAATGATGGGTGTGATAACTGCTTACATAAGAACAGCCATACTGGGTCAGACCAGAGGTCCATCTAAACCTGTGTCCTGTCTTCCAACAGTGGCCAATGACAGATGCCCCAGAGGGAATGAATACAACAGGTTTATCAAGTGATCCATCCCCTGTCGCCCATTCCCAGCTTCTGGCAAACAGAGGCTAGGGACACCATCCCTGCCCATCCTGGCTAATAGCTATTGATGGACCTATCTTCCATGAACTTATCTATATCTTTTTTGAACCCTGTTATAGTCTTGGCCTTCACAACATCCTCTGGCAAAGAGTTCCGCGTTGTGTGAAGAAATACTTCCTTTTGTTTGTTTTAAATCTGCTGCTTACCCATTATTGAAGGGTATAAATCTAACACTCACCATGGGAGTTGCTAGTGGGCTTTGAGCTCATTACTGTCAACACCAACCTCCTGCATTTGAGCTGAAGGAATAAATCCACTAGCCGGTAGCAGTAGTAAGGCTGTTATATAATCTATGTGGACCAGCCACTAGAGGGGGTTGTGGTACGCTGTGTCATGTTACATAAGCAACAAGAAAGGAGAGGAATTGTCTTCCTGGATCATAAAGCCTTCCTAGGCTGGAAATCACTTTGGCCTAGATCATGGGTGGGCAAACGTTTTCGCAACCCCAGTGTGGCCCTCGGGCCAAACTGTACAGAGGGCCAGATAGGGAAGGCTGTGCCTCCCCAAACAGCCTGGCCCCCATCCCCTAACTGCCCCCTCCCACTTCCTGCCCCCGACTGCCCCCCTCAGGACCCCCAACCCATCCACACCCCCGCCACTCCTTGTCCCCTGACCGCCCCCTCCCGGGACCCCCTGTACCCCTAGGATCCCACCCCCTGTCCCCTGACTGCCCCGACCCCTATCCACACCCCTGCCCCCTGACAGGCCCCCCAGGACTCCCATGCCTATCCAACCCCCTCTGTTCCCCATCCCCTGACCGCCCCCCCCCCCGATCTTCTGCCCCATCCAACTGCCCCCTGTCCCCGACTGCTCCCCCGGACTCCCAGCCCCTTATCCAACCCTCCTGCTCCCTGACCCCTTACCATGCTGCTCAGAGCAGCAGGAGCTGGCAGCCTGGCGGGAGCCAGCCATGCTGCTGCTCTGGCTGCGAGCTGAGGCTGCGGGGGAGGGGGGACAGCGGGGAGGGGCCAGGACTAGCCTCCCCATCCGGGAGCTCAGGGGCCGGGCAGGATGGTCCCGTGGGCCGTAGTTTGCCCATCTCTGAGCTAGATGCCCCATTCCCTTTCAGCATTGATCTGGCAAAATGTTCAGTGTGGGCAAGGGGAATTAGGAACTGGATAGCTCAGGGACTGAGGGGTTAATGCAGGAGCTTTCTCCTCTTGGTCATTGGGTACAATCTAGCAGAGGATGCGGCACATCAGGAGGAGGAGTGTTAGCCGTGCTATGTGGTGGTTCCAGTCCTGGAATAGCAGGAGGTGCTAGATGGCAGGAATGAGTGCTTTGGCAGGGCTGTGAGTGGAGGAAGCTTGCACACCACTTCCCCATGCTCTGCCATGGGCTGTCAGCCCCTTGCTTTCACCAAGTACATGAAACAATTAGTTCTAACACAGTAATTTAGGGAATCTGATGCAAACCTCTGGTAGGATGTTGTACTGAATGTCCTCTCTCAGGGCAGGGGCCCACCTATTTACTCTCTTTTGTTGCAGCTGTGTGAACAGCACAGAGTGTGAGGATGGCTGTACCCCACTGCAGCTTGCCTGCCGGAAGGGAAACATGGAGTGTCTGTGTGAGCTGGTGGAGTGCCATGCCCGGCTGGATGTCACTGACAAAAATGGGGAGACAGTCTTTCACTATGCTGTCCGAGGAAGTAACCCTGAGATCATAAAGGTGAGGGCGAAGCAGGGGGCTTTACAGCGGGCTGCTGCGTACTCTTCCTACCACAGGGCGGGGGTGAAAGAAAGGAACCCAGTGCTGTACGTCTGGAGGAGATAGAAACAAGGCTTTCCACATTTGGGGGAGAAAAAGCCAGATAAATCTGCTGCTGCAGGAGGACAGGAGGGTGCAAATCTTTGGCTTGATCTCAGCCCCCCCGGCTTCCTCCCTCTTCAGGGACTTTGATGACTGCATGGCTGCAGAGTTCTCCAGGACTGAACTCTAAAGCCCAGAGTGCTCTGGGACAGGAGTAAAACAGGACGAGGTGCAAAATGAGTGCACCAGAAAAGACGATTTGCATCTACTTCTGGCCTTAGGCCAAGAGTTCCCTTTCTTGCTTCCATGGTGCCTATAGCAACAGAAGACCAAATCAAGTTTCACATGGCCTTTCATGGTGGCTGAGGGTTAAAGCCTAGCTTGAACCATTCCTGTCATTTTTCAAAGTCTGCAGAGTCTGTCCTTAAACCTGCCTCCCCTTGATTCAGGTGACATGACAGTCGGAGCTGTGTGTGGACAGAGTCTGACCAAACCATCATTTCTCTGGGTCCTTTTTTAATTACTATGGTATGTTGGCCAGACTGGCTTGACAATGCAGACCCTTATGGACTGAGTCAATGTGGTTCCTTCCTGCTAGTCTGATGGGTTAGTGAGAACAGTGCGTTTACACAGGCTAAGATTAAGGATTGTGGTCCTGAGGTTTTGGTGGTGCCCATAACTACCCTCTGGATTTGGTCTGAGTATAGACCTGAGGGCTACAGATGTGCTTCTGTTGTTGCTCTGTGAGATGACTGATTGCTGTCCATAGACAAGTGCTCTCTGCACTGTGCCAGAGCCTGAATCTTGATGGAAAAGGAGACAGGACACTGACAGGTGGCATTGGAGACTTTTTTTGCTGGCTGTTCCCTATTCTTATACCATCCAGGAAGGGCAGGGCTCAGAGTTACAGGTGGCCGAACCCTTGGATGGAGGAATGTGTGTTTCTGGTCTGTGGTTACTTTGAGATGGGTTTTGTGAGAAGAGGTTCTGGAGTCGAGTGAGGGCAGACTGAGTTCTCAGTGTGATTTGCAGTCCAGAAATTTTCTGCTGGGCTTGACTTTGCTGCCTCTGTCGCAGAGGAGAGGGAGGAGCTCTGCCGCCTTCACAGCCCTGACGTAGGTTTGTAGAAATTCCTCAGGGCCAAGTCTGGCTGTATCTGATTGCAGTCCATGCCAGCACCACTTGAGTTTTCTTCCTCCTGGCTTTTTTTTTTTTTTTTTTTTCCTATGGCAGGTCATTGGTGATCTGTGTGGGGTGAGAGAAGGTGCTTCAGTGCTGGTATTTCTATGGCTATAGCCAGATAACCTTGCAGCACTTCACCATTTCTCCTACTTCTTGGCTTTTGAATTGGGTAGTTTTCTAGAAGTTAGTCTTGGACTTTGGAGGAGTCCAGGAGAGTTTTGGGACAGACCATGGGGGCTTTCTTGACTTGTGACAAGGAAGGTGGGATGAGGAGGAGGCCTCGCCACATCTAGGGTGTTGGACTTTTAAGGGACCCTAAAAACAATCCTGATTTAACGGGGCAGCCTCTCCATGTTACCGTAATAACAGCAGCTTAATGGGTTTGCCCTGAGATTTTAAACGGGATTGACCTCCCCCAGGATGCTGTTTACCCTTTCCATCAGCAAAGAACAGGGAAATTAAACTGTCCAGATTCACTTCCTGCCTCTCCAGTGGGTTTGGGTTTCCTGCAGTGGGGGTAGGAGTGTGTGGGAGGGAGTGTCAGGTTAACAAACAGACCAACAACACCGTTTTGTTTGAAATTTCCAAAACCAAAGTCTTGAAAACATTTCTATTTTGTTGATACTTTAAGCAGGATCTGGATTCACGTTCTAACCTAAGCTTGAGCCAAAGGGGAGAGCACAAGGTGGAGTAATAGACTTCCCAGTTGGACAAACAAGGAGAGTTTAAATAACCACCAGGATAGACTTGTGGGGTGGTTCTAGGGTAGGGGATGAAGTGGGGGATAAGCTATACCATTTATGATGAGTCAAATGCTGTCCCCAGCAGCAGTCCTCAGAGCCTGGAGAGAGAGAGAGAGATTTTGCTGTTTAATTTCTTTTCAGCTCCTGGGCAAAAAGCCATCTGTTGGCTTGAACCACCTGAGCAATCAGGGGCAGACGCCTCTGCACCTAGCCTGCCAGCTGGGCAAAGAGGATGTGGTTCTGGCTCTACTGAAATGCCATGCGAAGTGCAACATCATGGGGACACTGGGCTACCCTATTCACACTGCTGTGAAGTACTCCCATAAGGGGTAAGTGTTCACCTGTCTTGTTGGAAGGGTCATGCCTACAGGCTTGGAGCCCATGTGCTCCTCCCTGGGTGCGTGCTCCTCCCTGCTGAGAACTATATCTGGGTATCACTAACTGGCATAGACTTGCCTACCCCTTCCCAGTGCTTGCCTATCTTGTCGGGATAGGAGTAACAGCAGGATAGTGCTCACTGGCTGAGAATCTGCCTAGTACCCGTTCGCCTTGCTTGGAATGGAACTCCATGGTTGATGCCTGGCTAGCATGCCCCTTCCTAGTGCTCACTTGCCTCCCTGAGAATGGGCACTCTTAAGACGCCACATGCTGGCTCAGATCCTGTGTGCCCACTATCATTGTGGGTTTGCCTTTGAGGATGGGCCAGCCCCAGAATGTCACCCGCTAGCACTAATGTTCTGTTACCTCCCAGGTTCAGTTTGTCTTGCTAGCAGGGCATGACCCAACGGCCTAGATTCCAGGTATCTTTTCCCAGTGCCTCTATCCTCTCTGCTGTTGATGCCTTTGAGGACCAGTGGGCGCTGTCCAGGGTTCTCTGCTCGGTGTCTCCATCAGGTTCCCTTTGTTTGATCCTTTGACCTCACTCCTGTCCCTGTTATCTCATTAGTTGTCCCCCGGAATCATTTGGCTTCCAGGTCCTGTGGATCCTCCCCTTAGGCTGGGGGGAGGTCCTTTAGCAGTGCGTGGACTTCTGCCCACCCACTTCCTGGATCCGAATAGGATCCTCTCTGCTAGTGTGGCCCATTGACTCTTAGCTCCTCCTCAGTCTAAGAACAGGGAGCACTGGATGCTTTGCTGTTCAGGGGCCTGCCCAGGTCACAGAGCATCCCAGGTGGGGTGGAGAGACAGAGGGCTGTTAACCCACAGTTCCTCAGTGTGGGCTCTCAAGGATGTGATGACCCCCGCACATTGTTGGCAGGCTGGGGTCTTTGTCCCCATCCATGACCGTTCCCTTTCCATGCCTCCATCTCATTTCCTCCTGAAGGTGTGTGCGAGCCCTTCTTGAAGTGGATGTCAATCAAGTTCAGTTCAAGGACCCCCACTACGGAGCAGCTGTGCTCCACTGGGCCAAAAATGCTGAGGTAAGCAGAGCTGATGCCAGGCAGAGGGGCAAACTGACAGGCATGCCAGCATGCCACTCAGTCACACTGGACTACTTCTTCTCATATGAAATTCTGCTCCCCTCCCCCCTGTTAATTCCTCCAGCTGGAAACGTTCACCTTCCTGCAGGTTGCTGCATGTGTGATTCTGTTTAGAGCACAGTAACCTAGCAAGCCACCTAAAAGACAGTCGCTGGTCACCCACGACTCAGATTCTCAGGTAGAGCAGCCTCTTTCCCCAGGCCGCTTCCCATGGTACTGGTTGAGAGAATCAGTGCCATCAACAGTAGGGGGAGAGAGCTGTGGACCCTCACAGTGAAATGGGCAGATCTTGGTACTGGGTACCCTTGGTTATTGGACTGCCAGCTTGTTCCCCTTCACTCTCTTTCTGATGGAGTAATAGTGCTAAAGCCACCTCTAGGGTGGAACATGGCAGCTATTCTGTGCCATCAACATTACATAGCAGTTTCTAAGATGGGAAACAGAAGAATAACTTCTCACTGCAGGGGAATTTTAGCTAGACAAGTTATAATCACCCAGAGTGGAAATTGGCCTGCCAATTCCCAGAATTCTTGTGAAAAATGCCAGGGGAGCTGGCATAACGCCCCCCTGGTGCCATACTAGGGCACTGATTCAGGCCTAGTTTAGAGAGGAGACTGCCTCTTGTTGCATTGCCAGCACTCCTTCCTCCAGCATTTAGGTTCTCCTTGGATGTCTCCCAGTCAAGAACTGAACAGGCTTGAAACTGCCAGGCTCATAAGGTGGGACAGTGGAAATAAACAGGGGGATTTTAGCAAAATCTACACAAAATCTTCCCTCAAATGTGCCAAGGATTTTAATCCAAATGGGATCACATTTTTCATTTAGCTCTGGCTCTGCTTGGCCCCATTCCTGTGTTTTGTTGTAAGACACAAGCGAGACATTCAGAAGCATAGGTAAGGTCGTTAAAGTGAAGAGCTGTTTTGGTATCAAGTATTTAGAGAAACCTCACAAGATCCTCCTTGTCACAATACAGATGCCCAGGGCTTTGTAGCTGACACTTAACTGTTAAGCCTTGTCTACACTAGTCTTTGTTTCTTCCCCCATTGCTATCATCAGCTTCTCAAGCACTCACTGCCTGGCATCTTCTACCTAAGGAAGAACAGGCTAGTTTGCCCGCCCATGCTGTTGTTCTGAAGCTATCACGCTTCCTTGTTGCTTTCTCTCCCTTTCTTCCTATGCCTTTGGGGCACAGATGACCCGGATGCTGATTGAGTATGGCTGTGACGTGAATTCTGTCAGCAAGACAGCAGACATGGCTTTGCACATCATGGTCAAGCGGGGGCGTTTTGACAGCGCAATGGTGCTGCTGACGCACGGGGCTCTTGCTAATGCCAAGGGGAAGGATGGCAACACCCCGCTGCACCTGGCCATGAAGGTGAGTTTCTCCCAGGCCACAGGTTTTCACTTCCCAGGGGATCTGACGGAGACCTTTTCTGCCAGGCCAGGGCATGAAAAGAACACCATGGAGCCGCCCCACCATTCCTTTTTATGAGAAAGGGGTTAGTATGCACAACTGCTCTCTTCTATGCTTCTAGCTGGGTTTAATTGGTCCAGCTGTGCTGGTGCCTACACCAGGAACATCACAGGCCCTGGCCCTCAAGTGGTGGGAAGGAGATGAATTCATCAGGATGCTCTTAATTAGCGGGAGCACCCAAGGACGAGAGCGACAGGGCCCAGCAAAGGCAGCGGCAAGCGGATGAAGGGAGCGTTGCCTATGACGAGATTTCTTCCTTCTTACAGCAAGACCACCTGGAGACGATCAAGGCCCTCATTGTGTTTGGAGCAGATGTTGAGATCTCCAATGAGTTTGGAGAGACACCAGGGCTGGTGGCTGCCAGGACCAGCAAAGGTGAGCTCTGGGCAGAAGAGGGGAAGAAGGGAGCAGGAGGTAGAAGTGGAAAGCCAGACACTGCCCCTCTCCAAGCCACGCTGTCAGATGCTGCAGGGGCACGATGGGGAGAGGCAGGGCAACTGAACCACCAAGGTGCAGTCCCATCCCCGAGCACACTGTGTACACAGTGTCTACCCCATAAAGCAGCTGTGAAATGCAGGGTCAGGGATCCCAACAAAACACAAGCCCTAAAATCTGGTTGTAGAAGGATGCACAAAGTATGATCGCTACCTCACTTCCCATCCCTCAGTTATTGTACACACACGGGACTGGCTTTCTAGGGTGTATGGAATGACCCTGTGATTTGTGTATTGATTTTTCTTTTTAATATGTGCGACTCCCCCACCTTGCAAGGTCCTAACCGGAAGGTGCTCTTAGGCCTGCTGCAAATGGTAGGGACGGAACGCTGCCACCCACCTAGCCCCGAATCCCCCCACATGGCATCCACAGCATCACTACCGCTGTCCACCTCCCCGGAAAGACCACCGCTCCCACGGAACAACGGCCACAGTTTAGGTAAAGCCTTCTCTGGCCCTGTCTCTCACTCTCTCCTCTCTCTTTGCAGTCTTCTCTGAGAGCTTCTCTCTGGATTGTCCTGCACTTTTGGGGTTCTGTCCCCTCTCCCAGCTCTCATTGTCTTTAGTAGCTGTCAGCCTGCTTCCATTCTTCCCAGGATCAGGTCTACCCTTCTCTTATTTTCCCCAGTAAAACTCTCTATAGATCTGTTTGGATTCTTGGGTACACCCCTGCAGTGCACCAGCCCGAGGAGGAGAATTTTGGGGTGACTGGCCACACACCCCTGGAATAGATCTGGGACCGATGTCCATCCCCATACCCTGTGACACCCTCCCCCATCCATCTGGAAAGGCAGAAAAGAGCTCAGCTGAAATTTGTCTTGAGTTTTCCATTCTCGGTTGGTGATGGGGCATCCTGGGTGTGGGGGAGAGGTGGGGAGGAATGAGACATGGGAGTGTCTGGGGCCCAGATCCTGAAGTCTGAAAGCTAGTGGAGGGAAAGGCTGAGGCCTAGGGATAGATGAATGTGGAAAATGAATTCCCTTCTCACCCCAGCAGAGGGGCGTCTCTCTAGGCAGTGATAGGGTCTCGTTGATAAGATGGAGCAATGGATGTGGTAGAAGGACAGAAAAAGAGGAAGTACTTACCTGTAGTTCTGCTGCTCTGAAGAAATGGCCATCCAGGATTCTCACTCCAAGCTTAGTACCATTCCTGTGTGGTTTCTCCAGAGAAAATGGATTCATCTCACCCCAGCAGGTGTGTCTGTACCTCCCAGGGTTCCACTGCTGGAGTAATACAAGGAGGGAAATCCAGGGCTGAATTCCCCTCTTCTCTCAAGAGTGGTGGAGGTCTAGGTGTGTCCTTCCAGGATTAGGCTTCTGATATATTGACAGAACAGGGCTGTTTTTATCAGGGACCTGAGTGTGTGCTGAGAAATCTCATCCAGTGCTGAGATTCCTCCAAAGATCCACTGCTTCCTTCTGGTCGCTGGCAATAATGTATTTTTTCTCCTCCCCTGTTTTTCTTTTGGTTTCACAGGCTGGCACCTCATCTGGGCCAGGTTGCCCCTGCGCGCCCCCCCCCCCGCCATCCCAGGTTGTGGCCTGGGATACAGCTGCAGATGGGTAGTAAGGAAGCTCCCAGACCTCCATGTCTGGTTATCTCCCAGGATTAGATTTAGGTTTCTTTCTCATTTCCTGTGGCTGCTGGGACCTGCCTCCTCTCTGTCTTACTCTGGTCCATCTGCTCCTCTGCATCTTTGTTTGAAAGCTCTCTGCCTGCCTGCTCTCCGGGATTTGATTTCTGATCCTATTTGGCTTGGAGTCTAAGGAAGGGGTGAATTGGTGGCACTGCATGCAGTGGCTTGTCTGCTCAAGGGAGGAGGGGCAAAGAACTTGTTTGATAGGGGTGGGAACTTGACGTTCTTAGTGTTGATATAACATGGTGCAAGGCCTTTGCTGGAGGGGTGGAATGTGTCCGTACCAGTAACCAGCTACCGGGGGACAGAAGAGAGATGGCAGAGCGATGATTAAGGACTTGGCTTATTGTGATAGAGAGCCCACTAACTATAACTTTGCTAAATAGTGACTGGAGGCGATATGACAAATATCTGTCCCTCAGGAGTGCTAGAAGGGTCTAAATAGCAAGGAGATGTCGCTTGGATAAAACCATAAAACTTTGGTTGGCTGTTGTGAAGTATTTCCTGGTGGTGAGGTCTGTGTAAGCGCGAAAGAGTTTCCCAAGGGAAGTGGTGGAAGCGTCGTTGCTTGGGACGTTGAAGCACTGGAGATTGTACTGCAGGGAGCAGGTCTTCGCTGGCAGGGAAGGGACAGGCATGAAAGGTCTTTTCTGCCGCCGAGCTCTTTGAGATGAGGGCAGAAGGGTGGGAAAGGGAACTAGAGGGATAGGGTAGAAGATTAGAGGGCAGTGGGGGAGCTCTAGGGATGCAGGGGACCCCGGAGGAAATCTTCTCACCCCAGGTGGAGCAAAGGCACTGTTTATGCATATTCCTCTCCTCCCTCTACGACTCTCTCCTGCTGTCTGTTTGTGCCTCTCTAGGTTACGACAGCATCATCCATATTTCCACAGCACTTGGCCACTTGCTGAAGACGCCGGATGTCGTGGACTCTACCAGTGATGCAACGAGAACGTAAGCTAGGAGTGGATCTCATGGGACAACTGCATGGCTTGAATACGGGGATGGGAGGGAGTGAATTTCTCCTCCCCCCATTATGCATGGCACCCTCACTCCTGGAACAAACCAGAGTGCCATGCAGGGGCTCATGCGCATGTGAGGTTCTCTGCTCTCATTATCATTGACTAAAGTCCCATGCATGGCATGCCCATGTGTGACCCCTCTCCCCCTGCTAGTGCCCAGAGTCACGCATTGGCCTACACCCCCAATGGAACCCAATCTGGGTGATTAAAATCTGCCACCTCTGCACTCACCATCACCCATTTAATGCTGTTGAGCAGCTAGTGCAGGCTTTGGCCCAGCCCAGCACACTGACTTGATGGCTGCAAAGCTCTGTGCCAATTTCTGCACCATTTTGGCAGCATCTTGATGCATGTGATGCATCTGTCTTGTGTGGGGTAGGGAGGGGATGCACAGAGATTGCATGAAATGCAGGGGGAGTGTTGATGGAACACTCTTGCTGCGGGGGGAGGTGTGTGATTGAAGGGCAAGCAGCAGGGTCCTGGGTGGGGGAGGGGAATAAGGAAACTGTCCTCAGCAAATCAAAGGGGTGGTCGGTTCTGTGTATGCTTTGTTGTTTTGAAAGGAATATTGTATTAAAACAAGTCGTGTCAGAGAGAAGGAATCTGAATGGCTGGTGACAGTCACAGCTGTGGAAGGACAATGGCAGGCTTGGGAGCTATACCCGTTTGTTCCAAAACCTGTACTAAAACACACACGGCAGAAAGAATGTCATCAATGAATCCCAGTCTTCAAGGGAAATAGCTCCCACCAAGGGATGGGTTATACCAGAGTCCTGCCCAACTTGGGAGCCATAACTCTGGGCATCGGGAGAAATTACACTGTATGCCCAGTCCTCTCAGAGGCCAGAGGAGAGGAGCAGATCCCTGTCTGTCTTGAGGGGCCGAAGGCCTTCTCCTCCTCCCGGTTCTTCTGAGATGTGCATGGATTTCATATCGCCAAGCCCCGAGGACTCTGGCCCTAAATTCTGTAGCAAGGCCCCTGGGTTTCCATGGCACTCTGGGGCAGCAGATTGAGAATTGTGTGGTAGCTTCTGGTAAGTGTGTGAGAGCGGAGGGATTGTTGAATTAAATAGGAACGGGATTAAGACAGTGGGCCCCCAGTGTAATTTATTTGAATATTAAATTCCCTCTATTTTACAATGCATTTAAATGTAAAGGGCCAGATCCCCAGCTGGTGTAAATCGGCACAGCTCCATTGAAAGGGATGACATCCTGTGCCCCACCAGAATGCACTGTTGTCCCTAACAACACATAGCTGCTGATCATTGAAGTGGGTGGGGTGACACCAGTTTACACCATCTGGAGATCAGTCCTTTTGCTACCAAGGTGCTGCTATCTTTTGTTTGTCATGGCAACATGTAACTGCATTGTGGGGGATGTTGCAGGGGGAAAGTAGAGGTTTTGGTGGCTGGGATAGATAGAGATTTTAGTGCCTGGGAGATGAGTTTGAGATTGTGGGGAGGACACATTAGCTGGGCGTTTCTGCTAAAATGATCGCTCATGAAATAGTTCACAACGTTGACAGGGCAGTGATGCTTTCTTTTGGGATATAAGACAGTGTTACATCTGGAGACGGGAAGGCAGCTCTCCACAGAGAGAGTTTCTTTTCTTTCTTTTGTCTGTGTGAGGCTGCTGATCTCAGACCTCATAGAAAGACCTTGTTTAGCCTGGGCAACTCTCCCTGATTTCCCAGGGGATGGTATCTGAAAACAGGCGATAGGTGAGGTCTGGGAGCTGATCATGGTGGTGGATGGCTGCTTTGGCACCTGAAAGGGAAAGGAGGATGTTTGAGGATGGTTTGGCAGCTGAGAAATCAGTTGGGTGCTTTTGGGGTTGCAGGAGGGTTTAGCAATTGGGAGGAGAGCTGGGACACTTGAGGGGCTGCAGGGAGGTGCTGGGAGAGAGGTTGGGGCATCAGGGAGGGGGTTCAGGATGCTTGAGAGGAGGCCAGTTTATAGAGGAATGTCATTCCTGTCTGCTGCACTGAGCATACCCTATGTTCTAATACATAACTTAGCCCGCATCTTCCTGTTCTCCTGGTCCCTCTCAAGGTACGATCGCCTCCTGTGTCTGGATGGAGGGGGCATCCGGGGCCTGGTGCTCATCCAGCTTCTCATCGCTATTGAGAAGGCTGCTGGCCGACCAATCAGGGAACTCTTTGACTGGATCGCAGGGACCAGCACAGGAGGGATCCTGGCACTGGCTGTTGTACACGGTAAGGGACGAGTGGGGTGGCAGCAACGACCCACAGGCACAGCCGTTGCTAAGCCTGGGTCAGAACGGTTTCTCGGCATGTGGAGAACAGGGCAGGCAGGAGAGGCGGGGGCTGCAGCTCTGTGATCCTGTGGCTCTGGGAGGTTGCTACCAGCTGAAAGGGAAATGGGATTTTTTAAGGAACAAATGCCAGAACTCTGGTCGGTGTTTGTTCCTCCTTGGAAATGATCTGACCTGCTGTTGTGAATTTGAGAAGTCACACAGCGAACAGCAGTGTTTTTGGCAACCAGGTGTTCCTGGTCTTCTCCCCACCAAGGGTCTATGCCCAGGTTCCTTAGCTCTTTGTTATTGTCTGGAGAATCCTGAGGAGTGAGCTCTGAACTTGCCCTCCTACCTCAGAGGCTTTCTGATAGACAGAGCTACTGCTCTGGGTAGACACTGCAGGGGCTGAGTGTGATGCTGCCACATCCCCCCCGACCCTGTGGAATTCAAGCTCTGATTCCCCTGGGTCTGGCTGGTTCTGCTTTTCTGTCTGCCTCCCACTGCCTGTTACAGCTAGTTCCGTTTTGTGTCTCAGGGAAGCCGGTGGACTACCTGCGCTGCCTGTACTTTCGCATGAAGGATGAGGTGTTCCGAGGGTCGCGGCCGTACGAGTCAGAGCCCCTGGATGAGTTCCTGAAGAGGGAATTTGGAGAGCACACCAAAATGACAGATGTCCAGAAACCGAAGTGGGTCACAGCTGGGGCTGCGCTTACTAATAATCTCTGTTGAGATTGTTCACTCCCCTCCTTTCGGCAGGCTCCGGGGTGAGGCGTTCAGCCAGGCCACGAACCAGATCAGGAGGAAGAGGTTGATTCAGAGGCTGACAATGACTACCCAGATTTGTTTCAACACCAATCTTTGTTTCTCATTTCATTTCCCACAGGGTCATAGTAACAGGGACCCTGTGTGACCGGCAACCTGCCGAGCTCCACCTCTTTCGGAATTACAAGGCACCAGCGATGAAAAACAAGCCTGATGTGAAGACAACGGACCCCTTCAGACCACTGACCAATCCAGAAGGTAAATGCTTTCACGCACCAGAGTCCACTGCGGGGAGAGGGGAGAAAAGGGGGGGAGGTGGGGAGAGGTATGTCCTGGCAGTGGGTTAGTCTCTACTTTAACGATCCTTGGAGCTTGCTCCGTCCTAGTGGACGTTTCGCAGGCTATGTCTACACTACAACCGGGATCTACGCTCTGAGATCGATCCATTGGTGGTCGATTTAGCAGGTCTAGTGAAGACCCACCAAATCAACAGCAGATCGCTCTCCAGTCGACTCCTGTACTATCCCCGACGAGAAAAGTTGACGTCAGAGTTTCTCCTGTCAACCCCCCCACAGTGTAGAACTTGTGGTAACTCAACCTAAGGTACGTCGACTCCGGCTATGTTATTCACCTAGCAGGAGTTGCGTAGCATAGGTCGACTTACCACTGTAGTGTAGACATAGCCTTAGTCTCCCCTCTCAACTGTCCTGCCTTGACTGTTCATGCTTTCTGCAGCAATAAGCAGTAGCACACTGGCCTAACCACCTGGGCATATGTTCTGCCACTCTGCAGAGCCGCAAATTCAGCAGCCACTCTCCCTGGTTCTGTGGGAGAAGAGTGGTGCAGAAGGGCCGCCAAATTTTTGGAAAGGGGTCAGGAGGATGCACCTTCCTGAATCTATGTGCAGACACGGGGGCACACAGGGAATGTGTCTCCACAGATTTCTGCCTTCCATTTAGCAACATCCAGAGGGGCTGCTGCAGACTCTGCCCCACAGGGCATTGGGGCTGGGCAAGGCCTGGGCTGCCTATTGTGGGGACACCCAGCAGGGAGGAGGCAGAGGCTCCCCCTGGTGGTGACACTCACCACGTGTCCGTGCAGTGCAGGGAGGGAGGAAGCAGCAGGGTGGTGTGGGGCTGTGGGCTGAGCCTCTCCCTCCGCCCTGCCCCCCCACTACATAGGGCTGCTTCTCTTTCCTTGCTGCTGGAGTCCCAGCGCTTCCCCCTGCCTGCTTTGCAGACTGCCCTGTGCGAACGCTCCGGGCCTGTTCCCAGGGCAGAGGCCACTCTCCCACTCCTATAACGGGCTCTGCCCAGGGGAAGCTGCTCTCCATACACAGCAGTGGGGCTTGCCCTGCCTTCCATTTAGAAACAGCTTCTAGATCCAGAGGTGATGCATGGGGAGGTCACATGCCTCCCCTCACCCCACAGAAACTTTAAATTGTGGCCCACCCCACTATCAACAGTTATACATCGCTTCTGTCTATAGGGATGGGTTCCAAAGGGACATCTCCATCCCTCCTGGGCTAGTGAATGAATCTATTACATACAATGGGCAAATTCATCCCCAACATAACTCTGCTGGCTTCAGTGGAGTCCCAGCAGAGATGAATTTGGCCCATTATCTTTAAAGGAGTCTTGAGTGGTGGTGGGAGGGGAGATGGGTGGGAGAATATTGCTGGGTCGTCATTTACATAAGCAGTTATTCTCCCGTGAATCCAGGCAAAGCCCACAGTGTTACGAAGAAAGAGGGCAGCGCTAACTGGCGGAGGGGGCCTCTGAAGTTACAGATCTCTCCCCTTCCCCCTCCTCCCAAAATCTACTCTGTCTTGCTTCACCATTCAGCAGCGTGTGTGTGTCTGTCCGTGGTGACACAAGAAGTCAGTCAGTAGTACGCTCTGTCTCATGTTCCCACAGACCAGCTTGTGTGGCGAGCTGCCCGCTGTAGTGGTGCGGCCCCAACGTACTTCCGACCAATCGGGCGTTTTTTGGATGGTGGGCTGCTGGCCAATAACCCCACCCTGGATGCCATGACGGAGATCCATGAGTACAACAAGTCCCTAAGCCAGAAGGTGAGGATAAATCCTAGGGCTTTAATCGCTACCTGGGGGATTTCTCCAGCATGACTTTACAAGGGGGTTTGGTTTGTAAATGACTCCTCCCTGGGAAGGGGGCTGTAGCTGGCGGCTCTCTGAGACCAGGGTCCTGTGTTTGGCCACCGAGCAGGTAGTGCGTCCTAGGCAACGGCGCTGCAAGCTCCCCAGATCTCCCCAGCACAGTGCTCCAACCTGGCTGTTGTAGGAGGATCGGCTCATTCTCTGTCCCTGGCTTTTTCAGCTCTTAGCCTCTCTGAGGAGGCAACAGACGGGGCCAGTTAGTGCTAATGTGGTGATGGCTTTTTGCGTGATGCTGGTGGCTGTGCTCTAGGCAAAAGGCTGGGATTCCCCCCCCGTTATTTCCGCGTGGGATGTTTAACAGAGGTTAATGACTGTCCATCACTTCTGACATGGGGTTGGATTGGCAGTGAAGACTTGGAGAGGGTTCTGGTTCAGGGTGGGAGAGGCGTGTGTCTGAGTTATTGTGCAGGAGGTGTGGGGGCTGTGGGGAAATCTTATGTAATCCTCAATCTCTTGAGCCATACAGGTCCCCAGTATTATCAGCTCAAAGATCTGGGCAATGAAATGGGGACAGCAATTTATGAATTCCCCCCCCCCATCCTGTTTGTGTATTTTTTGGGGGGGTAATACTGTGGATTCACGCCAACAAAAATTTGTTTCTCCATCCTTCAAAGGGGCAGAGCCAGAAGGTGCGGAAATTGGGAGTGGTGGTCTCCCTTGGGACGGGGAGGCCTCCACAGGTCCCCGTGAGCTCCGTGGATGTCTTCCGCCCCTCCAACCCCTGGGAGCTGGCCAAGACTGTCTTTGGGGCCAAAGAGCTGGGCAAGATGGTGGTGGATTGTGTGAGTAATGGGGAGTGGGGTGGATGGGATGAAGCTGTGGAGTGGCGCGGGGGGGGGACACCTGAGGTGGTTTCTGATGCTAAATCGTACTATTTTTAAAAAGAAAAGATGCTCAGTTGGGACTTACCAGGCTGTTACCCTTTAAATTCCAGCGAGGATGTGGGGATCACCTGTGACATCTATTCAGAGAGCTCCATGGACCACTCCCCATCATACAGCACTCAATAACAAGGGTCTTACTCCCTAGCAAGGTGTCTACAATCACTTTCCATCCCAGCTGCCATCATTCTCCCTCTTGGAACCTCCTTAAATCCCTTGTTCTCTAAACTTTGGTGAGTCCAAATTACTGCAGCAAAAACCTCTCCCACACTTTAGAAAGCGGGTTGAGTAGTGACATGGGAATTGTTACGCCGTGCTTGTGACACCTAGAACTGTGAGCCACCGTGTTACCCCTCTGCCTTATCAAGGGCGAGAGCTTTGGTGCTGCTAAGCTCTATGTGTGTCAGCTCCCTGACACACCAGCCTGACTGCCTGGCCAGCAAACTCTTCTAAACTCTACTAGTCAAAACCTTTCCTTGCAGGTAACAGTCAGTGAACCCGAGTTCCCCAGAGCCGTCTCCCTGCAGTGTCCGCCCCTCTCACTGGACACTCACAGAAGTTACTAAATTCACTCCTTCCATGGGCACAGAGCACACATCAGCCTGTTAGATTAGCTGTAGACTCACATTTCTCTTTAATCCACACAGGACTGAGATGACTTCTTAATAAAACAAGAAGAAATTTATTAACCAAGAAGAGATTTAAATAATACAAAGCACAAGAAAGAGAGATGGGTGGTTCCAAACAAAAAAAAGAAAACCCACACAAGCTGCAGTCTTTGCCTATGCCATTTTCTTTCTTATGTCAAGTTACCAGGAATTACACGTTACTTACATCAAGTTATCAAGTATTGGCCCTCCAACTTTTACAGCCTTGAAGGGTGCTGTAACGTAGGTCCCCATACTGATTGATCACTAAAAAGGTCTCTCTGCTCCCCTTATATTACCCAAAGTCCATTGTCTTTGTCTTGAGAACCAGGAAGGCTTCCTGGGGTTTCTGTCCCCCGGCGTGATTGTTAAATGATCTTCTCCTTACTTGTTTAGCTTGATGGCTTTGTTTACCTTATATATAAACATACTTGCATTGTCCTTTGCCTCTAACCATGCTTGTCATGTGGGTAAATGCATATTCCTTTGTCTAAGGCAGGCTGAGTTTATACACTGCCCCCCAAACACATTTCAAGACCGTATTTCCAGCACACATCTGTAACAACATGATGTATGTACATCCTGTACATACATCATGTGGTGACTATCGGGACCTGTTTGTCACCAGTTTACATAACCTTCCATGACACCTTTTACATACATATTATGACAGTGTACTGGGGCAACGAGTAATGTCAGGCCTGATGAGAGTTACAGTATGGGTGGTCCTCTGCCAGCTGTTATTGAGGGGGTCCCAGAAAAGCTGGAATGTTAGGGGGTGAGATCGTCTGAAGTGGCCCAGCTGAAAGAATTCTTCCGATTTGGCACTTGTATCCTTCAAATACATGTAGATTTGCAAAGGGGTTAGGTGGATTACCTCTGGGAGCAAATGAGAGGGTAGGATAACCAGCAGGGGGCAGAGTGGTGTAAGTATCAAACACAGTCTGTCAGTTAATCCTGCAGAGCGTTTGTGTGACAGGTGTGGAGCTGGGTTAATGACACCATAGCTGAGAGTATAAAACCCTTCTTTGTAAACCTGATTTTTTGACACCAGCCACCATAATCTTGTCAAACAAGCTGCTTTCTGCCTGAAATTTTATATGGACGGTCTATTGGCAGAGGTGATCTTGTGTGTAGAAAGTTTGTGGTTGACCAGGTGAGCCTCTCCAAGTGATCGGACACAGAGGACCTAATTTTCAAAGTGGGGCTCCACAATTTTTTGCATGCAAAAATGGGTACCATTTACTTATGGGTGCAAAATTCCAGTTGCAGAATTGGAGGCCTGGTTTAAAAACTAAGCCCTGAAAAGCGGGGTATTTTGCTTTTAGAAAAACCTTCTGTATTGCCCTCATGATCATTCGTAAACATTAAACAAATTGAGGAAATTCCTAAATAAAAACCATTGTAGTAGAGAGAAGATTGGATATGTCTCTCACACAAACAAGCACCCCTTAAACAACAACAAAGCGTGGAATATTTTTGTTCACAAAAGCTGAATGCTTGAAAGGAAAATTTGGAGTTAAGGTTCCCCAAATAACCTTAACTTTGACCCCTTCTCAGTCTTATACCTACAGACCAGAAAACCTCTGTGGAGTTTGTATTTGCCATGAGCTCTGCATTTCAGGTCTCATCTGAAAGGTGCCCCAGTATAACTCATAGGGCTCGTAGTGAATGCAACCCCTGCTGGCATCCTGCTCCTGGAGCAGAAGCCAGGGTACAAACAGAATCCGAGAGATTTCGCTGCTCAGAACCCAGAGCCTCCAACTAGAATCACCACCAAGGCCCGTTTTTGCACTTTTGTCTGCACACAAAACTGTGGAGGCCTGGGACACCAAAAGGATTAGAAGAGTGTGCTCAGCCCCATGGGGAGCTGCGGCAGGGCCTGTAGAAAGGCTCCCCTACATCATTTGGTGGGTAAGTTTCCAAAATGTAGTTTTCTCTCCCTCGGAGGCCTGTACACTGGGACTCAGTGCCAAGGGAGCCTGACTTTACAAGCAGAGGGATACAAGCATTTAGGTTGGTTTCAGTGACCTAAGAGTTGGCATGTTTCCCCCTGCAGTGCACTGACGCGGATGGCCCAGCCGTGGACCGTGCCAGGGCTTGGTGTGAGATGACAGACACCCTCTATTTCCGGTATGAGCTTTTCTTGGCTGGTGCCCTTCCACTCTTTCTGTGCTGGGCTATCTGTATGGTTGTCTCTCTTCCCATTGTTCTCCCCCTCTCTCAGAACCTGAGTGTGGCATGTGTCCCCCTCCCCAGGCATCATGTGGTGCTGCATTTGATGCTTGTGTCCCCATCCCTGCCTGTCCCTTCTTGTGTTGCTGCCCCCCTGTCTTCCCCAGTCCCACCTGGTGACATCTCGATATCCACAGGTTCAGCCCACTGCTGCACTCGGACGTGATGCTGGATGAGGTGAATGACGCGATCCTAGTGAACGCACTCTGGGATACTCAGCTCTACATCTGCCAACAGCAGGAGCAGTTCAAGCAGCTGGTGCAGGAGCTCCTCACCCGATGACTTTCTGGAAGACTTGAAGGCACCAGTGCCCAATCCTGACAGTAGTGACTTAGGAAGCGGGCAAGGAGTAACAGCCTTTGTAGAAGAGCCAGACTAGGGGTTGTCCTCGCCGTCAGACCAAGACATTGGTGGGAAGAATTCAGGGATCAGCGATATTAAATATGAAGCAGTACCCCGGCCCCATGCACACATGCGGTGGCAGCTGGGAATTTACAACTGGTATGGAGGCCTGAGTCCCCTGTCCTCAGAGTGCAGTCTCTGGTACCCCCCAGGTATGGGCATATTCCCTAAATCACCCTGCCCTGAATCTATCTGACAGAGCAAGGGCAGACCTCACACTGCTTCCTACCTCCTGAGCAGACCTTCTGGAAGGTAACCCTGAGAACAGATCTCCCTTCCCCTAGAATATCTCTAGTGCTGGCCCTTCCCACCCTGGATAGCACAATGAAAGTGAGGCAAAGACAAACTTTTGAGGGTTACTTTATCCACTCTTGCAAATGTATGTGTGTTGTGGAGGGAACTGGAGTCGCTACCCCATGTGGTCTGGATGGAGAAGGGGCTAGGAATAGGGTAGTCTCTGCAGTAGTTTTGGACCCAAAGTATTGTGATTGTTCTTTTGTGATCCGTTATCAGTCTTGGGGTGAGGGATGGGGGAAGATCTTCCCTTGATCTGTTATAGCCTGTGACTGCTGCCCTTTCCCTTTCTATTGCTTTAGTGCTCTTTCCACCCCCTCCCATCTCTCCTTCCAGTGTCCCTCCCAGTTCCCAACAGCTTCTGGCCACTAGGGTGGTATGAGCAGAGCTGGGGGGAAGGGGATGAGGCTTCCGGGTTTTCAATAAATGTTTCCTGCTGCCTGGCCTGTGCTGATAGTCCTCACGCATGGGCTGAGATGTGGAAACTCCTCCCCCTGCCTTCCCTTCCAGGGGTCACATGATGAGGAGCAAAATTCTTGCTTCAGCCATGGAACAAAGATTAAACCAAATTTATTGGGGGCCATTTATTGGCTGATAACACTGAATAAAAAGATAACGATGATTTAAATACTGTATTCTCTGTGATCATTTCCCGCTGAGGAATCTGACCCCTGGGACTAGATGGATTTCTGCTATTTCATTCTCCCCCTCCCCAGCTTTTCCTCCTGTGTTGGGAATTCCAGTGCGCTCTTAAAAGGCACTCATTGTTTCTGCGTTTTGTTTAGTTTTTGATAGAAGTGAATTTATTTGCCTGTAGGAACCAGTTTGGAGTTCATCGGGTCATCTCCCACGTTCTTTCTCTCTCTCTCTCTCTCTCTCTTTTAAATCTCACATTGTTTTTGCCTTGCAAAACAAACTAACCAGTTGTGGTGGTGTTGCAAAGAGAGGGTTCAGTGTGAAACTTACAAGGTGTGAAATAAAGGGAGGTTTGAAGTCCATTTTATCATCATAAGCTTTGTATTTCTGTAATGTCTTCTGTCCTGCAAGATCCCAAAGGGCTTTGGGTCTGATTCTAATCCTATTTACACCAGTGCAGCCGATGAAGTGAGCTGTAGCTCATGAAAGCTTATGCTCAAATAAATGTGTTAGTCTCTAAGGTGCCACAAGTCCTCCTTTTCTGTTTGCAAATACAGACTAACCCGGCTGCTACTCTGAAACCTGTCATTTTACACCAGTGTAATTCCACTGATTGCAGCAAAATCACTCTTGATTTACACCAATGTGTATATGAGCAGAATCCTGCCCTCTATCTGTATGAAGGGATCAATCACCAGTGAAGTGCAGCCTCTTCTTGGGTGGAATGTAATGGCTGTTTAAGAATGCACAGCAACATCCCACAGCTGTCCAGGTGTTTCGGGCAAGCAGTCTGTAATGACCCAGTTGGATCTGGGTCAGGAGAATAGAGGATACACCAAAGTGCATTGGAATCTAATGATCTTGAGGCATTAGGGTGTTAATTCTCCTGCATTTCATCCAAAAGATGATGGTTGGCACCTGTAAAGAGAGGTGCTTCCCCCACCTCAGAGAGCTGTGCTGGGCCTGGGGTCTGTTTGATATGTTGTGGGCAGAGGTATGGTGTCTTGGAGTAGGGATGCCAGTCAGACCAGGTTGCAAGCATGAGGGAGTTAAACGAAGGCCACTAGTCAGGCTTGGTGGTGCAGGTTGAGCAAATTTTGTTTCTCTAAGAGTTGGGAAGGGGTGTGGTTATGACTCTTCTTGGAGCACACAGGGCTGTTGCCAGCAGTCTCCAGCTCGAGCGCGTCTTGCCTGTGCCAGCTGGGTATTAGCTTCTAACACAATCAGCCTGTCAGCCACTCAGGCGCTCTCCCCTGGGCTGCACGGGCCCTGCCTTTGCCCTGCAGGTTGACTATGAAGGCTCCCCAGCCTCTGAGCCTTCAAAGTGTCCTCCTGTGGTGTCCAGTCCCTTATCACTGGATACCCCCAGAAATCTCCATTCCCAAGGGAGGAATTATAGTAAAACAAGAGGACAATTTATTTAAGAACAAATAGAGATTCAACAGAAACAAGTTTGTGATGGAAACAAATGGCACCATACAAAACAAAATCATGAAATGTGAAGTAGGGCCTACACTTATTCACAGTTACCTTCCCCATCTAGTCAAATAGATGCTCAGCCCAAAGTTCAGGCATTTGCTGCCCCCAAGGAGCTAAGATCCAGTCTTCCATAAAGCACCCCCACTCATCGAGTTACCTCCTCAGTGAATGGGTGCAGAGTGTTTCTCCACCCTGTGATCTCCTGAATAAGTCTCTTATCTTTATTCACAGACAGGACGATCCCCTTGCCGTCCTGCCATCCTTTCCACTGCCAGTGCCAAGTTTTTTCCAATGTTTATACTTCGCTGGTTTTCCATTGACTTTTCTGGGTTGGTGCAAAGGTGGACAACTGAGCAATACAGGGTGACAACTTCCTCCCACTTGAATGGGCCATCACTGAGACACATTATTTCCTGGTGATTCACTTTCAATCCAAGGCCATAAGGGTGTGTTTTTCTATATAACTACATTATTCCTTAAACATCACTCATACACACATCTCACAATGATTATGAGTATTGATAAGTTACAAACATTCAGTAGAGATCTCACATTCTACCCTTTATGGATAAAGACCATGAAAGCGGTGTATTAGGTGTAGTGAGTTTGTGAGGTCTGAGACAGGAGGTGCTCGTAAAGAATAGGGAACCCTTTCCCCATTGGCACCAATTGGCATCTGTGTCACAGTGGTGAGGCATAGTGAAGACGGCTGGACCAGTATGTGATGGTATGGGGGGCAAGCTGTATATTGAAACCTGCAATAAATAATTAAAGGAGAAGGTCACATGACCCTCATGGCTGTCACAGGGTTCCTCTCTCCTCGGTGTCTGGTTACATTCAAGGATCAAGTTCTAACATCCTGACTGGTGAATTATTAAACGTCCTTGTGGCATTCTCATCCCTTCACATTGGACATGTTTCTTCCTGGTGTCCTGCTGTGCCAGGCAGAGACAGTCTCAACCCATCTAGGTCCTTGCAATTGGATTCTCAGGAGAGTTTTGAGGACAACACGTCCTCTGCCCACCAACTTCTCGATCTCTGGGAGCCCCTCGCCTCCCTGCAAAAGGCTGGTGAGATGGAGCAGTCCTACAGATCCACAATCTCCATCTATAAGGTGAGCTGTTACCTCCCTGCAGGCTGTGGAGTGAAAGGGCTGTTCCCAATTGGCGAGAGATGCATGGGGGTTCGGGGATCCTTCATAAAGGATTTAAAAGCACAAGAGAAACACAATGTTCTATGGAGAAGATTAAATTAAGATTAATTGATTTAATTTGCTTTGAAAATCTGTGGGCCAGATCCTCAGCTGGTGTAAACTGGTGTAGTTCCAAGGCTCTATGAATCCTGGTCTGGTGTGAGAACAGACTAATGGCCGACAGGGTGTGTGGTGTAATTCAGCGCGGAACCCAGCGGTGCTGGGGCTAACCTCTGGGCATTCTGGTGTATTAAGGCAGAGCACCTTTCCCAGTGAATCCCTGCTATGGGAGAGCTAGAGCGGTTCAGCTGGGGGGCTGTCCCAGAAGGGAGGGAGGGAGATTGTTTGAAGTGAGCCAAGAGGGTAGAGCAGGAAAGAAACAGGTTGAAACTGAGAAACATTTTGGCTTATCTTAGGAATCCTTTCTAGACAGTGAGGATCTACTGGACTGTGGAATATTCTCCCAGGGAAATGGTGGAAGCCCCATTGCTTGGGACCTATAAAACTAGACTGATCAAAGCCCTGGAGAATACACAGTGGGGAGTAATTCTGCCTTGCCAATGGAGGGGTAAATTATGTGTTACTTAATAGGAAAGACCTATCTCTAACACCTGTGTTCTGTGTGTGTGTGGGGGCTGTATTGAAGGTGTCCAGGGGCGGCATGTGATAGAAAGGTTTCAGAGTAACAGCCGTGTTAATCTGTATTCGCAAAAACAAAGGAGTACTTGTGGCACCTTAGAGACTAGTCTCTAAGGTGCCACAAGTACTCCTTTTCTTTATGTGATAGAAATTGGCCAGAGAGCTCCCCTGTGTGTGCTTTGCATGACTGGTGTGAAAATCTGTGTGTGTCTGAAGAGACACCAAGGATTAGTGAGTACTGATATATGTCCAGGCCAATTACTGTGTCCCTCCGTGAATGCATGTTGTTACAGGTGTTTTTCTAGTTACAGGTGTACATCCACCTGTGCGCACACAGCATGGGCCCTGCTTATAATTGGCATCTTACAGTGAATTTTGAGGGAAGAGAAAAAAAATCCTTTCAACAGTAGAGAGTGCCAGTGAACGTAGACAAGTGTTAAAACTCTCTGGAGAATCAAACATGCCCAGACACTAGTTTCTCTGACCTCAGGTTGAGGGTAGATTAGTGGCTGTGCAGCTCCTTGCCCTAGTGACCAGACTGATCTCACTGGTCTCCGATGTACAGATCAAATTATACAATGCACCTTTTTGGTAAAGATGCTGCCAGGATTGGAGCTCTTTCTAAAAGAACCCTACACACAACCATGCCCAGCTGGGTTAGAATGTACAAGTGAGGGTGCTTCCTTTCTGTGCTGGGCTCGTCTCCTCAATTTTGTGCAGTGCTTAAATCCCACATCTGAATTTCCAGACTTCTGCCCCTGCGTGGCATGCAATAAGGGGTGCTGTGCACACTGCCCACCTTATTAATACAGTAAATGGACCTATGAGGCTGGGTTAGGACTGCCCCATTATTTGACTCTTATCAACCTATGGGGCCCTGATGCTCATGACATGGTTGCCAGGAAGTGATGCCCATCCCTGAGGTAGGAAAGAAACCCACTAGATTCTGGGTGACGGTAGTAGCATTTGGGAAAGTTCAGAGGGAAGGGTGAGCTCCTGATCACTCCACCCCGATGTTTGCTCTCAGCTAGAAGAGAAGATGCAAGCACTGGACCTCCCCAATGAGGAGGGTGCCTGAGCCTGAAACCAGAGATTGGTGGGAGGGGTAGGCCGCAGCTCTGTGGGATGAATCACATAAGGAGGGCACAGGCCTCTTTCATCCCATGGGCATGCAGGAGGATCGCATTAACCTGTTGTGTTCTTTCACCCCTCTCCCTAACTCGGATGGATGACAGAACATCTTGGAGCAGTTTAACCCTGCCCTGGAGAACCTGGTCTACCTGGGCAACAACTACTTACGCACTTTCCACGGTGAGTGCTGTCTCGTCTCCCACCTGTGCCTAGTGGGGGGACAGCTGGGATTGTGTCCATGGGCATCGCCCTCAGTTGGCAGGTGGGGGGCGTCAGTCTGTGCTCCTGGGGCTGTTCTGATCTTGTGGGTAGGCAGGAGAATAGGTGATGAGGAAGGGAGGTGGCAAAGAAGGGAAGAGTTGAGGAAAAAGGGGGCAGAGGACAAGGATGGAGCAGGGTCATTTAGGGAAGCTTTAATCCAGCTGCCCTCTCTCCTTGTATTTCTGCAGCACTCTCTAAGGCGGCTGAAGTCTATTTTAAGGCAATACAGAAGATTGGGGAGCAAGCCCTGCAGAGCTCCACCTCGCAAATGCTGGGTAAGTTTCTCCAATGACCATCTCTGGGAGATAGGTCAATTTGAAATGTTGCCCTCCTCTCCAGCCCATCCCATCCCCGCCCCAGTGCTCCCATTGCACCGAGCGGCATGAGGAACGAAGGACCGCACTGGGAAAGGAGCCTGAGTCTCCTGCATGACAACCCCCGATGCGCTAGGCCCGGTGCGTGCAGCACTCCCAGCCCCCACTGATCCCGAGGCCTGAAAGCCGGGCTTTGTGCGTGGCCTTGCAGAGCACTAACCCCCGCAGAGCACTAGGCCCAGCCTCCCCATGTCCCACCCGCTTCAGAGACGGAAGCCCAGGCCTCCTGCTCTCCATGGTAGAGCAGCGCACGGAGCCCTGGGGATCGCACAGCCCTGGCTGCAGCATTCTGATCCAAGCGTCCCAGCTGTCATGTCACACAAACCATGTTCCGCATCCTCCCGGCGCTGAGGGAAACTCTGAATACATGAACCAACCGTAACGACGCTGTGCTGCCTTCGTGAGTCTGCAGCCAGCCTGAATCGAGAACTCGGCGAGACGGGAGGCAGCCCCCGTTCACCTGTGTAGGTTAGCTCTGAAACCTAAAGATGGCAATTTAACTATTTCACTGCTGATCACGTTAGCAAAAAGATCCAGCTAAACGTGGTTATCTCCCAGTCCCCAACTGCCTCCTATGCCTTCCTCAGATCCCCAGTTGCTTCCTACTCAGCAACCCGTCACTCTAACTACCCCCATCCGTCGCAACTTATTCATACAAAAATTTGTGGCACATCTCAAACGGAAAACATAGGGACAGTGTAAACTAAATGGACTGTACTATCAAAATAAGCCACGTAGGGCAGGCACCACTAAGTGTGCTAGCATATTTAATTCTGCATTCTTTACAAACAGGATATTTAATGCAGATGAAGCTGTCACCAAATTTTCAGCCTGCTGCCGCAGTCTGCCGCAGTGTCATGCAGAAACCAGGGTCCTTGGGGCAGACTGTCGATGTGGCTTGCTGTGAAGTACACAATGGCTTGCCCTGGGGCACAGATCCCAGCCTTCCAACCCCTTGCTAACTCCACTATGCAAAAGACTGGGAGACCGGGAGCTGGTACCACGGTTTCCCATGGCACACTAAGCTACTAGCCCTCGGGTGTGGTTTATAACATGCAGATTCTGAGGGTAATCAGTGAAATCATAGAAAGGGATTGAGCAGCTGTTATAGAATGAAGCGAATTGGCTGAAACCCTCTCCTCACACCTTGGACCCAGCCCCAGCAGACAGCTTATGCATAGCAATAGTAGTTGGACTTTTGCACCAAGATAACGCTGCGCCCAGTCATCTAACAGTGGCGATTAGTGCTAATGGCCCCTTTGTTCTAACTCTGGGGGAGAATGATGCACACAAGGAGGAAGGTCTGATTATGATACTTTGATCTCTTTTCTTGAAGGCCAAATTTTGATACAGATGTCTGACACCCACAGGCATATGAACTCTGACCTGGAAGTAGTGGTGAGTATCTTGACATGGCCCATCTCTACTGGGAGCAGCCGGTAGCCGTATGCTGGGCCTAATGGAGCTGTGTTTTATGGAGCTGCGGTGGCCAGATGCCACCTGTTGTTTCCATACCGAGTTTCGGGTGGGTTGCTCCCAGTTTGTGGTGAACAGAACTGGGGGAGGGGGTAGGGTTGCCAACTTTCTACTCGCACAAAACCGAACACTCTTTCCCCGCCCCTCCTTTGAGGCCCTGCCCCTTTTCACTCCATCCCCCCCTCCCTCTGTCGCTCAGTCTTCCCACCCTCACTCATTCACTCATTTTCACCAGGCTGGGGCAGGGGGTTGGGTGCTGGGGGTGGAGTGTGAGGGTTCCGGCTGAGGGTGCGAGCTCTGGTATGGGCCTGGGGATGCGGGATTTGGGGTGTAGGAGGGGGCTCCAGACTGGGACTGAGGTGTTTGAAGGGTGACAGGGGGATCAGGGCTGGGGCAGGGGGTTGGGGCATGAGGATGGGTGAGGATTCTGGCTGAGGTTGAAGACTCTGAGGTGGGGCTGGGTATGAGGGGTTTGGGGTGCAGGAGGGTGCTCTGGGCTGGGATTGAGGGGTTCAGAAGGTGGGAGTGGGATCCGGGCTGGGGCAGGGGTTGCAATGTGGGAGGAGGTGCAGGCTGTGGCTGGGGGTGTGGGCTCTGGGGTGGGGTTGTGGATGAGGGGTTTGGAGTGCAGGAGGGTGCTCCGGGATGGGACTGAGGGCAGAAGGAGGATCAGGGCTGGGATAGGGGGTTGAGGCGTGGGAGGGGATCAGGGGTGCAGGCTCCAGGTGGCGCTTACCTCAAGCAGCTCCCAGAAGCAGCGGCATGTCCCCCCTCCGGCTCCTACATAGAGGCGCAGCCAGGCAGCTCTGCGTGCTGCCCCGTCCGCAGGTGCTGCCCCCACAGCTGCAGTTCCCGGCCAATGGGAGCTGCAGAGCCGGTGCACAGGAGCCGGAGGTGGGTCATGCTGCTGCTTCTGGGAGCTGTGTGGAGCCACAGCAGGTAGGGAGCCTGCCTTAGCCCCCCTGTGCTGCTGACTGGACTTTTAACAGTCCGGTCAGCAGTGCTGACCAGAGTCGCCAGGGTCCCTTTTCGACCAGGTGTTCTAGTCAAAAACCGGACACCTGTCAACCCTAGGAGGGGGATGTAATCTAAGCAGCATCCAGTTCTGATGTGCCAATATTTCCATCTCCCTCCCTGGTAGTGCTGTTGGGGGTGGGGGTAGAAAGGGGAGGACTTGTGTAAAACAAGGATGTTAACCCTTTCCCAGCTGTGTGGTTGTTATTGGTATGACAGCAGTGTCTAGAGGTCCCAACCTACATGGAGAGACAGCCTTCGCCCTTGAGAGCTTTCCGTCTGGATAGACAAGACAAAACGTGGGAGGAAAAGTGGTATCGACTCTCTGTCTGCAGATGCCTGGCTAAGCATGTCCATCAGGAGGCAGAGGAGTGGGGTTTCTCCTGGGCACTCCCTAACTCTCCCGTTTCGGGTCCTCCCACCCCCCAGCTGTCAGCAGTGCCCAGTAACACCAGTTGCTAGGGGCAGTTTGTAACAACTTCTCTGTCACGTCTAGGCTCAGACGTTCCACAAAGACCTGCTGCAGCATATAGAGAAAAACACCAAGCTGGACATGCAGTTTATCAAGGTGAGCCGCAGTCCTTCCCTGTCCCTTCTGAGCTGTTTGCAGGCTTCCCCCTCCCTCACCCCTAAGCAGGGTGCTGGAGCTCTCTCCCCACACCCTCACTGTGCCCCTCCCTCCTTTGAGTCCCTTAGCGCAGCTCAGGCTTTCACCCTCTCGCTGGTTTAGATCATTGTTTCATCCCTGAGGCGTTTTCAAGGATATTCCAGGCTTTCCCTGGGGCAGAGGTTGGGGAGTGTCTCGTGCCAACTGGAGAAAGAGAGACTTTCCTTTTGCCTAGCTGCCATGTCCTCATGGCCTGACTTGGCCAGCTCTCCTTTGGAGTTGCTAGGATTCACTGGGCTCCTAAGTCCCATTTTCAAAAGGAATTTACACCCATTGACTTTCAATGAGATTTAGACTCCTAAGTCCCCTCCCCGCTTTAGAAAATGTTCCTCATAGTTTCTGGTCTCCTTCTGTGCTCTCGGCAGGACAGCCATCAGCAGTACGAACTGGAGTATCAGCACAGGGCTGCCAACCTGGAGAAGTGCATGTCGGAGCTGTGGAGGATGGAGAGGACTCGAGACAAAAACACCTGGGAAATGAAGGTGGGAAATGAAGGGGAGGTAAGGATGGCCCTGAGACTCAGGCGAGTCTGGAATGAGGAGAGTGGTCATCACAAGCAGATGCTGATGATGCCTCCAGAGTCCTAGATAGCTTCTAGCTTGTCTCTCCCTTCCTTAGAATGGAAGGGGGTGCTCCCTTAGATGCAAAAGGCAGCAAGCTGACACACAGATAGGAGACATACTTTTTCACACAGGGTACCGTTAATCTGTGGAACTCCCTCCTGCAGAATGTTTCTGAGGCAAACTGCGTGGAAAGACTAAAATAAGATTAGGGGCCAGATCCCTATAAATGTTGTATGCTGCTTCAGCATAACAAAGGGGTTGTAAAGGCTGATGACCCAGTCATGTGAGGGGAACCCCGGGTGTATGCCCCCAAATACTGCTCTGTGCAGACTCAGGGTGCTGCACTGACATCAATCCCTCCTCCGCTTGTCCACCCAGGAGAATGTGAGGCGCTTGCAGTCAGAGATGCAGGCATTTGTCTCTGAGAGCCAGCGGGCTGCCGCGCTGGAGGAGAAGCGCCGCTACCGCTTCCTGGCTGAAAAGCACCAGCTGCTCTCCAGCACCTTCCTCCAGGTGTACAGCAGGGTAAGGAGGGGGCTTGACCTGAGGTTGGGGGGAGGGACATAGCCATAGCCCCTTTGTCCTGCCCTGAGTGTAGGGGACTGGACTAGAAGACCTCTTGAGGTCCCTTCCAGTCCTACATTTCTATGATTCTATGTGGGGATGTGTAGCTTACAATTCTTGTCTAAGAAAAGTTTCTAACCTAAAGCAGCTTTTCTGCATCACCGACCCACATGGTGGGGGATCCACCGTTCGAAGATACAGAGAGAGCTGCCTCTTTGTCCACTAAGTGATGGTTCACAAGGGGCCCTTCTGCTTCTCTTTATACCCCTCAAAGTTCATTGTCTTTTCCTTAAGAGTTAGGATGACCCGCCAGGGTTCAGACTGCGGTATCCTGCAGTGTGCCGATGTCATGCTATTGCCCCATCCTCCTGATAACTGGTGTTTATCTCCGAGGCAAATTGTCTCTGGCATCATCATGCTCAATTGACATCATAGACCGAGGCAAGCAGGCAAATCAACATTCCTTTGTCTAGGACAAACTTGTTCATGAGGTCTGCCCCCAAAGCATAGTGCATTTCTGGCGCATGTACATAGCTCTTTAAGCACCGTCCATCACACGATGATATTGATGACCGGTGTGTCACCAGCTTTGAGCTGATACTTCACGCAACACTTGTCACAGATAAATGCCGTGACAGCAGTGTGTTAGGGGTAGTGAGTATGTCAGGCCTGATGGGAATTACAGAACAGTCGGCCCTCTGCCAATCAGGATTGAGGGGCTCGTAGAGTGGCGAGGGTGTCTCACCTGCCTCAACCTGCTGATGGCAATGCACTTAGGTACAGGTTGTAGCTTGTTTTGGGTCCTCACTCTTTAATTTCCCCTTTCCACCTCACAGCTGATCTGCTCCCATTCTCCCCCTGATCTCTCCTCTCAATCTTTCCCCAGGCCTGGGGCATCATCCAGAGCAAGGTGCCAAAGTGGAAGGAGCAGTTGGAGGCCAGCCGCAATCCAAGCAGCAGACACTCCCCGAGCCTGCTCAGTGCCTCCCATGGCCAGGGGTACACGTCAGGCCGCCTGACTCCCAGCTGCCTCGACATGGTGAGAAAAATGCCATCAAACGATCTGTCCAGTAATGGGGGGGTGCCTGGGATGGCCCCTCCCAGGGCAGAGATCCCAGAACAGAGGGTCAGCCCAGCTTTTTCCCAGGGTCTGTTATTTTTTGAGGGGTGGGAGGCAATCCCCTGTGTCCCCATTAATCTATACCTCCAGGCCTCACCTGATTTTCCTCCCTTGGTAGCATTAGCTATACAAGACGAGGTGTGGGGGGTGGGTGGGGAAAGCTTGTGTGTGTAGGAGTGTTGGGGGTGGGGAAGGATACAATCCTTTAGGGACCAGGCTTCTCTCGAAGAGAGATCTCCTCTATGTGGTGCTCACGCTCACCTTCATTTCCTTCCAACAGCCTCAGAGGCCTCTGGGAGATTTTGGCTCAGCCATGACTGGACGTAGTTCAAGCCCCTTCCCCCAGGAGCCTGCAGAACTTCTTAGACCCTCTCCTCAGCCAGAGCCAACCAGGAGAGGTCTGCAGAAGACTTCATCTGCTGGTAAGACTGGGTAGATGGGGGTAGTGGTGTGAGGCTGGTTGTACCTTATTTGAGCAGGTACAGGCTGGATTTGGGAGGGACAAATCTGTCCATAATGCATTTGTCCCAGGGTGCACTTGGGCACCTGTTCTATGCAAGGACGAGAGGGCAGGGTATATGGAGGGTGGGGGTGAAGGCCACAAGTGAATGAACAGGGAGCCAAACGGGCAGGGGCAGGGCCCCTTTAGGGAAGCTGTGTGAGTGGGATAGGGAAGCCCAGGTCCTAATGGACAATGGAGGTTTCTCACTCCTTCAGTGGTGGGTCCCTCCTAGCCAGGCTGGGGTCTTGCAGGGGGAGTCTGGGGTTGAAAGAAGCCCTTTGAATCCTCTCACGCCTTGGTGGCTCTTGGCAGGCTCACTCTCCGCCAGCCAGCGCTCGCGCTCCAGCTCCTTCGGTGAGCGGGCAGGAGGAGGCAGCAACGTGTTTAGAGTCCAGACAATTGTGCCCCACTCTGCTGGCACCAACCGCACCTTGCTGGGGTTCAACCTCGGGGACATCATCATGGTGCTGATCCCAGAGGCGCAGAACGGCTGGCTGTACGGCAAGCTAGAGGGATCATCCACGTAAGTGCGCTCGGCCTGTCTCCGTGGTGCTGGGCTGGAGGGGGGATCTTGGCGAAGGCAGCAAGCCAGCTGTGAAGAGCTGGGCTCCAAGGGTTAATGCCCTGCCCTCAAGCCTTTCTGCTTAAAAGAGGCAATGCCGGTCGTGGTCTAGCCGAGGGGTTTCTCACTTACGTGGGCAGCAGCTACTGCTCCGGCACAGTGCTTGGCACCACATGGAACAGTTACCGAATGGCACGACAGGTGCCATCCCTGGCCTGGCATCCGATATGGGGCATGGGTTACTGGCAACCTGGGGCAGGGTGGGGGTTGGAATTTGTGGGGCGCCTGCTCGCCATATAGTTCTTACCCAGATGCTGCCTTTCTGTTTGAGGTTCATTAGTCCCAGCTGTGTCTGCCTTTGGAGAAGGGGAGTTTCCAGAAGAGAGTCCCAGGGGAGTCTCCAAAACTGTCCTCACTTTCTGGAGTTGGCCTTGTCTCTGTCCAAAAAAGTGCCCAAAATGAGCCCCCTCCCAACGGTGCAGGGGGAGCTCTTCCAGGAAAACCCAGGTGCTGGTGGCTTAGTAAATGGTGCTCTTTCCTCTAAGTCGTCCCTGAACGAAGGCCTTGACCTGGTGCTAGAGGGGGTCCACGTGCTGCTGGAAGTACTGTTCTTTCAGCTCAGACACAAGGCAAAGGCTCGGTGACTGGTGGCCATTTTAAGATCTCATCATGGCCCTCCATGCAATGGGCATGTTTGCCCCTGTGCCCTGGCCAGACTCCACGACGTAAGGGAAAGGGAATGCTAAGAAACGTGTTGCTGCAAAGGCTCATTGTCCCCTCTGTCTCCGGGGCCTTAGGAGCGGCTGGTTCCCCAAAGCTTTCGTAAAGCCCCTGGAGGGAGTAAGAGACCCGGAGGAACCGCCCAGCAGGTAATGGGAGCTGCTGAAGGGCATGTTTGTACGTCTTTCACGCAAGTGTGTGATGCAATGTCCTGTGTGGTGCTGCCCATCAAGGCTACGGCTCTTGAGCACGCTCAAGAACTTGTCTGAGGGCCACTGGCACTCTTGGACATGGCTTTTCTCGATTAAACTGTGACATGTTGCTCTCATTACGGCTCTCTCAATAAGGGCACAATATTTCCAGAGGCCTTTAAATCTCTAGTTAGGTAAATCCTAGGGGTACATATTCCGTGTGGAAACCGAAATATTCCCTCTGGAGAGATCCTGGGAAGGGGGAGGACCCAGACCACATTTGCTGTATGGAGAGACCCCAGAGCACTCTTCCCCAGAGCTGGATTCTGGCCTTTTCTTCTTCCTTTTCTTCTTGGGATCTCTCCTTTCCGCTCTTGTTCAGGTCCTTCCCGCTGCGGAGCAGTCACAGCATGGATGGCCTGGATTGCCCCAGTGTCCCATCAGCAGGGAATTACCGACACGACGCTGCCCCGCCCCAGTCACCAACCCCTTCTCCAGCCTCACGTGGTGCTGGCAGCCGCCGGAGCAGCTTGGTTAGCACTGCTGCTCCTTCGGATTCCAAGGTGAGTGGGCGCGGCGCTATTCTAACCTGAGCTAAGGCAGTGAGAAGGGATCTGTGGGTTAGGGTGTGTCCCTCAACCAACACTGACCTTCGCTTTCACATCCTTTCTAATTATGAGGATAGTTAACTGGTTACCAAGGGAGGCTGTGGAAACCCCCATCACGGGAGGGTTTTAAGAACAGGGTGGACAAACACCTGTCAAGGATGGTCTAGGTTTAGTCAGTGCCTCAGTGCAAGGAGCTGGACTTGATGACCTCTTGAGGTCCCTTCCAGCCCTACATTTCTGGGATGCCATGATACACACCCGCTCCAACCACGCTTAGCGGGAAGGGAAGGGTCATCCTGACCTCACTGAATCACAGATGTCATCCATCTCTCCCATGCTTCTGGGCCTCTTTAATGCTGCTGCTGGTCATCCATGAATCCACCCTAGCTGATCTCAGCTACTCTGCTGGGCATGGGCTGCTTTGCAGCTACTCCTGTCCATCCCTTTGCACCTCCCTGCAAGATGAAGTCGTCTTCAGCACAGCTCCTGTCCATCCGTCCCTAGCAAACTCTGTGCTCTATCCCGTGGAAGAGCCCTGGCCTCTGGGCTCCTCTCACTTCTTCCCTTTATTACGCAGCAGGGGCCCTTCAGTTCACTCCTCTTCTCCACGACATCCCAGCCTGGTTTCTGGTGGCTCCGGGGTGGCAGCTCTTTCTGCTAAAAGTAGGACCATGAGTGATGGAGCTGGGCTGGAGACCAGCTGACAGAGATGCCGTCCTCCTTGCCCTGATAATGCAATAGCTCTTTTGTGTGCCTCTTCTAAAGGCAGCTGAGGATGGGGAAGGGTGAATAAAAGCCTGGGAGCAGAGGTCCTGCATTTGGGTCTCAGCAAGGTGGGGGATAGAATACAGAGGCTTTCACCCAATTTGGACCCAGAATGGGACAGGAAGGCAGGGTGAAGGGCAGAAGTGTGTTTGGATGGCACAGGGGATTGGGGGATGGGATTTGGAGCCTGTCCTCTCTAGGTGATTGGTTCCAATCCCAGGCTGGAGGGACCTGGATGGTTCAAGGGATTGAGAAATGGAATATGTAGCTTTTCACCTCTGGGTCTGTGGTTCTGGTGAAGCCCCAGTCTGCCCAGCTTGCGGGATTGGGATGCAGACATGTAACGTACCCCCTAAAAGTCACTGGTTCCAATCCAGACCCAGGCTGGGAAACTGGACAGCTCAGGTGATCGAGGAGTGGGAGCTTTTCTCCTCTGGCTCTGAGCCAGCCGCAGGTCAGCAGTCAATGAAAGTCAATCCCAGCTGATGACTGTGGAGCAAGCTGTGTGAAATGAGTTGGGGTCTTAATCCAGCGCCTAGTGGGGCAGATATTTGCATCACAAGTCCCACTATCGCCAGTTGTTATCACTCCCTTCGGGGGCTCGGCAGGTACCGGGATGAAATGGGCTGTGGCAACTGAACTCTCCTCTCCGGGTTGGTCCCTCCAGGGCAGCCCAGAGGCCGTTTAGGGCTGTGAATGTTGGGATCTTGCTGTATCTGTATATTCTATGAGTAGGGCCCTACCAAATTCATGGCCCATTTTGGTCAATTTCACAGTCACAGGGTTTAAAAATAGCAAATGTCATGAGTTCAGCTATTTAAATCTGAAATTTCAGGGTGTTATAATTGCAAGGGTCCTGATCCAAAGAGGCATTGTGGGGGGGTCGCAAGGTCATTGTAGGGGGGGTTGCAATGCTGCTACTCTTACTTCTGTGCTGCTGCTGGCGGCGGCGCTGCCTTCAGAGCCCGGCAGCTGGAGAGCGGCGGCTGCCGGCCGGGAGCCCAGCTCTGAAGGCAGCGCCGCCGCCAGCAGCAGGGCAGAAGGAAGGGTGTCAATACCATACCTTGCCATCCTTCCTTCTGCCCTGCTGGTGGTGGAGGGTGACATGCTATGGCATTGCCACCCTTACTTCTGTGCTGCTGTTGGCAGGGTGCTGCCTTCAGAGCTGGGTGCCTGGCCAACAGCCACTGCTTTCTGGCTGACCATAAGGGTGGCAATATCATGAACCCCTGCAACTCCCTTTTGGGTCAGGACCCCCAGTTTGAGATACGCTGGTCTCCCCTGTGAAATCTGTATACTATTGGGTAAAAGCACATAAAAGACCAGATTTCACAGGTGGGGAGACCAGATTTCACAGTCTGTGACCTGTTTTTCATGGCCGTGAATTTGGTAGGGCCCTATATATGAGGCTGTAGGAAGCATGCAGGGGGCAGGAGATGGTATCCCAGGCCCTCCTGTGATCAGAGGGGGCATCTCTGGCCATGCTGGCCTGTGAATTCTAGTGCCAGTTTCATTTGTTTGCTCTTTGCTGTGCTCTGCGGATCCTGAACTCCCATGATCAGAAATGCACCCTCCTCCCTGAGAAAGAGAGGGGGGGCTGGGAGCCTGTGTGTGGAGGGACAAAATCCCCTCTTCCCCCTGCACAGAAAGGGGGATATTTGTTCTCTGCAATTCTGCTTTAGTGGGATTTTTCAAAAGCACCTAAGCTATTTAGGAGCCCAAGTCCAATAAATGGGAATTGGAGACTGGGATATGGAGTCTATCATCCCGTTAGCGGGACTTGGGCTTTTTAATTGTTTAGGTGCTTTTGAAAATCCCACTGTGTGTTTGTGTGTGTGTGTCTTTCCCTCCTCCACCCTTTGTGCCTCTCTCTAACCTGCACAATGTGCTTGCTCTCAGATTTTGACCCTTTATCTCGTTTTGTTGCAGAAGTCAGCTATGCAGGAGCAGCCCCCAGAGCTCTTCCCCCGGTAAGTGAAGTCTGGGATCCCTGGTGGTTTTATCTTATTGTTTGGAAAGTCCTGGAGAACTGGGGAGGTGCCTGGGGAAAAGGAAGTGTGGTACCAGTCTTCCAAAAAAGGAAGGAAGGATGATCATGACAATTACTGCCCTGTTGACTAACTCCTATTGCTGTTAAAATCATAGAACAATGAATGAGAGGAAGGAAAAAACACTCAGGCTCTAGAAAGGCCCCCCAGGCTCCTCTCTGTCCTCTCCTGGAGGAACTGGAATAAGAGCTCTCAGGTTGAGGAGATGATGAATTGGGTCCCTCAGAACTGCCCATTTGGAAGGGTCCAAAGGGAGGGAGTAACTAAGAGCAAATTAGGACAGGAAAGTCAGGCCAGTGAAAGCTGCTGGATCATCACTTAGTCTCCCAAGGGAAGTGGTATGGAAGCCCCATCATGAGGGACACTAAAACTATTCTGGACGGGCACTAACAAATGTACCATAGTGAGCAAGCTGCACCAGCCCCAGGGAGATGACAAGGTGGATCTGACAGGCTTTCGCCATCTCCTCTCCGTCCTCTGAACCTTTCTGAGAATACAAAGTGGGGTGAGCTCTCTAGTGGGGGATGGGATGGGCGACTGGCAGGGCAGGAGGCGACTCTTGGAAATGCTGCCCAATGGTCAAGGCGGATTGAAACAGCAGGGGGACCTCTTGCTTGCCCCAGCCAAAGGGCAGGGGGAGAGGAGGAGCCACATGCCCAAGTCACCTTCCTATTCTCTCTTATTTGAACCATTGCTCCCTCTCCCAACTCCTCCTCCTTCACTGTCTAATTGCTCATCTTGTGAACTGTGCCAAGGCTAGGGGGGAATGGCCATGCCAGGGTGGAGGAGGGGTTCCTGTCCAGGGAGAGGGAGGGGAGTGGCTCTACCAGGAGGGGGTGAAGAGGAGAGGGAGGGAATGGTCCTGTCAGTAGGAGGTTGGGGGGGCAGTCCCATGCAGGGAAGGAAGGGGAATGGACCTGTCAGGGGGCATGAGGAGGAAGGTTACCAGGAGAGAGTATGGGGATGTATTATAATTAATGGCATTGGTAACTTGCACCTAGTGGGCCCCCATCCGAATGAGACTGTTTCTCACTCTCAGCAGGGAAGCTTTCCACTGTCCCTGCAGCGGGTCCCCATAACATTCTCTGTGACGGGGCCTCTGCCAGGGCCCCATGGCCGGCGGTACTGAAACAGGCTTTCCTGAGCCTTTATTTCTCCTCTTGCCTTTCTCCTTACAGCGGCACCAATCCATTTGCCACAGTAAAGCTGCGCCCCACCGTCACCAACGACCGGTCTGCACCCATCATCCAGTGAAAGGAGGCGGTGGAGAGCAGCAGATTCTGGGGGGTTGACAGAAGCAGAAGTGCTAGAAACACACAGTCCTTTCCCGTTCCTGGGCCACCGTGACCTCGGGTTGGCGCTAACCTAGTGCAGTTTCTCAGGGCATGACCCCAGCGGTGGAGCGTCTCTGTCTTGCCCCCTGTGTCCTGCGCTCTCCAGCAGTAAATAGATTCCCTGGTTTTCTTTGGCGCTCTCTTTGGAGTGATGTGTGTGATGCTGGTCATGCTGAGTGGAAGGCGTCCCCGGGATACCGGTGCTGGTAGCATGGGCAGGGGGTTGCTTATACCTAAGCACTGGGAACTGGAGGAGGGCACGTCTCTCATTGGTCTGTGCACCTGCGTTGCAAGGGGTGCTATTGGCAGGGGAAAAGGAGAACCCTACCCAGCCCCTACTCTCTTTGTTGTAAAGCACTGACGGTTATTTGGCCACTGAGCAGATTCCTGACCTACGTTTGGGGTTAGGTCCCTGCTCGATGGATCAGCGGATAACTGCATGGCAGGGGTCTTCTCCTCTCGGCCCCTCGCCCCAGGGCCTTGGGCAACTGGCCACTGCGTTTCCAAGAGCTTTGTGGGGAGGCTGCCTGCCCGTTCGCAGTGCCCTCTCCTCCACCCTCTTGCTTGGTAGCCCCAGGGTTGGATTAAGATGGGAGGGGAAACCCAGCTGCACAGCCTTGTTTGATTCTGTACATAATAACAATAATATATTTTTTAAATAAAATGGAAAACACAACCTCCCTGTGTGTCCTGGTTCCTCTGACCGTCCTTCCTGTCTGCCTCCCCGGGGGGATGCCAGGGGCAGGTGTCCACCAGGGAAACTAAGATTTGGGAAAGCTTAGCCTTGGGTAGGTCCACACAGTAAGCGGCAGCTTGTGGCAGTCTCGGAACCTGCATCTACAGCCTTGGGCTTGGGGGGCTCGCACTACGGCTCTAAAAATAGCTCTGTAGACCTTCGGGCTTGGTGTGGAAGCCTAGGCAGGTGGGTTGGCTTCAGAGCCCGAGGCGCAATAGCAACCTGGCTGTTTTTAGCGCCATGGCGAGAGCCCCAGGCTGTTGACCTAGGCTCTGAATCTCGCTGCTGCAGGCTGTGTAGACATACCCTATGGTGCCTAAGCCTTGCTAATACGTGTGGCTCGAGTGGTTAAACCACCTCGACAAATCTCTGAGTCTTCTGCCTCCACCTGCCTAAGGGACCGGGAGTTTGCTCCTCAGCCTTGCTGTGGCCCCTTGGTGCCGGGTAAAACGGAGGAAAGGGTCTCCAATGCTCTTGCTATCGGGAGCCACCTGTCTGTTTCTCTTGGCCTCACCAACTCTCCATCTCGTTTACAATCTCGCTTCTCCTGTGCTGCAGCCTCACTAATGTCTCCTTTCCTTCATTTGAATTCAGCTTCACAGCAGCACCGAACACTGTGGTGTGTTTTGAGCCAGAGTTCTTGTGAAAGCCACTGCCCGGAGGAAAGCTGTAGAGAGTGTGTGAGAGAGAGACAGACAGACAGGCAGGCCTGCAGCTGTATTAGAGCTGTGGTTTTAACTTGTACATCCTCCTTGCCCACTCACCCTGGACATTCTGCTCCTTCCATGCAAGTTGGCCCTCAAGAGTAGAGTAAGAGGTGGGTGATCTTCTAACCTCACACTGAGTACCTGTAATTTCCGGCCATTAGGGGGCAGCAAAGTCCTGTGTTCCCTTTTCCTTGCTGAGCGCAGGGCGCCGCCCTGCTGAGAGAAGGCCTGGGGGTCTCTGGGAGGCAGGGTGGTGGGTGTTCCTAAAGAAGCCAGTCAGAGTACTGAGGAGGGTGATGTGTCTGGAGAGTTGAGTGAGTGGTGCCCAGAGAATGGCAAGGAGGCGTGAGCTCTCCCCTACAGACCATTGGCACCGGGGGATATCTAGAGCTGCAGGAACAGGGGTCCTACTAACCCTCTCCCCATCCACCTCTCCGCACTGGAATGTGGCACCCCCCTCGCTTCCCCCCGTTACCCCTGCACAGAGTGTGGTTCCCCGGGAGAATCGGTGGCGTCAGCCCCTTGCTCTGGTGTTGAGTTTGAGAGTCACCTTTTAAACCGGCTTTAATGAAGATACGCCTGGCCTCCCTGTCTCCGGCTGGGTCACTGCTGTGTGTGTGTGTGTGTGTGGGGGGTTCTTCCCCACACTCGGTGCTTCACGAGGCCTGCACACAAACCCAGCATTGTTGTTTCGAGCTCTCCTGGGGGGAGGGTGGGGAGAGACCTGCTGCAGCTGCTTTAGCCAATTAGCCTTATTAATAGACATTCACCACCACCACCACCACCCCCCCGCAGCTCCCCAAAGCCCCTCCGGCTCCCTTCCCTCCCTGCTCTGTTACCCCTGCCCCCCTGCAGGAATTTAGAGATGGAGGAGGGGGAAGGAAGCTAAGAAGCTTAATGGATTAAACAGCAAGCCTTTCACTTCTGGGGACCAGGGTGTGCATGTCTTAAATCCTTTGGCCACACCTGGAATGAGTCTTGCCGGTCTCAGGTGGAAAGCAGACTTCTGGTTTTATTATGGTGACTTAACCCGCCCTCACTCCCCCTCCAGTCAGCTGCAGAGGCTGCCTGAATTCTGCACCCCACCCCCACGGGTTTGCTTTTTTTATGGTTGGTGACTGTGTTCCTCCTGGTAGCATTCCTCCTGGCGCTCTATGCGCACTGATCGCCCCAGAGCACCCCACCATCCTAACGCCAACGGCTCTGCCTGCTCTGGGTGAGTGCCGTTTGGAGTGTGCTAGACCGCCAGCCCTGCCCTCCATTCACTTGGCTTTTTTGTGGAGCCTGCAACAGAAGGGAACCCTGGTCAAACCATGGTGAACTCTTACCAGCCCTCCAGCTTTATGCCACGAGGAGATGGGAATAACTCATGAGATTTTCCACACTCCTTAAAAGGAGAATTTACCCCAGGCAAGTGGTAAGGAGGCTGTTCAGGAAGGCCTCCATGTTCCTCCCCTGTCTATCTACTAGCATATGTGGCCCTCTTCAGCACTGAATCCAAGCACCTGCTTGCTACTTCAGAGCATTCCCTGCAGGGCCCACTCTCGGCTCTGCTTCCTTTGCTCCATCATTGTACCCTGTCTCCACTGCAGCACCTCCATACTCCAGCACTGCACCCTTGTCCTGTCACTGCACCTCCACCCCATGCCCTGCTCTGTCCCTGCATCCTCTGCACCATTCACTGTAAACACCTGCATCCTGTCACTGCATTCCCTGCTCCGTCACCACACCCTATCCCCCTCCTTAACCACTGCACCCCCTGCCCCATCCTTCTGCTCCCCCTGCTCCAGGACTGCACCTTCCCTGCCCCGCCTCTTCAGCACATCCCACTGATTGAACTGCGCATTCACGCTCCAGCTTTGTAAAGCTCCTTGATGTTGTTGCTTAGGCTGCTCCATCCTGATAAGCCAAGAGACAAATGTTAAGAGTCTCCCTGCTAAGGAAAGTGAGTGCAGAGGGGAAGCCATAAGGAATCTTTGGCCAGGCTCCCAGCTGTCTCTCTGTGCTGAGCCATGGGATTACCGGGGAATTCTGGCCCAGGCATGCAGGCTGCTCCTTCCCATTGGCTGGAAAAGCTTCTTAAAAATGGAGAGGTGGTTTCTGCTAGATCAGCACCTCTGATGCTTTGCCGACTTTAAAACATAAGCAGCTGCTGACCCACATCCACAGTGTAAACACCTTGGGGCTCAAGCTGCAAGCTGTGCTGCACCCAGGGACTCCCAGCGGACAGGACTTGGCGGGAGTGGGGGGGGGTCTCTGCAGCAGTTGGAGATCACTGCATGACCCCGCCAGCAGCAGGTGGTTCAGGAGAGGACAGGAAGCAGTGCAGGATTTTCTGCAATCCAGATTGAAGGGGGGACTTTGCTGTTCAGCAGAACAAAGCAGGCTGCTGCCAGGCATCTGCCATGGAGCTAACCCCGAAAGACACCATCTAAGCTAACGTGCTCCTCCTGGAGCCAAGAAGCGCCACGCAGATCGGCCCCCCGGAACTCGGAGGGTGAACAGGCAGCCGCCGTCCTGCGAGGTTTGTATCCAGATGCACTTTGACGACCATTGATTCATTTGGTAGGTTAGTGGTGTGTGCAGGCTGTTCTCCTGGTTGCCGCCCAGGCTAATGCTGGTCTCAGGGCATAGCCTATTAATAGGTCAGCCTGTGCCAGGGAAAGCTTATCTAATTCTCTCTGGATGCGCTCTCCATGCACCCTCTGTGACATGGATCCGCTGCCCTTGGAGGCTGGGAGTGTGAGCCCTGGCCCATCACCCGGAGCAGGGACCCCACTGAGCTGGGACACTGGAGGAGAATGCTGGCACTAGTGAGTGGATCCCATTGACTCCCAGTGCCAGCGTGCTCGAGTTGTGAATCCCACTTTGTTCAGCGGTTGGGTCTGGGACAGCTCCCTAGTGGTGGGATCCTGCTGTGCATGGAGGACGATTCTCAGTGCTAGCTCCCGGGGTGTAGCCCACCCCGCACACAAAGGCTGAGGGTCTGACTCTCACCATTAGTGCGCTGCCCTTGCACGTGGGTTTTCTAGCACTGGTGGTAAATCTCGCCCTGCCATAACAGAGGCATCAGCACACTGAGCTACAAAGGTGACGGGTGCTATGGAGACCGCTGAGAATGCAGGTGTGATGCGTTGGGCATTAGTGTTCGGGGAGGAGCCTCTGTGTGCCAATGATCCATCTACTTTAGTGTGTATTTAAACTGCGAATTGAGTTTTTTAAATATCCAAACAAACCTTCCCAGCACTGGAGAAAATAGTAGTGAGCAGTGGTGTGCAAGGACCAGACACAGTGTACATCAGTGCATACAACCCCCGTAGCAATGATCAGAACAGCCAGTGCATTTGTTGTGAACTTCTGAGCGGGAAACCTACGCTCCCCATATTGTTTTTCAGAGCCTGGAGTAAATGGCACATCAGACCATGTTTTGCAAATGAGGAGGTGTGTGCCAGAGGGTCAAATCAATGCCCTTGCCTAGAAGCTATTGAACATTTCAAGCTAGGACACATGTTGCTTATGCCTCCCCACTTCCCAATAAACCTCTGATCATGGTGCTGAGCACAGAGGTTTCAACCAGCTTGACAAACGTAAGGATGAGCAGAGGAATGAACAGCAAGAATCTGGGGCAGGTGTCCATGTGTCTGCCTGGGTGTGTGCGTTTGGCAGCAGACACTCCTCCAGCACAGCTGCATGCATCAGATGATGCCAGTGGTCCAGGTCCAAGACTGATCTGGGAATCTTTGTTCCATTAGAGCACGTGCTCTGTAATACAATAGTAACTTGCTTGCTAGTAAGTTGGAGAGGGGTTTTGGGCGGAGCGGAGAGTGGAGTGTTGCTAAATCAACCTGCCGGGGTGCCACTGTTTGACGTGATCATTTGGAGCAGTAAAAGGTTAGAACTATTGGTGGTTGACAGCAGAATCTGGGTTTATCCTCACCCCGACCGGTGAATACTTAGCGTGGAAATGCCTTTCCCACAGCCCGTTCCTACTGCTGTCACTCATTTGCATTGAATCAGGGAGACTTGGTTGTAAGGCTGAGATTCTTTTTGGCAGTAGGGGCTAGATAAATAAACACAGCATGGGGGGAGTCACAGCTCCTGAGTTCTAATCCTGACTCTGCTGCTGGCTCCCTGGGTGGCCTTGGGCGAGTAATTTATCATCTCTGTGCCTGAGTTTCCCCATCTGTAACACACGTGTGTGTGTGTGTGTGTGTGTGAATATTAATGGGGTAA